GTCGATTGGAAGAGGCCTTGGCGAAATCAGAGAGAGTGGGACATACCGTGACTTCAGGGTCTGGAGAGGAATTATTCCTATGCGCCTCAAAATGCGACAGCAAGAATAAATACCGCGAGGATGTGGAAGATAACAACAGTGCAAGCTCTGGCAGCGTTTCATCATTCCTGGCGCGGCTTCGAGGGTCGTTGGAGGACCTACGTCGGAATCCAGTATGTGGTTCTTCAGATGAGGAGTTCGACAGCGCCTTAGAGAAACTTACTGATTACTTACCCGACTGGCTTATTAGTGATCTAGCCTCATTTTCGCCTAGAATACTCAGTCCTGGAGAGGTACCTGACTCACTTGACCCGCAAATCGCGTCCCTGTTGCCAGAGGGAAGCATTCGTCACAACATTCCATCTGACTCGTCCTCAATCAGCCATCTTTTGTGTGGTCCTCCTTCGACTGGTACAGACGCGAATCGAGCCACTAGCATCAGCGATAAGTCCCATTCTCTCACTCTGAGCCATCTTTACGATCCACCAACTCCAGTGCACCATAGAGCACCCGTTCGGCGTCATTCGGTAGAAGATTCAGTTGCTTGCAGTGGGATTGACGAGAACGATAATGTGGATGATTCAGCAGAGAGAAAACTCTCGTCTATGTGCACGGTTGCTCAGAGACTCCAAGGCTACTCAAGAAGGAATGCCATTCGAAATGCTATCAGATCACTCGAGCATCTGTCGAGAAGCATTGACCGAATAACTTGTCAGTCTCCAAGCGCCTTGCCTCCTTCTGAAAGACCCACGGGTGATTCCGCACAATTGTCCACTTCCAGCAACTCCAGTATCGTTGAGTCAACCAGTCTCAGAAACAGTCCCCCACGGAGATGGCTGAGCGCCTTGAGAAGGAGCCGCCGTACCTCTGCAAGGGTTTCGCCTTCTCCCTGCGACTCTGGTCCGGTAGAGTCAACCAATCCAGGCAACAATACCCCACGAAGATGGCTGAGCGCCTTGAGAAGGAGCCCCCGTTCCTCTAGGAGAATTTCGCCTTCACCCGGAAAGGTGCAAAAAGTTGAGGTTCAATCTTACGATGAAGACAATGCCAAGATGTTTTGTAAACCGCAGCCATCGCTCGCCGTTGACCCCATCATAGCGGAGACTTCCGGTATTGAGCGCTGCCCCTGCGAACAAGCGTCATCAAAGTCGACGTCGGCTTCACCATCACCAGCTTCCACCATCACTATCACCAGTACTTCTTCATTTGAATTTGAAGAGGTAATCGACCTAAGCTCTCCTGCGTTGGATACGACCACCAACGCACGTCCTGCCGCGGATAGCGGCGGGACGTGAGAGCTACCCCCCTTCTAAGTACTTGGCCTCTGGCGTCCGCGGGAGCATCGAACCGGTGGTATTAGAGGTAGGATCCTTATGGAAAACATGAGGGGTGGTATGGTCGGAACGGGGGTAAACAGGTGTGACAGGGAAAGTAAGTAATAAATTCACTGCGCTCTTCTTTTCCCTCAGGTTTTAAAGGTGAGCCATGAATTTAAACCCAAGTTTGATTAAGGTTGGGGTTCCCCTCCTACGCGGGGGTAGTTCATGCAATAAAGGATAAAGGAGTGCCTTTTGAGCCAAAATAGGTTATTTTAAGCCTGGTGGAGCGTTCCCATGATCCCATGTAAGATTTTCTTGCTTTGCCCCTACCTACCCCTCCCTCCTCATGTAGTTAGGTAATCAGCGACAGAAAAATGACACTCATGGCATTTTGTTAAGCCCCCTGGGAAGATTTGTCATGGTAAATATTTAAGAGTTTTTCTAACTAGAATGCAATCAAAAGAGACTGTTATCTCTCTTGAAACTCATCAACCCGATGAATGATGGTTTGAATTAGGATTTTTATTTAAATTCCTCCTAACCGCGAGAGATTAAAATTCCGATGCCATCTCCTGGAGGCGGAGTCCCCCAATGTATACTCGTGTTCTATTGAGGAATGCTCTAAATCCTCTTAAAGGATTTAAATCGAACACGATGCTGTGATATTTTACACTATAACACGGATTGAAAGCTAAAAATACAGAAAATACACCAACGCTCACGCAACACTTCCGATTTTATCCTTGCGAAGGCATAGGTCATATGCCATTTTCGCATGTCGCAATGTTGATTATTCAGTGTCTGAAAAACTAGGTATTTCCTTGCTCAGTTATTTTTCAATGGTTTGCGTGACCGCCAGGAACGTGAGTGGAGCCGTGGGGTACTTTTACGTCCACGGGCTCTGCATGCAGTTTGAAAGGGTTTTCCTTCAAGTCACGCAAAAATCTTCGCCTATGTGTAAATGACGTCTTCCTCGAGCCGCTGTGCGCAAAGTGAGATAGTAGTTCCGTTTAAGTTGGTAGTAGTTCCGTTTAAGTTGGTAGTAGTTCCGTCATGGGCTCCTGGTTCCCGTTTAAATCTCTCTTATAAAAGAGGATTGGAGGGAAGGCTTTTCTAACTTTCAAAAGAATCTCTTTAGAAAAGGGAAAATTGTTTTTCGCAAGTGCTGATTGCTTTGTGCTTTCCGGATCAATTTGGTCTGGGGTTCGACTCATCCCGCGCTCGTGGCATGACTGAAAAAACATCGCTCCTTAACTGAAGTTTATATTTAACTGTTTAAGTAAAAACCATAAGATAGCTTGAAAGCTAGGGGATTAATTCATTTCTTTTTAATATAATGTTTCTTTTGTTCTGGCATCGAGTCAAATTGTGATCCCCAGTTCATGTTTAGACGTCAGACAACCGCGGAAACCGAGCCCATGCGTTGAATTGAAAGAAATTGAAAAGATACGTTTCTTTGTGGGAAGGAAATTCATTTACAGATCAGACAAATTGCACGTTCCCGGGGAGCGACGCTGTTATTAAGGAAAACCACAGAAAAACCTTGTTTAAACGATTAAAAACTCTAGATTGTTCGTTATGACTTCAGGCTCGTCTAGCAAAACATTTCAAGGAAGTATGGGGTTAATTAAAATTGATAATTACACGATTAAAATTTACAAACCGTAATCACAGCTAAAATCAATTGTTCAATGTGGGTTAAAGTTATCCTTTTGTGTTTGCACCCCCTCTTCTCTCTCTAATGGTTTTCCGAAAAGGATTTACGATGTGTAATTCAAGTAAGTGTAGGTATAATGCTTCCTTTTCAATGTGTATATTTAAGTGCGTGGGGGCAGAGCGAAAGAAATAATTGAGGCGTGAATTTTTCTTTTTCCTTCAGTCATCATAATTTCACAAAATCGTACTTCCTTAGCGGAAATTAAATATTTCCCTGATTTGAAACAATCTTCGTCAAGAAAGGAGACCATTAGTACAATAACTGAGCATAATAAAAAGCGTTGCTTCTTTCTTTTCGGTACTTAACCCAAACCACAGTGACATTGTCACTGAGACACTGTTCATTGCGAGACCTACCCCACCCCACCCCCGCAATGATGTAAGATGGTCAGTCGAGCCCCTGGGTGGTGCCGGGAAGTGCAAACTTCAAGTAAATAGAGATTTCGATCATTATTGACTTAGGCTCGTTAAGAATTCCTCGTGTGAATTCAAAAACAAATATCAGATAAACAAAACAAACTAATAACGGAAGTATGCTGAACGATATTTTATCTGAGCAATCGATTGAAAACAGTATGAGTTATCGGCCGAGAAATACCTGCCAAGGTCATGTCGTTCATAAGTGTTTCAGCTTCCGCTCGAGCTGTCTGATGATGGCAAATGTTATACAAACCGGTACTGTATTCCGTAATAACTAAATGAGATTTGTTTGAGTTCGTTTGATGTGGTACAGCGATCTCATTTCAACTTTTTGTTTTTGGGCGGAACGATCGCCCGCGATCAACAATCTTTCGCCATACATGGATTTGTCGAGATCAACAAGACTGTCAATGGTATTGAATATTCAAATAGTAAAATGTTTGTTTTGCAGTCGTGGAGCGAAAATATGCGAGAATTTTTTTAGCCTTGAATTCTTCGGCTTATTGAGAAGGTTATGGTATCGATTTCACACGCACCGAAACTTGGCTGGAAATGAGTAGTTTTCTTTTCTGGAAGGTCCTCGAACGCATTCCTATAAAACTATGTAGACCTTGACCCAACATTCACTTTCATTTTAGTTCACTGAACTGCTTACAGTTTTAATTAACATCGATTAGTAGTACTTACGTAAATCAAAAAACCCATTTAGCCTTTCGTCGATATTCGAAACATTTTTGTACTCTCTATTAGGTTGTTTGCGAGTTTACAAAATTAAAAAAAACGTGAAATTAATTCGCTTCGCTAAAAACATTTCTACCTGTCTACAGTAATATTTTTGTGAGCTCTGTCCTCTTGATTCGCAATTCATTATCTTTGGACATTTTGTCTGGAAAAACAATGCTGTGCACAACGCTTTCTTATTAGGAAGAATGAGGACAAAAAACTTAATTATGCAATTTAAAGCCTCTTCAGTGACCAGGCATTGTAAATATAAGCTAACTATCTAACCATCATGGAAATATTTTGCATAGAAACATGTACTCACGAATATTGTAGTGAATAATCATTTTGTATTTAGGATTTCCAGATTTTCGATGTCAGCTACATCACCGCGCAATGCTTCATTTTCAACAGTGTCTTAGAGCATAAAATTGTTCCCACAAGCCTTCAATGAGATACCAAAGGCATTGTGATCTGTTCAGAAAGAGTGCACGAATGATTTTATACTTTCTTTTGCCAAGCTAGGGCTGTTTTTCATGCGTTACAAGTCAAACATTTTTAATCTTGAAATTTCAGCCGTTGATCTTGATTTCCGTGACTGACTATATGGGATAAAAGAAGGTGTTTGAGTTCGTTTTATTCGCAAAAACTGTTATGTTTATTTGAAAGGTTGTCCAGCGAACACTTCATCGTGTGTTTTGATTGGTTCTTCCGAACTCGTAATTATCAGATCATTATACATGACGTCATCGCGCCAGGTCCATCTCGTTTTGTTCAGAATTTGCATGTTGGAATCTTGTGACAAGTTGTGGTCGCATCTCGGTCATTTTCACCAAGTAACTCAACACTTTTGTCTCGGAACGTGCAAGAGACACCCATACTTGCTTAAGAGTTCATTACTGAATCGATCCAAGCACGTGCAAGGGGTTCGAATTACCGTTTCTAATCTACGATGATCGAGGAGCCGTCATAGACACTGAGAGCGGTCGAAAGGATTTGTTGTTTTGAGGGGGAAAAATAAGTTCCTGTGGAGTTTTTATGCCGACGTTATTCCTTCCTGAAGACAGTCCGGCTTAATTTACCATTGCCGCCTAAGGAATGAGAGCGGATGTAGCGTTTGGGCTTACTTCTTGACGATATGCCCGAAATCGGTGAGGACTATTAGGCCGGTCTTTTACTAGTATCTACTTTTTATGTGAAGGAGTTACTGATGTAATAGGGTTGCACACCTTCGGCTGTTGTTGAAATTGTCAGATTTGTTTGAAATCGTGCTATCTTTGCAAAACAACGAATCGATAAAGCCTTTCCGTGTCAGAAAGGATTTAAGTGTTCTATTAAGTGCTCTATGTTTTGAATTAGCCGAACGTTACTTGTTCTGCGAGAATCTCGTGTCAGTTTTGCCCGGCGAACCGCATAGCTGTTATGGTGTGCAGCGTCCCATCAACTGTAAACGTGACTCTACTCTTGTTTTCCGCAGGTCGGGATGATTACGGCCAGTTCGATAAAGGTACGTCTTTTAACATGGTTTCTTTATATTTATTTGTTTAACTAACGTCTTTTGAATAATAGGAAACCTCGATAGAATTCTTTGTGGTCTTTACATAGTGAAAGTGCTACAGGAAAGTGCTATGCGCATATGTAAGCGTTAATATATCAAATAGAGTTTCGATATTTGTTTATTTCTTCCCGAATCTAACAATATTTCTTGGTTAGGAACGTTGAAATTGGGTTTAATTCAATCAAGCTGTCTTAAAATTGTGAATATTCATCGACATAACATCCCCGAGGCGTCGGGAAAGCGTCTAAAATGACATAAGTTGATTGTTTGATCGAGTTAATTCGAAGATGGCTTGTAGTTGTGAAGCGATTGAGTACACAAATCTATTTTATTCCACGGTTTCTGGAGGCCGTTGAACAAAGGAGTGTGATTATGCACGCCGAAAAAGTGTCCAGTATGTTTTTTTTATGTCTTTGATACGTTATGCAAATAGAAAATGTATTTCGAATCCAATGCGAAAATGGGTCGTTCGTTAGTGTTTAGTGCATGCCTACCGAGATAATTTTTTTAAAAAAACCTAAATACTTAATCCTTGTGTACCCAATTGTATGGAAAACCGAAGGCTGCGTTTTTAAGGAACGTGATTTCTTGTAATCAGTCGCAGCGGGTATAGAATTTCTCGCACATAGTGTATTTATCCGGAATGATTCTATTGCTGCAAAGGCGCCCAAATATGTCAAATACAAGCTTAATATATAAAGGCCTTTGTTTGATGCAATCCCTGAACCGTTTCAAAATCATAGGAGAAAGAAGGCTTTGTCAGGGCAGATTGTGCTCGAGCAACGTCCAAACGGAGAAGGATTTTGCCGTTAAGGTAAGCTCTATTTTTTAATCTGTAAAAATAACAGCACGTCAGTATTTGATTTCGTTTTGCGGTTCAAATTGTTGCAATTCGACAATTTTGAAAATATATCGACCCCTCTTGACTTGCATATGTATTTCACGTGATGTCTGTTAGCTTAGAACCACAGTCTGTTGGATTGTCACAGAATTATAGTTAGATCGAGTGCTCCTCTTTCAACGTTAGCTGAGAAATCAGTCTTGTTTTTCAATCGAATCACGGTATTATTGTCGCTGCATTATTTACTTTCATTGGATAAACAACATGATAAAATATCTCATCTCTATTAATGTCAATGGATAGATTTAGGTTGGGGAATAATTTACGCGTTTATTTGCTGGGTGTTTTAATTGCTCACATGAGGGAAATCTTAAAACAATCTCTAGGGTTTATTTTAAGAACCAGCAAGGGTTTGTCTATCATCTTGGTACTCATATTTCGGCGTTGTCGCATCTCGGGTCATGCTATCAATCGATGTCATGTTTTCTTTGGTTGAGAGCATGGATGTAATCTACTTCAAACGAAAACCACAAGACAAATTCGTAGAAATCTAATTTCCAGACTTATCTATTGTACAGAAAAGTGAATATTTCTCTATTTAGTCACATTTTTATGCTATTAACACCCTCTATTAATTAAATTACCTGTAATTACATTTGGATCAAGTTTCTTCAAAATTTTCTTTGGCAGAGTATCGATAAATGTTAGATTAATTCTTCTCCCATATAGCTTGAATTTTGTCAGATTTTATTGATGTGTTACTGTGCAAATTAATTACAAAAGCATTTGCGATATCATTACTGTAATAATGTTATATTTATGAGTGATATTTCTTTTTTGTGCCGACCTTTTATTCCAGAGGAACCTGATATTTTTGACAAATTTCTCAAATTGAGTAATGGTTTTGAGTTTGAAGTGGTCATAAATTTTCCAAGATGTTGAAATCTCTCCAGATTTTTAGTACTTTAGTAGAAAATGGTTCTCAGGATATTTTTTCATATTAAATCACCTTTGGGTGTAGTTTAATTACCTGGATTTGTACAGCTATCAAAGTAAACTGTACAAGATCTCTACAATTTTGCCACTATATGCTACATACTCTGGAAACTAAATTGTAGGGTTCCTCCTGTACAGGATAAACATAAACGGAGGTAGTTTTTTGCTTTAAACAACTGGAGTGACATGATATGAGTGAGTAATCATTTAGGCAAATTTGTTGCAACCAAGTGTTACTGGTGAGACAGGATAAGAATGTTACAGGATTAACTGTTATGTCATTTTATTTTTTTTATCTCTTTAATTTGAGCAAATTGGGTGTCGCAAATAACTGTTCTTTACACACCTATATAGCGGTAATCTCATTTTGTCAGTTGTGAAGTTATTACAAATTGGGCACAGAGAACAGCTTTTGTCTCCCGAAAATGAGATTATCATGAACTGAAAGCCAAATCTGTGAATGCACTGGATTCATTACTTAGAATCTAAAAGCAATCATAGATGTAACTTGTCCATGAAGCTTCAGATCTTTAACTAGTATATCTCATTAACAGATTTTGAACATTGGTGGTAAGGAAGAGGAAAACTGTTAGTTAACAGTCGCTTTGAAGATGAACTTAAAAAAAAAAATTACAACTTGTTTTGACATTGTTGAAATAATATTGAAAATTTTCAGTGCTTTAACTTTCATTGTGTTGTTTTCATATCGCCACGTCTGGAAAATGTTAATTATTTTTTATTCCACTATACTAACAAATTTGCTTAAAGCAGTTGCTTGCATTTCACAATTCTGTAGGTAGTTTAAATAGAGATAAACCATTGAATCTGGTCTAGTTCTGAGGCACGTATATCAAGGATCCTCTAGAAGTCATTAAGTCCAAACACATGTAGTGCTCTTGAGGATTAAATTTAACTAATACAAAAGTTTACCAACTATTGTCATATCTTCATTAGCGTAAGAGGTTCTTCAGCAGGGTGTAGCATGGATTTTTGTTCTTTACTGTGGAGGTTTTGAGATATACCATAGAATATAACTCACAATGAAATTTTAATTTCTAAGTTATGTGCATCATCAGGGTACAATTCTTATTACACACAAATAATTTACTACAGATTGTGTCTCTGGGTATATGTGTTATGTTGATGTCAATAGTTATTGCCTCCTGACTGGAAGAAAAACGATCATACAATGTAATTGATGTATGGAAAGTTTCCTATTTTCAGTAGTTAAAATATCAACAACAGATACTTTTTTGCATAGAGGTATTTGTACAAAGAAGTAAAATCAGATGTGATTTCCTGTTAAATCAGCTCTAACTTTGTATTAGTAGAATACGCAGTGGTTTAGGTTGTGTCTAAATGGTGTATTTGTTTTTCTTGCGGTGAAATTTTCATTTTTGTGAAAATGATTGTGACAAAAGGTTAGAGATTATCTTTGCACATATCAAAGGTCATGACAAGTTAATAACTTCTTTAACAACATTTCAATCTGTGGCGACAGGAAAACAAAAAGGTGTTAGCTTTTCTCTTGTTAATTTAAACACGGATTTCTCTAACCAGGTCTCTTTATTTTAGTTCTGAATATGTTTGGTATCTACTTTGAAAACAAGAAATAAGAATGCTACTGATTATATTCATTTGATATTGTTCAAGTGTTTTCATATTGGATGTTTAAGATGAATTTGCATAGCTTCCAATTTGAAACCCACAAGTGCTTTGTGTGATATTTCTAATACACCTTTTTGTGAAAATAAGATTTAGATTTTATTAACACAGAAGTGATGTATATTTAAGTTATTTTGCTGTGTGGGCTGTGTAAATTTTCCATCTTTGATTCTCTGCATCTGAAGACTTGTTTTTGTTTTGGTTTCTTGATTTTGAGTTTGGTTGTTCAACTTATCCAGTATAAGTAACAGATAAAATATTCTACAATTTTTACTACAGAAAGTTAAGGGATTGCATGTTTCTCAACCTTTAACTCCCAAGATCTCATCAGTAATTCTCCTTACTATCTCCTATACAGTTCTTGTGATGTTAGTCTAGAGAATTTGGTATTGGATCAACTTAGAATCTCTTAACAGATATTTTTCTTTATTCTCATCACTTGTCTACTTGATATTGTATTGATATTGTAATGAGAAGTTCTATGCTGGTCACTCATGGGAGGTAAAGGGTTAAAATGTTTTTTTTTTTCTATGAGCTTTAACCAGACAAGGGTCCAACACATTCTAACTTTGAATTCAGGAGACATGTATTCAAGCATGATTTTGATCATGTGATCATCAACTTTTTTTAAAAAAAATTTTTTTTTTTTTGTTTAATTGAAAATACTCCATTTTTACCCACTATTCCAAGGCTAAAATAGATTTAACCTCAAACTTTGATCTTGTGGAGTGCTCCAAAACCAGTTGCTTTAAGTAAATTTTCCTTGTTTGGTGTGCTTTAAAAAACAATGGCTACTCTTAGTTTATGAATTCAAAGAATTTACAGATGTAAACGAAAATGTTTTACAATGCAAAGTCCTTGAAAAATGTCTTGTAATTTGTCTCACATGCTATGATTTTTGGCAAAATACTTTTTTCATAGCAAGCTATTTTGCAGTTTTTGTGTTTTCAATGTAGGAGGCTGTATGTGTTTTGGGTGTGAAGTTTTAAGTGTCTTATCGTACAGATCCTTCTTAGCCTTCCATGAGACAAATAGAATTAGCATGAGTCGCACTTCAAATCTCAATGCTTAGTTCAATATTTTAATCATCTATTCATTCTAATTCAATTTGCCTTCCTTTGTTTTATAGAAGATAGCAGTGACCTTGGTTAACCAGAATAAGTCTGTGTTAATTTCCTTTTGTAACTTGTCTGCACATGCACAAGTTGTCTATTGTTTTCCCAGAAAGGGAAGAATTTGGAAAATTCAAACAATGTTGTGCAAGATTATGGTAGACAAAATAATTCTCTCCTGCCTTGGGAGAGTGCACTCTTTGTTTTTATTATTTTAAATTATGTTTTTCTAAAATGACAAATGGTGGAAGGATACCTTCCCGCCGAGAAGAGTGATGTTTAGAAAGTTGTGTGCTAAAATTATCTCCATGGGTTTCTTTTAGCACATCTAAAAATTCTCAATTACATACATAAAAGCTTTTCTTTGGAAATAATCACGGTGTCTGCTGTGATTTTTATAAGCAATCAAGTGATTCCTTAGTGTTCATTCCAGAATTTTCTCTATGTACCATTCTTTCATTCACTACCAATTGCATCTTTGACATACTTCACAATTACTTTTACGTCATTCCATAGCCAGTTTTAGCTAGAGTACTACATCCCTCCTTTAGCTCCCAGCATGAGGTTTTGTTTATTTCTGAACTGCACTGGTTCAGATGTTGCTGCAGATTCTCTATTGTTTGATATCACATTGTTCTCAACTGTGCAAGGAGTCATATCTTCTCGTGTAGTATTTGACAAAAAAAATTTCAAAAGCTACATCCTCAAGTAGAATTTATCAACTGCATCATGAAAGCATTGCTTAAGGTAAAATATAAAGTTGGAAGTACCTAGTGTCCATAAAAAGTAAATGTGTTCAGAGAATGAACACACATCGTTCAAGCTTTTGTGTATTGGCCGGCTGCATCAAGCATGTGACATAGTAAATTAAATTTTATTTTTCTATAGTTGTAGAATTGCCTAGTTTGGAAGATATGCACATCTAAAGAGGGTGCTATTTTTCACTTTGATCATATCATCACAAATTTTTTTATCTAATAATTTTCAAACTAGGTTTGTCATCATGAAGACTGCCAGGAAACAAACTACGGCAATCCTTTATTGTTGTGTTTGAGATGTGATGAAGTCCACCATCTTGGAGCTGGTTCTAACCATGCACGGTTTGATGTCCCGGGTAAGTGTTTTACCTAAATTTGTTGAAAAAATAGAGTGAAATGTGCTGGTATTCTTTCATTTTCTTGAATGATGTAAGCTACATGTACAGGCTGTACATGTAGTTGACATATAAGCTCTGGAGATCAGACTGATTTGTACAGTGACCACAGTTTACCAGTTTCTGTGGCATGAGATGATTTTAGTGTAAATAGTGGTACCTCTACTGCACAGGATATTAGTCTAACAGGAGGGTTTATCCTCCTCACCCCCAGCCACCTGTTTTAGTGTAACATTCCCCTGACAACTTCCTAGTTTATTTGATATTTAAGAAGTTGATGGGTAGAGAGTTTTGACAATTTTGTGCATCTTGAATAATTAAGCCTCCATTTTTCAAGTCCATTAATTTGAATGGGGAAATGTTCTCTATCCTCAGCCATCCTTGTACAATTTTGGTTATTTCTCACCTCTCTGGTGTCTCCATACCTTGGCAAATAGTTATTTCAAGCTGATACCATTTAACACTCAAATTGTCTTAAAAAAGAGTGACAGAGTCACATTCTCTTCCATGCTATAAATACATTTTCATGCCAAAAGGTGGTTAGGTGCTGGAAAATATCAACTAGGGTATATTGTTTGATGTTATTCAAAAATCTCAGAGCTAAAATTATAATGAAAGTATGGGACACAGTGAAGAGAATTGGTATGTAGATCATGAAGGCAGATAATGAGCCCTTTGTTGGTATTTTTGTCACCAGGATACTAAGAACCCTTCAATCCCCAAAGGTGACTAGCATCTAATTTCTCCTTACAATATCACCCCTGACTCACATATTAAGGTCATGAGAATAAAGGAAATGATCAACAACCTAGGAAGATCTTGATTGTCAAGGAAAATCTCCTTATCAGCACCTAATTAAATTTAAAGAGGAACATAAAGAATATGCATACTGAAGTTAGGGTGTAAAGGGTTTAATTGTGCTGAGTTTGAAAGGGGACAATAATTTTAATAAAACATTTGAGAACTGATTATAATTGGCAAATTTGTCATTTTGGTGTTCTTCTCTTCAGAGAGGCCAAGTACAAATATTATTAGGACGCCATCAAGCCATTCGGCAGGTTCAGATTCAGGAAATGAGGAGGATGTTGAATCTGAACAAAAAGTGTAAGTGGCGCAAATTAATACTCATTACACTTAGTGTTAGTTTGATTGACATTCTCATTTGTTAACTCCTTTAATCCTTAAGAGCGACTTGCATCTAAGTTCTCCTTACAATATAATCTTGAGTCAAACATCACGGTAACAAGAATGAAGGAAATTATAACATACTAAGGAAGCTCTTGATCATTAAAGAAGTTCTTCATGTAAGCACCATTGGAAATTTGTAGAGAACAGTTTGGAGAATATGTGCATTGATGTTCAAGTGTAAAGGGTCCGCTGATGTTGTTAAAATTATGTACTTAACTATAATTGTGCTTACAGCTAATTTATTTTCAGCCAATATTAAGTTGCCAATATGCGATGATATAGTAATCTATATTTTTAACATAATCAGTTGTAGAATAATTGTCAAAAGGTCACTTACTTTTCAGGCAAGCTTTTCTTTTAACACAATCAGATATCAACTTAGACTACTCTGATTTAGTTATCTTAAAAGTGAGAAGCATAGTTCTTTTCATAAAGTGTTGATTAAAGGAGTGAATATAAGGGAGGAACATACTTAACGGCATCTATTATTTGCTTACTACCCTTGACTTTGGTCGGCAGTTTTTACTCTATTGTATGATGTACAAAGGGGACAGTTGTTACTGATGAAACAGAAATTGTTGGCAATCTCTTTTGCACTTAAGCAGCTCATGATAAAAAAGTCTGAGTAGTGATCTGTAATTCGTCAAAGGAGTGATATTGTATTATTTGTATTATGGGGGAGAATTTTGATATTAAACCAATATTGAATAATGGCTTTAAATAAGTATGGCAATTCATTTTAGCCCCAAAATATGAACAAGCCTATATTTGTAAATGGCAGCACTAAATGTTTTACCTAATTAAAACATTGTGGTGTTGTTTTTGGTGTGGTGAGATGCAACAGAGAATATTTGGAATTAGCTGGAATTAACAGAAGGTTTTGTTCCATTTGCTTTCTTGATTCAAGCAGTCTTCTGGTTATCTTCACCTGGTCATAAGTATGAAACAAAATTGAAACTGAGCTCTGAATTTTAATCTCTAGAGTTTTTAAAATGACAGTTACTTTTGTGAAGAGTGAAGAGAAACAATCGTTTTTCTTATTACTGTTTCTAAGTTAATTATCTCACAGGAAATATCAAATACATTTTAGATATCAGACAACTTAACTTAAATTCATTATCAGACATGTTTGATGGTAGAAATTGTGGTCAAGTTGCCTTAAAACAAACAGCTGTAACTCTCTTTTGTTATGATATTTCCTTCTCCAACAGGGAAAAGAAGAACCGAGGATATTCCTCTGGGAAACGGATGTTTAAAATAAATGCGGCGGCTAAGAAAAAACCAAGACGCCACAACACCGAAGTGAGTTTGAAGTGAAAAACCTTTTCTTTATCATCTTCAACATGTCGTTAAAATGATTTATTAGGCAGATCCACAGATATTTTAGAAAACACTGGATGAGTGTATTTGATTTGATTGCATCCTAGAATATGTATTTGAGCCCTAAAGTTGAAAAGTTATAAAATTATTTTTCCGTTACACTGACAGGTACACGGCAGTGTATTGCCTTGACAGTTTTAGCTTTTCAGCAGACTATACTGTACTTTTTCATTATTATAATTAGCTGCTGAAAAATTCAGATTGCTTAAATTACTTAAATGTGAAACTTAGGAAGTGCATATATACCAAGTTGTTTGAAATTACTTCCTTTATGGATGCATCAGACAGTGCCTGTAAATCTTGAGAACTGAATGTCTTGTGCTACCATGTTTTTATCAGGCTTCTAGCACAAGCTGGTAATGAGCCATTTACTATCATTTGGGAAAGGTATCAGTTAGGCTTATAACCCCTTCAATGACCATCTAACAAGAGTTTTTCATTCAATTTGTATGACCTTTTTTCATGATCATGGCAACCTCTATCATCTCAGGCAGTCCTTCAAAAAAAGTTAATACAGGAACACTTTATGGGGGCATCTCTAACTGTTTATGGTCATAAATCTCTCCCAGATGAATACATCTTTAACATTTCTTCTGTTTTCCATAGGATCCAGGAAGAGAATTTTTTAGCATTAAATTTTTTGACAACAAAAGTGGAGAATTCCATGTAGAAGTAGTGCCTGCTTTGAAAGGAAAGTCACTGAGGTAAATCAGTTTGATTTTAAGCCATTCATGATTTCATGTATTTCCAATTTTATAACTTTGTTGTTGAGGTTATTAATCCTCTAAATCCTAAGAGCAACCAGCATCCAATTTATCCAACAGTAACGCTAAATCATTCATAGTGTGAATAAGAAAACAAAATGACCATCCATAAAGAAGCTTTTGATTGTTTAATTAATTCTCCTTGTCAGTACCAAAGGAAATTTATAGAGAACATTATGGAGAATATGGATGCTGATGTTAGGGTGTTAACCCTTTTAACTCCCAGAAGTGAATGTGCAGCAGCTAGAGGGGAGAATTAACAATCAGATCTTGGGAGTTAAAGGGTTAAGTGTAATACTCTCTTCTCCATGGTGTGACATGTTGTTTTGTTGACAAACTTTGTTGTTTACTTTTCCTGATTTATTTGTCCTCTATTATAATGTTTTGCTGGAATTTTATCCTATGTGTATGTTGCGTATTGTTAAAATGATATCAAACTAGTTCAGTCTTAATATTTTGTTTCAGGACTTTTTCAAATTACCTTGAGGGAAAGCAATGCTTTTTAAATTTTTAAAAAATTAGTTTTACCAGGGAAATTCATTCTTACGTATACAAGTTGTAATTTAATTGCTTATGTTACATCTCTTGAGTCCTTGGGATATATATTATTCTTAACTTGAACTGATAAATTATTTTCATTTCAGGGAATCTATCGAACCTCTTTTTGAAGCACAGGAATTTTCCTTTTCAACTCATTCTGTCTTTCTGGACTCATCTAATACTCCTTTACCACTCGCATTTGATACCTTTCCACTGGGTGGAAATACTCTTCATGTTAGAGGTAAGATGTACTGGCCTTTTGGCACTTCCACTCTGATTTTCGGAGAAGAATTGATCAGATGCATACAGGGGCTATCACAGGAAAACAACTGCTATTAGTGAAGAAAGATAATCATAAGCAGTGAAATGTTTAATCTTTAACCCTTCACCCTTGGGAATCACCAAAGAAAAACTCCTCCTCACAATATCAGCACTGTTGGCCAGAAAGGTAGTGAGAAGAGGGAAAGGTATAAGTTGGGGAATATTGGTTAATTTACCAACAATTCTCTCAGAAAAATTAGTAAGGAGTATACAATGGGAAGTAAGGAGACAGAATACTGAGATTTTGGGAGTGTAAAGGTGATAACAAATTATTTAGTCAGCAAAAAAACTGGTTTTTCCATTGTTAAAAATTATTTATTTTAACATTATTGAAACATTGGGAAACTGGAATTTTCAGCTTCTTCCCTACAAGATGAAATGTGTTGAGGTAAAGACAAAGGAAATTTGTAGAAAAAGGAGTGGATGTAAGCCTTATTTATTAGCTGTACAGCTTGTTATGTTGAGGGAAATTTAGATTGGAAAAACCTTGAGAAAGTCTCCCTGTATTCCACATCTTGTTTATCTTACTCAAAGACAATAGGTAGTTATGTAATCTAAAGGATTCTAATGATTTTGTTTTCAGCCAATGAAGATTTTAAAGGGGATGAAAGAGTAATCAATATCATGAGAGACTCGTATGCAGAGGAGAAGAACAATTCAGATGAAACACCCACACGCCCGAAGAGCTCATCCTTTCTGACACGGTCTGGTTCTTTTACAACAAAGGGGAAAGAGAAAGGTAACATTAGAAGGTTTGATGATGACAGAGAGAGGGAGAACTCAAGAGATGACAAGCTCCTACAGCAATTCAATAAGAATGTGAGTTGCTTTTTTTTTACCCTTCCACTTCCAGGTGGAATTTACTGTAAGGATTGATTGACTGAGTTATAGCTATTGATATATGGTAAGAAATTCCTTCAGTATAGTTTACAGGTAATGCATCTAATTTTGTGTGGCTAAACTAGTTAATAAAATAAGATAAAACCTGTCATGTTGTGTTTGAATTCATGTAAGGATGCTGTAGAACACAGATCTTGGAATAGGCTGTTCCACACCTCAGCACCTTTGCAAGAAAAACTACTTTATAAACAGTTGGTGAGAGGCTGCAAAAGAGCCAGTTTGTTTGTGGAATTCCTTAATCAGTAGGAAGTAAAGTCATTTTAAAATATCAAGGAAATTTTTCAATAAGTTTGCAGGTTGCAATTCAACTTTTTTTTAATTTTGTGGCATACATTTGTTTGTTTGTTTGGCTTTAGACCCAAAAGGGCAAAAAGAACATGGAATCTTTGTTTGGTAAAGAGTTTGGAGGGACCATGCCTCCTACACTGTCAAGTCCTGTTCTTCCTGGTGGAGTTCATATTAGTGGGGGTGGCACCGTGCCACGACCAAAGTCAGCCAGTCGCTTGACTGGATTGTTTAACCCACCTAAACCCAGCATTAAGGTAAGCCATTTGACAGCAGTCTCTTATCTATCACTGCAAATTCCTCCAACGCCATGTTGAAAAACTGATAGTGGGGGGGGGAGGTGCTTAAGGTAAGTCTGTACTCAAGCCAAGTGGCCCAACCAGCCAGAGCTTAAACTGGTTCCCTTCATGTGAAGCAACTAGGAGTATTACAACTTCCCCCCCCCCCCATGGGATGCTTGTCTATTGCAAGGTTACCCCCCAGCATTTGATCAGGCTTCCCTGACAATTTGCCGAAATGCAGGCTTCTTGACCAAGAGACTAGTGCAAATCATAACGCTATGGAGTGTCTCCCACAGGGAGGGTGCTTGAAGGAGAAATAATGAGCAGGGCTTGTCAAAGGCTTATTTCATGTTTATTTTTTGTGCAACTTGTATAAATTTGCTTTTAAAAAAAAGCCTTTAAGAATCACACACCTCTTCATTTGCAGATTTCTGTGAGTTTATAGCAATATGCAATGTGCTATTTTTCAGGGAACTCTGAAAGACTCGTTAGATCGATATTCCTTGTATGGTCTGGAGGATAGTGCTGATTATGACTCTGGGCTAAAGAATGAAATCGAAGAACAGATTAAACTTGTAAGTATTTATAGTGCACTGAACAAATGACAGGAATAATTAAACCAAGAGTGTTTATTTTAAAGTAAACACTCTTGGTGAAGTTATCTTTTCACGGATTATCTAACAATTGTAATACTCTTTGGAGTAAACAAGTGAGGATAGTGAACAAAATCGTATTGTGATGTTGTGTTGATTAAGCATTTAATTGTCACAAACAACCAACAAATAGATGTACAGTCTTCAACCAGGTGCATTAGTTCCCAAATGATGGAAGTGAAAGACATAGAATACCTGAAGTGTGATTCTTTGCCAGCTTTGATAATCAAGAATGTTTCCCATGTTGCAAAAATGTGTGATTTATTTTTCAGGAGTCATCTTGGACTGAAGTTGTAGATGAAAGCCGCATTGGGGTAATGTCTCTTGTTCTATGCCATGATCAATTTGTATGCAATGTCTTGTATTCTTTTTACAGTTCCTTTCATAGTTGAATGTAGATTTTGTTTTCATCTATTTTCATTTATTTCAGACAATGACAAAGAAAGAGAAAGACCAGCAAGAGGCTATGTGGGAACTTTTGTCCACAGAGGCAGTGTATATATCAAAACTCTACATAATCAAAAAGGTAAGTAAAACTGAATTCTACTTCAAGACAAATCTTGCAGTGATCAATAGGCCATTTTATACCTGTGTACTCAAGCCTTTGATTTAGAGTGAGGCTGAAAGTGACATTGTTGTGATAGAGACTAGTATCCACTTAGCACAATAACAAAGTAGTTTACATATGATAAGCAGCAAGGTTTGTATCATAACAAGGTCACCCTTAGCCTCGCTGCTGTTCAGAGGCTTAGCAACCAAGTGCACAACTGTAAGATGGACTATATTGCAGTTTCCAACACCGATATTGTAACCAGCTTTTATCTCCACTGAAGAGAGGCTTTAAGTGATATTTCTGTTAATTTTATACATTGTTTCTTTTAGTTGTTTCTCCAGTGCTTAAGAAATTTGCAGAGTGAAGGATTTCTTGTAGAGGTATGACTTTTCATATAATTACATGACTGTATAATAAGGATTTGCACATATTATGTTGTTAATAGTCATATACCAATACTTCCCCCTCACACTCTACTGAAACATTGTTTTGTGGCCTCTGTTCTCTGCTGCCTGGTTAGCTCATGTGGATGAGCACCGGACTTCTGTGTGGGAGGCCGGGGTTCAAGACCCAGGCCGGACCCACACTTAGGGTCTCAAAACAACTAAGGAGAATGTGCTGCCTTTGCTATGACATCTGCAAGCAGTTAGACACTCTAGTCTTCTCGGATAAGGACAAAAAGTTGCAGGTCCCATCTCCTGCATCTTCTTGTTACTGGTTAGTGGGGGACATAAAAGAACCCACACACTTATTGAAAAAAGTAGGGGTCATAGTTCCCAGTGTTGTGGTCTGCCCTAGATTCTGAAATAGGGGGCATCTGCCAAATCTCCTCCAAAAAAAAGAATTGTAAATTGCTCAATGCAGTCTGACCAAAGTCCCCCACAAAGTGCTGTGAGGTGCATTTGATCATATTCAGATATTAATTAGCACCCAATAAGTAATAAATTATTATTATTATTATTATTATTATTATTATTATTATTATTGTGACCAAAATAAACTAAATGTAAAACTGAATGTACTTCCTAACTGAATGAAGACATGTCTTTCATAATCTCTGGTTGAAAGCTCCATCATATTTTTTTTGTTTGATCTTGTTATATTTAACTAAGATTCCATATGCTTTCCCAATAAAAAAAATTCCCCTCTCTGGTGACCTCTCAATCTCTTTGTAGTTTTCCTTTGACTTTGTTCTCTAACTTGATCATCATTCTGTTTGTATCCTTCTAATGATGATGTTTTGCTTTCCATGTGACACAGATCGAGGCATCTAAGTTGTTTAATAATGTTGAACAAATATATGAAGTCAATTTAGCATTTTGGACAGAACATCTTAGCAAGGTTGTTGAATATGTAAGTGTATTTTTACCTGCTTCTTGGGTACATGTATTTTATTAACGATAACATTTTCACCTGTGTTTTAGAGATAAGAGATAGGTAGAAAATTGTCTAATTATTCCACTTTCTTGCAGGCAAGGAAAACAAAAGATCTGCTAAATCCTTTGGATATGGAAGCTGGGTTCAACATGGTTAGAGGAAAAATTCATAGATAAAATTTCTTGGAAATGTAGAATCTGAATGAATATCTCTAGTCAGCTAATGAGGTTTACAAGAGCCCTGCTAAGTGATGGTAGCAAAGGGGCAAGGGGGGTGGGTCCTGACCCATTTTGTGCTGGAGTTTTTTAAAAAATTCATGCATCATGTATATTGTAAACAACTCTTCACATGTCACAAATTTAAGAAGGGAAAACTTCAATTTTCTCTTCTTGTATGCAAGGTTTCAGAGAAATCTTAAGGTTTTCAGCAAATGAAATGAAAATGAAAGAAAAAAATCCACATGTTGGTTCTTAAAATTTATGAATCATGTTTGCCTTTCTGTCAAATCCATGCTTTCACATATTAATTTTGGCCTCAATCACATGTCACATGTAAACCAGCCATTTGCCATCCATTACTGCTGTGTTATGAATGATGAAGCCTTAAACTAGACTTTGAGTATTGGTAACTTGTCTCAGCTCTTTTGTGATGTATCTGTAACATTTCTTTGCTATTTTTGTGTAGTTCGAGGCTCAGTTTGATCCATACATAAAGTACTGCATGGAGGAGTCTAAATGTTTGAAATACTACAAGGAAAAGCTGGTTGAGAATGAAGATTTCAAGACGTACATCACTGTAAGAGGACTAGAATAGATTTAGTTCCAACTGTTACTCGTACATCAGCAATTTCCTTTTTTTCTGTGACAACATAATTGAAGAAAACAGTCTATTAAGGACATTAAAAATTCCTATTCAACAGAATGGCCTTATTTTGCCAAAGGTCTGAAAGAGATCAATCACATCTTGTTCCCTAAGAGTTACTAGCATCAAATTTCTCCTTACTTTACACCCCTGAATCAAACATCAAGATCATGAGAACAAAGCAAATGATCACCAACTTAAAGCTAAAGAAGCTCTTGATTTATAAAATAAACCTCTCCTTGTCAGCACCTTTGGAAAATATGAAGAGAACAAAATGTAAAATATGCATACTGATGAAAAGGGTTAAGTCTCATGTTTAATAACATTACCATAAAATCAACTGATCATTTTTCATCAACCAAATGCTTGACATTTGACCAAGAGTTTAACTTTTGTTCAAGTTTGTTGCAATATTAGCCACTGTCACCGACAAAACTCATTTTCAAGACTTATGCACAGTCACACTGTACAAATGCATTTAACTATTGTATTTAATTGTTGTTGTTTCTTCTTTTATGAGTAGTGGTGTGAAGATCACAGGTTTTGCACTGACCGGCTGAAGTTAACTGACTTGTTGGTTTGGCCCATGCAAAGAGTTACAAAATACCATCTTCTATTGAAAGCCATTGGTAACAAAACCATGGAGGAAGACACCAAAGATGTTCTCAACAGAATGGTAAGATTTGTGTAAAACTAGACAAATGTTAAGTACATGTATGTCATGCACTGTTTTCTTCTAACCCCAGAAACACAGAAGCACTTTAGGTTATATTTTGCAAGCAAGCTTTTGTTATTGGCACTCTTACACAAACATTTCTTAGCCCATGAGAAAGTCTGAGTCCTTGAAGCAAGCCTGTGAGAAGCCTTTTCCTTGTCTTGTCTCAAATCTTTCTCATGGGCATAGAAACACATGTCCTGCAGCACTGGTTATGTGGACTTGCTCACAGTCTATTAGGTCAGTTCACTCAGATAGCTCACGTACTTCTTCAGGTGTGACTGTAATTTGTAACAATGTTTACTTTTTCCCTTTAATGCAGAGAGTTAAAGTAGAAACATTTGTGAGTAAAGTAAATGCTGCCATGAAGGAGAGGCATGAGTTGGAAAAACTCAAAGCAACTGCAGTGAAGATTCACAACAACTACAGTGTTGTAGAAGCTGTCAATGAGGAGATGGAAAAGGTATTAGGAAGGAAACCTTATTTCTCTCTTCTTTATGTGGACAATTTTGAAAAGACAATTAACCCTTTAACCTCCAAGAGTGATGAGCACCAAGTTTCTCCTTACAGTAACGCCACTCAAGAAGACATTAAGGTCATGAGACTAAGGAAAATGGTCACCAACTAAAAGGCTCTTGATTGATAGACAAACTCTCCTGTCAGTTCCATAGGAAGTGTATGGAATACATTTTGGAGAATATGCATGCTGATATTAGTATATAAAGGGTTAAAAGGGAAATAGAAAATCATTAAAGTTATAGGGTGATATGAAGCGAATTTCGTAGTGCAATTGGTATCTTACAAAAACCATGTTATTGAAACAAGAGAAATTGTATTTGATTATGAATTGGCTCTAATATTTCTGTCTTTTTTACTCAGATTCTCCAAGATTACAGCTCATACGACCTCACCAGACCCATGCCTGGTTTAACTGATGATCAACATCGTAGTGTCATTCATGAGGGAAATCTGAGGCTTCTTGAAAAACAGGGCAAAGTGAGTAAAAGGCATTACTAATTGCAAACTATAACTGCTGGTAAACTAGATGTCAGATTCTGAAACTTGCTGCTTTGTTGTTATTCCTTGTATAGTAACCATTTCACTCTGAGCAGTTACCAGACAATATTTCTCCTCACAATGTCAGCCCATTTGAGAACAGAAAGATGATCAGAAAAAAAGAAAAGAGTCAGTTTGTAGCTGTTGCTTGATTCAAACCAAACTGTTGGAGTTTAACTTTGAAGGGATTTGAAGTTGAGAGGGTGGTGCATTTTATTAGCTCTTGGGAGTGAAATGGCTAACAACCATTTAATTGACCTCAATTGAAAAATCTTTTCTTTGCAGATGGATGTCTATGTTTTTCTCTTTACTGATTTACTTCTCATAACCAAAGCAAAGAAAGCTGATAAATTCAAAGTGATCAAACCGGTGAGTTAGCAAAAAGTGTTATTGGCTCCTAAGAAATAAAAATCAAGTCAGACACTAAACTTGCACATCTTGCTGGGGCTCTCCATTCTCCTTGGGTAGTGTTACAGACAACTACATCAAACTGGTCAGAGATCCATGTAATAGTTATGTACTTCTGCATAGGGTTTTGCAGTACATAAGAAGATTAAGATATGATGAAAGAAGGTGCATGAGAAAGAAAGCTCTAAGTGACCTTTCATAGACTGTGTTATGCTAATGTGAAATTGTCATGTGAAACAGAAAATTTCTATATCATATGAGAATTCAGTTTAGCAGTAAGTTGTTATCCACTCATCCCTTCAAGTGGTGATATAAATTGATCTGATGTAATACATCAGATTCTGATGTATTACTATCAATTATTGTTAAATCATTATTAAATAAAACAATAATTTTTGAACTAGCATTGATAATCATCAAATTGATGTTCTGCTCCTTTTTTATTTAGCCTCTCCAAGTGGATAAGCTAGTCACTGCCAGGGATCAAGGAGGTACAGTTCTTTGTGTTCCTTTTGTTTTCCTTAAGAAGATGTCCTTCATCTCTAGTTAGAAAAAAAATTATAGTGTGCAATGCATCTCCTGTGTGTTTTATCTGAATGTACCACTCCCACTTGTCAATGCCTCCTTAGAATTGATGTAAGTTGCAATGAAAATGATGAACTTTGATTATTTTTATTACCCTAGGGACCTTCTTACTTATTTATGTGAATGAGTACAACATAGCTGTACAAGCATTTGCTCTCCAAGGGACGGCAAGTGATCAGGCACAGTGGATGGATGCAATAAAAAAGGCTCAGGTATACCTGAATCTTCAGTACCTAAAATATTGTTTTCTGCCGAAAAACCAGGGATACCTACTATAATTTCAGCTAACCATTGTGTTGGTACTTTCATGAATAAGAATGTATTTTAATTTTGGAAAGAGGAAAGGGAAGTTTTTATGCTAGATATCAACTTAATTTTCTTGAATGAGGGTAACTAATCATATTACTATTTCTTAGAAATTTATCCATATATTAAGGTATTTGTTTTTTTTTTTTTCATTGTCTTAGAAATTGTTCATGGTTGCCAAATTGGGGCAGGGATCTAGTAATGTACACCATATGCAAAATCCCAACGACAATGACCTTGTAAGTCCCTCAGGCCTTGTTACACCCTCTGGACTTTCACCTGCACTTCCTCGACCTCAACGCCGCAGATCATCTGGGTCATCAATTATATCAGTGGAGTCTGATTCAGAAGACGAGCTAGGAATGAACTTTTCAACCTTAAATTCTCGTGCACGTTCTGACTCGGCATTGACCACAGGAAGCAGCACCCATTCCTCAGAAGTTAGAGGTAAAGAAGTAGCAACTAAATCAACTAAATATACAGATGGTGCTGCATTACAACGACAGGAAGAAATACTTTCAGTAGAAGATGAACAGTTGCTAGAGGGAGCAATGGCTAAGTCACGGTCTGAATCTCTTGGAAAGATATCACGGTCCTCCTCCGCACCTCCAAAGGAACGACCACGTGTTGTGGATTCCAGTTCCCTGTCGAGATCTTCATCAGCCCCACAGGGGCCCACGTCTGTGCGTGTGGCAAGTCTTAGGGAAGCCATCATAATGAAGAGGAGAACTACAGAGGAGCAGGATGGATCTGTCACTTCTTCATCTGCATCATTAAATGACTCAGCAGGTGATTCAGAGGTTCAGTCACCGTTGGCAAATGCAGCTGTTGATTTTTCATTAGTTCCTCCACCAAATTATCAACAAACTAACGAAGTCAGATCTGAGCCTCAGTCTCCAAATCAGGAAGACTCTGGTGGAGAATCACCCCGCACTCCTGCTGAGGAGAATAATACCCAGCCTCCTTCATCTCCTGAAAAAGGAGTCTCATCTTCTATGTCTGATAATGACTATGAAAGCAGCGAATATGCAGGAGAACAAGAGGAGGATTCTGTTGAGGAACCCCTTGAGTCTGAAGGTGATTTATCACCAAGTAAAGACTGTAGAATGGATCTTTCAGTCCCACAGGTGGGTCAAATGCAAGAATTTCAAGCCCTGCAAAATTTATCGGACTCTATGGAGGCAACTTTTAAAAGTAATGGACCCTCCAAACAACCGCCACTGATAAAATCTCAACTTATTGCTCAAGATAAGATCCAATCTGCAATTACAACGACAGAACAACCACGCAAGCGTATATCACTACCAAGAAGATCATCACCTGTGATTTCAAGAAAGACAAGACCTGAGAACATAATAAGACATCGTGATAGAGACAGTCATGATGTAAATGGAATCATCCAAAAAATTCGAGATGCATCTTCTGCATCAGCCACAGAAGCTACAATTTCAAATCAAGAGCGTGGGCACAAAGTGGGGAAACTTACAAAAAGGTCTTCTGAGTCTACCAGACTTCCTGTGAAGCCTGATAAGGCACACTATCCCACAAGTGTAGACCTGGAAGAATCCCAGGCAAAGGCTGAAAAAAAGAAGGAACACTGTAATTCATTGTCGCGCACCAGAAAAAAGAGCATGTCTCTTTCAGACCTTCTGAATATAGGAAAAGACCTGACAAGTAATCGAGATAAAAATAAAGATAAAGAGGTGGACAAAGATAAATCACACCCAAAAAATTTGGAACCAACAAGTCCCTTGACTGATGAAGATGCCATTTCTCCTACTTCTGTTGATGAACTTCGCTATAAAAGAGAAGAGAAAAGATCTCGCTTTAGTCGACTCCGTAGGAAGTCTAGTCGAGGTGTGGGAGAACTGAAGGATGGTATTGCGTCTGGTCCTGATATTGATCCTAAAAGAGCCTCAAGGCATTTCTTTAAGGAGTCTCTCATGTTGGAATCTTCGTAAGTAGTTTTGTTTGTGGAAAGTTGATGCTTTGATTATTTTGAGAACTGGTTACCACCAAATGATTGCATCTGAATGTCTTGAGCTATAATTTTTCATGTCAAAACTGGCTTGATAATTTTTGTGAGCCTTTGCTTTGAATTGCTTTTATCCCTGGTTTGAAATTTATGGAGGGCATGCTAAATGATAAATTGTCTTTCAGTATGACAAAATGCTCTAGAAAATTTTTTTTTAATTTGGTGGTAGCCAGGCACAAGAAACTGTAAGTACCGTTCTATATCAGCACTCACACACCACTAGTTCAGACGTGTTAATCTGTGATCATTCTAATGGAGCCAATAATTGCAACTTACCACCTGCAATGTCATGAATGTTAATCTCACTTTGTAACATCTAGAATTTTAATTATAATCCATTTTCAGGCCTCAACCTGTAGGTTAGTAAACCCTTGTAACAAGTGGATTAATTACAGTCAATAAGGGATTGGTGTGAAATGTAAGAAGGTCGCTTTTGAGTCACTGTTGAAACTTGCAGAAAAATTCAGAAAAATTCCATAGTAAATGTTGACTCAAGGGAAACCAGTTAATCTTGAACCACTTGAAATGCTTGAAACACCAGCTCAGGCTCAGAGTGGACAAGTTCACCCTTTGGTGTGCATGTTTAAAGAGGACTGTTGAGAAGTGAGTGGCAGTGACTCTTAGTGAGCTCCTTCTGATTTATGCTTTTGCACCTATCCTTCCTTGACATAAACCTTTTGGGATAAATGAAAATCACAAATTATTGGATGGTAAGATTGGCAAGATATTGATCCAAATTCTGAATCTCTAAATAAATTTATTTTACATAACATGAATAACTCCCAATGGAAGTGGATGATAAATAAATGTGAATTTATTTTTACAATTTACTCTGGCACAATTTTAAATTTAAGAGAATATTATTTCCAAAAGATATAATACAAATACCATATGAATCTTGTTTTCAGTCAATTATCTTGAGAATTTTATTGTGTAATCTCTGAAACTTTAGTGGTCATATTTTTCCAGTAATAGCGGAGCTCGCGGAGCGTAGCCCCATAATTATACAAAATAGAAGTAACCCATCAAGCCGAAAAAAATTTGGATGTACGACCGTACGACCGTACGACCGTACAAGGTGCTACTTTTAACATGCGTGGTCAACTGTGCACCGGGCTCCGAGTCGGACGACCCGGGTTCTAGTCCTGGCCGGGGCAAGGCGTTGTGCCCTTGAGACGTGGGGGGGAAAAAAAAGAATGCGAGCTCCGCTTTTAGGCTTGGCTAAATCTATATATTTTATGGAGTCGTTTAAGCGTCCAGCTCTGCCAATTGTCTTTTATTTATTAATTTTTAAATTTAACTTAATGAATGAATGCAATTTCTCTTTAAGCTGTCACTCTTTCTTTTCTTTTCTAAGAGTAGACAAATGTCCAGTAAAATAACTTGGAAAGCAAATTGCAGGGACTTAAATTCTGTGCATTGTAAAAGTTAGATTGGTTAGAATTAAGGAAACAAACGATTTTAATTTTAATCACATCAAAAATTACACGAGACAATCAATTTCTTCTAATTTTTTTTTAACCTACCAAGCATAGCTTTAATTTTTTTAATTTTAAAGTTTTTAATAAATTTGTATCTAATATTTAATATTTAATATTTAATATCTAATATTTAACAGTATTAATGAATAAAGTTCTATGTCTGTTTCTACGTTGTTGTTTAACATCTCATTTGTGGTGTTTTTACAAATTTTAAAATAATTGTTTTCTTTCAAATTTTAATTTCTTAACTAAGTTGGTGATCTTCATAATACTAAGAAGCCTAAGTTATAACATAGGCATCAGATGGTAAACTTTTTAAAAGATTTATATCGTTGTCTTGAAATTCTCAACCATTTGTTGTCTTTAGAATTAAAGTCAGGATTACTGACTTGTTTAATTGTAGGAAGTGTTTTAAAGTAAGACAGTTTGAAGCCATCAAATTGAAAGAACTGCAGCATGAAACAAATTCTACCCCTAAAGTAAAGTCTAAACTTGAAACTACAATAATGAATCCTAATATGTTATTCCAGATCTATATTAGCATGGAATATGAAAGAGAAAAAGTTATTTCTACCCTAGATGATCATGATGCAGAATTGTCCATGAAATGTTAAATCCAAGCTATGCTTTTTACTAAGCAACTCAAGTTGCACACAACTGCTGTGCAAGTTTCTTTGACTTTGCTGTAGTACTTCACTGCAGCGGAAGCCATCTCTATATTCCCTCCTTCTCTGAAACCAAAGCTTTTATTTTCCTGTGTGACACAAGCACCATGATAACTCTTTGCACCGAGTTAACTGCACCATCAAATTTTTGACATACTGTTTTGGACAATCTTAAAGGCCATGTTGTGTTTTAGGTAGAAGTTGTAGTCCTGAAATGCATCAAGGCTTGCGGTCGGCAGGTATTTGAGTGTGTGATTACAAGCAGCATGCTCAATGCTTGTATATTTTTACCTTTGTTTGTGAAAAATTGAAGTAAACCTCTACCCTCCTAAACTGCGCTGCAACTATGCCGTGATGCTCCAGTTGCTATGAAAAATAACCGATTTAATGGACTCGCAATTACCTACAAACCAATCCTGAAGATCATGTTAATGATTTATTTAAGGAATGAAGGTCTTCATTCTGAATTGATGTGATTACCTAAATGAATTTGGTGAAGTGATGCTCTGAAATTCAAACTCTGTTTGTCTAGTGTTCAAAAGTTTTATGTATTTTATTTACCGCTTAAAGTTTTTAACCACTAATAATTGTAATATTTATTCTGTCGGTAACCTTTGGCCTAAAAACGTTCATATAGATAAGTAATTTCCACTTACAGCTTTTTCTCTTGAAGAACAAAGACAACAAACCAAAGAATTTCAAGAACCAAATAATTCTGTCTTCCAGTGAAGATAACCTCACGTTCAGCTTTAGCCAGCTTATCATATGTAGCAATGCTTTTTCTGCAGTTGTGTTATTTGTCAAAGTAATTCGCTTTTGATCACTGCTGACCCAATTGACACTTAAAGTCACAGAATATATGCTTAAATTTCCCAGGCAAAGGAGAGGGAGCTAGAAATTTCCTGTGTCCCACTAGCTCTATGCGCAATCTTTTTGCAGGAGATACATAAAGCTTGCCAGCAATAGTAAAATAAGCTGCTTTTGATATCTTAAATTTCCTATATAGAGGCTTAGGAGACACAAACGAAAGGAATCCAACAAGCATACTTATTTATTCCTTTTGTTTTTGTCCTCAAAGCTGTGCTGTTAAAATGAGTTTTAACCCTGAAAGCCACTAGAATGATCAACATCAAAATTCTCCTCTCAATATTAGCTCACTAGCACAAGGAAATGTCACAAGAATCAAAGAACTGGTGACCATTGCCTTACGACCAAGTTGCCTTTACGATAGAACGTATCTAAGTCATGTGCGATAATTTTGTGTTGAATCTGAGGCTTCAAGGGTTGATACATCAAAAGAGCTTATTTCAGGCTTTGTATATGACAGAGACAGAGAAGGAGAGGGAAGATGGAGTACTGGGAATGAGTTTTTTTTTTTTTCGAGAGAGAGAAGTGGGACAAGACAGGGAGGACTGGTTACCACACCCCAAAGGAAATTCGAAAAGGCGCTTGGTCCTTTCTTCTTTAACCCTTTTAACTCCCAAGATCTCGTTAGTATTTCTCTTTACTGTCTCCCATACAGTTCTTGTGATGTTAGTTCGAAGAATTTGGTATTGGATCAACTTATAATCTCCTAGGTGATATTTTACTTTATTCTCATCACTTGTCTGCTTGATATTGTATTGATATTGTGAGGAGAAATTCTGTCTTGGTCACTCATGGAAGTTTAAGGGTTAATGGTCTTCTTGGTGCTCCGTCGTTCTTCTCTTTCATGTGGGCGTCTGTCATGCAGCATGCATGTATGGTATTAATTTGGTCAAATCAACTTATTTTGTTTCATCATTTTCTTTTATTTTCAGGGAGTATGTATAAAGATGCTCCGAGGGAAAATGCAAATAATTAATTTAAATCGAAAAAATGCAATGCCAAGGACAATATTCCAAGAGGCCGAACATCAATATTTCTACGCGAAAAGTTATTTTTGTCGTGCTCTTTTATGACTTTTGCCAAGAAAATCCGTTCTTAAGCGAGAAACAACCATGGGTGCTCAAAGGTCGTTGCTGTACGTGATCTGAGCTGAATCACAAGTTCCTCGGTGCCTCAGATGGAGAAGAATCCTTTGGATGTGCATATTTTGAGTTAATGTCTATTGACCTTGGTTTGAGACTAATTGGACTAGGTTGGTTTGCTGCAAAGGGCGTGACTGTGAAAGGGAAGTGATGCCCAGTGAGTAGTAAGGCTTTGGTTGATGGATTGATTCTCAAGCTGGAATTGTTTTTCCATGTTTGGTGAATGTAGTATGGTGTTCCAGTCATCACCGACTGAGTTGCGGGTTTTAAAGTTCCCGGGTGGATTTTATCCCTGTCTGGTGATGAAAGGGACACAGAAAAGGTGTATGGTTAGTCTTTTGCTAGGATGAGTCGTGGGTTCCAAACCCAGTTGGAGCTGTGCTCCCTGCCTAGAGAAAGGTTGAACCGTGGAGGGTCAATGGATGGGTTTTGAGGGTGCGTGCTTGTTTGAAGGTGAAGGAGTTGCCGTTGTTTAAACCACAAGTTGTGAAGTCTCAAGAAGTTGCACCTTCCAACTTGCATTACTTGAATGTAAGATTTCAGTTGTTAAGCTTGCCTTTTGAGCGCCCAGGTTGATCTCTGATTTTAGAGTTTCTCTAACAGCTTTTTTTTTATTGAGATTCTCTCTCGTTTTATCTTTAAAGAAATCTAAGTAGACATACTTTTTTCAATATCAACTTAGCTGTGTGAAGACCTTACGCGTTTTATTGAATGTAAACAGTGTACATAGTGGTTGTAAATTTTTAGCTTTGTAGACTACATGGTTGAATTTTCACCGAATGTCAGTTTGTGGAAGGGAAGGAATTTTTTTTCATTGTATTTATTGACCAATTTTCTTTTTTTTTTTTTTATAAATACAAATGCGAACAGAGTGCACACCGTTACTTAAGTGTCTGTTGATTTGTGTCCAGCGGTCTTTGCTTAAACAAGGCTCCAGTGCTATTGTCTCTTCTTTAACTATCCCTTTCCTGGAGTGAATTGTTTCTTATCGGGTTCCAAAACGAATTCATTTCTCCTCCCTACCCCCCCCAGGACATACCGGCTAGATCCCTTTCTAGATATGCCATTCACAAGTTACTTCTTAGTTTTACTTTTGGAAAACGATAAAACAACGATTACGAGATGTTTATTTTCTTGGAGAGAGGGATTCCGGGATGAGGTAACCAATTCTTCTTGGGTCTCGAGCCCTTTCTCGATAAGCCATTTACACGTTACTTATTGGTTTTACCGTTAGAAAACCACAAAAATAACAACCATTATTTTCTAGGCGAGTCGGATCGTGGCACTAGAAGACTAATTCCTTTCTGAGTTAGACTGTCTCGTTACTAGAGGGTCTCAATGGGTTGATTACTCTTGCAGTTAATGGTTAAAATTGTGGCCAAGTTACCGCTAACAGTTAATTTCCGTTACGACTAAAAGAAAAATTTTCATAGCCAACTTTTTTTTCCGATTTAAGGTTCAATTTTGTCAATTTTTACGCCTAACCACTAAACCTTTTTGCCGTGGTACAGCCCGCGGTTAACCTCATTCAGATTCTCTTACTAAGCTCAAGTCGAATGGTCACATCCACAATTGATGAAGGGTCATGGAGGTGAATAGCCACAAACTCTAGCGAGTATTGGCCCTGTTGTGGTTTAATTTTATCCTTGGTTCAAATTTTATTTTCCTTTGTTTCAAACGCATTATCATATATTACAATACCCAAAAACAAAAGAATATAAAATTTGAACCAAGGATAAAATTGAACCACAACAGCCCCATCGGTGTGCCATGAAGGAGTTGCAAACAAGGGGTAGTTTCTAAAGAAACTATAGTGCTGCGTCGAGGGGAAAATATCACAGGGTAATTTGGTACTATCAACTGGGTTGATAACTTAAATTGGGCATCGTTGAGAGTTTGAAAGCTGACGTTTCGAGCGTTAGCCCTGCGTCTGAGCGAATTTTGTAAACAGACTCTTTTTAATTCATTTATTTGTTTGTTTTTATTTGATTTTGGAGTTTGCTTACGGCGTAATAAGTCAACCTGTTATTCTGCTTGTGTCAGTTAAACGCGATCAGGTTTATTAGGAGGATTAGAGAAATTATGTGGAGAAAATCTAACGAAATCTAACAATAGTTCCCGAAAACGTACTCAACAGCTCGAAATCGTCTTTTCGGAATTGTACAGAATCGGGCGGAAACGTTCAAATTTGGACGAAAAAGGAGAGCGTCTAAATTCGCATGGAAACGCCTGAACCGTTGTAAACAGACGAAATCCGGAAACGAATGAAAGCGTCCGAAATCGGAAGATGGCGTCTGAAACTAGACAAAAGCGTGTGAAATTGAACTAAAGCGTCCAGAAAATGGAGAATAGCATCCGAAAACGGACGAAGGCGTGTGAAATCGGATGATGGTTTCAGAATGAGACGGGAGCGTCTGGAAAGGGACGATAACATCCGAAATCGGGCTTGGTGTCCAAAATCGAACGATAGCGTCCGGAAACGTCTTAGCCAACCGATAAAGGGTAACCTATGAAAGCGGATGACAGCACACATACGGAGGACAGGGTTTGCAATCTGTTGAGAGCTTTAATATTCAATATGAATAGTGCGTCCGAAATCATGCATTCTGGGTATTCGAAGTGGTGCATTGTGGGTATTGAACCATCATGGCGGCCATTCATGAAGTCGCGCCGGACGCCTTACCTTACTATGATCAAGGATACGATGATCCGGGGGTTAGAGAAATGGTAAGTTATTTAACTAGACCTGAAATGGATTTATGTTTATCTATCCACAGTTTTAGGGGAGATGTGACAACTTTTAGGCTTATAGTTATTCTGCCATTAAAGTCTCAAAGAATTAGATGCGCGTAGCATGTCTATCAGCGATGGGTTCTTCCTCCCGGTTTAAGTAAAGTTTAGGTCTAAGGTGACTCACCACACAATACTGGTTCAAGTGGAGCTCCATTTAATTTGCTATTGCTTTGTTTCGAAGACGAGTGCCCAAAAATGTGTTCGGTCAGTGATTACTTTAGCTAGCAATCAGTAGCAATACGTGAAGTTGTTACTACTAGTCAAACACGATCTACCCCCTTTGCTCTTCCGTCGCAATCAGGTAAATCAGCTGGTTGAAGAAGAAACAAGACGTTACAGACCAACAAAGAATTACTTAGATTTCCTAGCTACTCCAGACTATGAGGCTTTTGAGGTAGGAGATGCGTGGTGAATGTCATTTCACGATGAAATAGTTTGTCCTTTAAGTTTTGTCACTCAACAATCAACCAAAACTAATTTATGTAACTCCTGCTATATTTACAGACGCCAATCTTGAAGAAAGAATTTGAAAGAATAAGCAAAAGACAACCAATGGACTTACTAAGCATGAAAAGGTGTTTATCTTAAATGAATGATATATACATTTCAATGAAATAATTGAGATATTACATGACGGTAACCAGACATGTTACCCGAGAGTCATCTTGCCCGAAGTCATGTCACCCAAAACCTGAGTCAGGTTGCCTGAAATTTTTAGTTTTGTCACCCAAAAGAAAGAGTCAAATCACCCAAAGAAACAAATACTAAAAATATCAGAATTTCAATGTATGTTTGAGTAACGATTCTAAAAGTGTTGTTCCTTTCTAACAACAAAGGGAAGTGTTGTTGGTTGGTTTGTACTCATTTCTTACTCATTGACATTTTGTAAGCTTGAGAAACTCTTTCTTGGTCTCTAACAAGAAGACCTTGACTACACAGAAATTGATCATGTGGTCGGAATTGAAATATGTTTGAGCAACGATTCTAAAAGCATTGTTCGTTTCTAACAAAAAAGGGAAGCATTGTTTGTGTCTAACAACAAAATGAAGCATTGACCTTTTACCGACCTGTCAAACGCAACAATCAACATTCATTTACCAGGTTTTTTCATCTGTTATTGTTAAGAAAGTCACAAATAGACACAACAGAACTTTACTTGTATGTTACACTGCATCCATGCATTTTTCATTTGTCCTTCATGGTATTTTTAGAAACCAGGATAAAGTTTCTCAAGCTTATGAAACATCCTTGAGTAAGAAATGATTATATACCAAATGAACAACGCTTCATTTTGTTGTTAGAAACTAACAACATTTCCCTTCGTTGAAAGGAAGGAACAGCACTTTTAGAATCTTCATGGTGTTGTTGGAAACAACGAGTGCTTTAGTGATTAAAATTTCTCAACTTTATTGCCTATTTACAGTCTGAAATTCTGATGTTTTTGGTATTTGTTTCTTTGGGTGACTTGACTTTTTTTTCAGGTGACATAACTAAAATTTCAGGCAACATGACTCAGGTTTTGGGCGACATGACTTCAGGCAAGATGACTCTTGGGCGACTTGACTGTAAACCTACATGAGCTATCACTGATCAGAAACCTAACATTTGTTTTTGGATAAACCCACAGTTATTTTATGAACTAACTCGTGTTGTTGGTTGAACACTCCAGGACTTTGTCAATCACTGCCTTGGCTCATTATTTACAAATACCGTTGTGTCTTCTCTCAACATTCTACATTGTATGTGGATTGTGTGAATGTTAATGATGGTTAGGTGACCCTCATGCTATGTTGTATTTTTAGATATGAACTACCCCAGCCAACTGCCAACCAGAAACATGATATTACATCTTGGACAGAAGCTGTGGAAAATTCCATGGCTCAACTTGAGCATCAAGCTGAAAGGTAATATTACCATATTGTTGCAGTACTGTATGACTTTTTCATTGTCTTCTGTGCGTTACATTTATCTCTGGTTGTCATTCTTGGTGCTGTGTACCATGAAATATTGTATAGAGTATGGTGATTATGGCTACTTATTGGATTTCTTATTTTTTCTGTGAGAGTTATCAAGTATGAAAATCATTTGGTATAACTAAACCCTTAACACCCTAACATTAGTATGGATATTCTCCATACTGTTCTCTTTACATTTCTGAAGTTGTTGAACAGGAGAATTTGTTTTACAATCAGTCAGTCTTAGTTTAATGTTTGATTCAGGAGTGAGATTTTAAGGAGAAGTTAGATGCTAGTCACTCTTTGGGGTTGAATGTTTAAGATGCAAATGGATTGTAAACTGATAATTTAATTTCATAAAAGTCCCTTAGTTTTCCAAATGATTTGAAGTTTATCAGTATCAATGAAAAGTATCTTTGTTACAGTAGATCATTTTCAGTTGGAGTTGCTTCTTTATTTTTGAGGATTTCTTTTAATAATGTATTTAATTCTTACATTTTCATGGTATCTTTCTTTCGTTTTAAGGATTGAGAATCTGGAGCTGTTGTCAAAATATGGCAGTGCTTCTTGGAGAATTCACAATGAAACTCTTACAAGAATACTGGCTCAACAGCAGAAGAAACTCACGGATATTAAGTAAATGGAAAAATATTTCGAGCCTTTTACTCCCAGACCTCATTAGGAATTCTCCTTACGATCTTCCTTACTATTCTTTTAAAGTCAGTTAAGAGAATCTGGTAGTCAATCAACTAAACTTCTCCAAATTGATATTTTTCTGTATTCTCATCACTTGTCTGCTTGTTATTGTATCGATGTTGTAAGAATTAATTTTTTTCTTGGTCACTCATGCAATGTCCAATCTTTAATGTCATCATCTTTTTCAAACTGTTCTAAACAACAAGATTTGGTTCTTCTTTTGTCATAGAAAAGAAATTCAAGAGGTCAATTGGCAGCGTAAAACAGAGCAGGTAACCTCTTAGACAGCTCTATCCACTGTTAATGACTTTCAAGATAATTCTATTACATGTAGTATGGCTTAAACTATTCTGCTTGTAGTGGATGATGATTTAGATGCAGAGTTTAGTAAAGGAACCATCATTTGATGCAGTGCATTTTTTCTTCCTTTGATTTATCAAGAGCTCATCTTTTGAAGTGCAAATAACTGACTGTAAATAGTAATGCATTCATGTGAAATGCATTTTCAATGTGTTTGATGTAAGGGGTGTGTTTTCATTAAACCTAAACCCTCTGATTGTTGATTCTCCCCTCTAGCTACTATACATTTCCTTGTAAATTGGTTATGAGAATTTGGTGTTTGATCAAGGTAATATCTTGTACCTGATGAGTTTGAGAATTCTCACTACCTGTTTGCTGGATAATGTATGGATATTATGGAGAGAAGTTACATGTTAATCACTTCTAAGAGTTAAAGAGTCATGTGAATTTTAGCACAACTTCTAATTCGCCTTGTATTATACAATGAAATACCAGGCAACTTGAAAGGAGAATCTATCAGTCAATCATCCTTCAGCTAAGGCTTTTTTCAATACACCCCATCACTTGTCTGTGGAAAAAGACAGGAAGATAACTAGTTTGATTATTTAAATTTTTGTTTCTGTATTTTTTTGTGATAGACCAAAGCAGGAGAACAACTTCAACATTTGGAGCAAAGGTTTGCTTCAATTTTTTCTTTTTTATTTTTACAACAATATCAATACCTTTTTTTTTTTTCTTACAGTTGGTTGATTTGTTAGCTCCATGATGTATATAGAATTGTTTGAATATGTTGTCCCTTTTCAGTTGGGTAGGGCTGGTAACAAAGAATTATGAAATAGAAAGAGCTTGTGCTGAACTTGAAGCAGAACTTGAAAGACTCAAACAGGAAAGTTAACAACATTAGGAAAGAACGTAAGTACTAGATTGTTTGTTACAAATTAGGTAATATACAGTTGCTGGGAAGACTGGACCCAACTTGAGAGAGTGAGAGAGCTGCAGAAATTGAGTTTAGTGACAAACTTATATCAGTAAAAATCTGCATGCAATTCAGTTGTTGTAATGCTAACTAAATTTGCATTTTTAAACAACTGATCAAATTTTCCATTGGTTTATTGGCATGATGACCCACACTGGATCTTGGGAGAACACAAGAAAAGTTTGTAGAAATAGTATAAATAGTTGAAAGTACGATTTATTTCTTTCAAAAAATAACTATAGCAGTAAAAAATAGGTTTTTGGCAAATCAGAGTTCTCATGATACTTCATTTATTTCATTAACCCTTTAATTCTCATAAGTGACCAAGGTAAAATTTCTCCTTACAATATCAATACAATATCAACCAGATAAGTGATGAGAATAAAGAAAAAGATCACATTGGGGATGATTAGTTGATCCAATACTAAATTCTCTGAACTAACATCATAAGAATTTTATAGTTGACAGTAAGGAGAGTTACAAATGTAATCTGGGAGTTAAAGGGTTAAGTGTATGTTCCTTGCCTCATTTCCTCAAAAATTTTCATGAATCTTTGCTCCTTTATTGTTTTCTTGTGGTTTTCTCTTGAATTCAGTGTTTTAGAAGTACTTTCTAATTGCAGTTCATTAATTTGCACTTTAAAAGGGAGGCCTGGGGTGAAATTAGGTAAACATATATGAGACCTATTGACTTGAGCACAGGAAAATGTGATGATTCATCTCCTCACAGAAACAATGAGTACATCATACACACATTTAAATATATGCCTGAGTCATTTTTCCAGTCAACAGATAGGGCTTGGCTTGGAGAAAGGAACCTATTTTGTAGCACAAAAATTTTTTTTTTTTTGGGGGGGGGGGGTTGGGTGTATGGAAATTTTGTAGGTTGTCCTTAATCCCACAAAAAAAAAAAAAAAAAAAAAAGCATTGCAGAAATTTTACACCTTCTTTCAAAGTAAAAACTCATATCAATCATCAATTTGTACTCCTTATAGTGGGACTCTCTTGAGTTATGTTGTTGAGGGGAAGATTTCGTTTCATCAACTGAGTTAATAGTGAAAATTGGCCACCGTGAAGAGATTTGAAGCTGACGTTTCAAATCTCCCCCACCAACACAGCACCACAGTTTCTTCAGAAACTTACCTCTCCCCCTTGTTTTCAATTTTACTTTACACAGGAGCCGACCAGGCAGATACTCAGTTCAAAGCTCAGTGAAGTGATGGAATCAGTTAAGGAATTTGTCAAGTTGCATCCAGTTATTCCAATAAACAAGACAGAAGAAGGAAAAATGACACGCTTCTACACAATTGTTGTCACGTACTTTAATATCTATGGCTCATCGAGTTAGAGTGATGCGCAAGTTTGTTTTTTCAAGCATGAATTTTATACTCACAACATACAGCAAATGTTTGTCTTTGTTATATTTGTTACTGCTAGTTGTCAACCGTAGGCGTGATTTCCTGTTGTTGTTTACTCTAGAGGTGCATTAATTTATTGTAGCAAAACAAAAGTAAACAAACGTTTAATGTACAAACCAGTCCCTCTGTTCACTGTTTTCTTTTTCCATTCCTTTCCTTCTGATTTCTTTTTTCTGGTTTCTTTTGGTGAATAAATTTATTTTAAGCTTGATTTACTTGCTTTGTGACGAGAATAATAAAATTTTTCTGGTTTGGGTGTGTTCAACTTTATCTCAGCAACACCCCACTGTGATCCCACTGTAATCACAGTGAAGTTAAAAAAACCTATGATCTAAAAACTTTTAACCCTTTAACTCTCATGAGTTTCTCCTTACAATATCAATACAATGTCAAGTAGATAAGTGTTGAGAATAAAGAAAAATATCAGTTAGGGGATTATAAGTTGATCCAATGCCAAACTAACACCACACGAACTGTTTGGCAGACAGTAAGGAGAATTACTAATGAGATCTTGGGAGTCAAAGGGTTAAAGCAAATGGACGCTCAACTATTGCGTGAAAGGGAGAGAAACGCTATTCGATCAAGCGGCTACCTGCTCCTTATGCCGTTCACGTGAACCGTTTTTCAGTTTTCATAGGCTCCTTGTGAAATATACCTCTGTTTTGAATGGCTGACGTGATTTCTTTGGTTTTTGGCTACAGAACGGTTAATCGAGAAGCGCAATGACACGCAATTTATTTTTAAACCCTCGCTAATAAGGAAGTGTCGTCTTTCTCAAAGCTGGTGGTACCCTCGCGTGATTGATAAGCGCCCTTAATTTCCTTTGAAGGTCATGGAAAGTTCTGCTAAGGTTTTGGGAACGTGTTGCGCGTGGGAAGATATGTCAATTCTTAAAATTGGCTCAAGTCTTGTCATGATTGGATACTTTTTCAACACATGGGCTTTTAATGCTAATGGAGAACCGTTTGGCATTCGTTCGTGTTACCCTGATTTGACAACGACGTTTCGTCTGATCTCAGTGCAATTTGCTACAAAATCCTACAAGTTCTTTTCAGTACGTTTGGTAAAAATAAACGTAAATTCTTTAGCAATAAATTTAAACGTTGAGCAGAATTGGAAACCGTTAAAGGAGCGGAGCAATTCCAAATTGGATTGAAACCAGGTTGTGATCTTAATTTCTGAGTGTGAGGTTTATGACAACAAAGTACTTGAATCAGTATCATATTGCCTGATTTATAATGGGAACTCCTTGTGTGATGTAAAACAAACGAACAAGTATTAAAAATTTGTAGTCATTCAAAACATAAGCCAAGTGACACATCAGAAGGTGCTTTCTGATGATTTCTCTCAGTATAAACCTTCGGTATTTTGGCCAGGGAGTATTAATTTTCTTAATTGGTTATTTTGCTACCGCGTAAAGGTTATCAACGACAGAAAAATTTTCAGAAAGTTCTGCTTTCAAATTTATGGCCGGGATTGTGGGTAGATTTTCATAAGATTTTCGCGGTTTCCACGAGGAATTCAGATAAAATACCCTTACGGTACGAACACGGAGCAATACTTCAAATCCCTCTGGAATGTCACGCAACAAGGTTTTCGTGACATCAATTACAAAACGGCATTGAACCTGAAGGAGACTACAGAAAAAATAGCCAATTTATGTCTGAGAGGAACACATCTCTTGAGACATCTAAATAAATAAAAATCACGTTTGTTATGAAAATCAACTGCCTTGATCGTTTCGTTAAATGCAATTTCAAGAGCGATATAGTCTTACATCACCCTTCCGGGATTCTTGCCAACGATAAAATCGTAAACGATGGTTCATGTTTGGTTTTCTTGGAGTTGCGAGTTTTTTTTACTGTAATCGTATTTTTTTTTTAAGTTGACGAGTCTTTGATGGACAAAATGCTTTTCCTTTAAGAAATTCAGGAACATTCAGCTCTTTTTGAAGTTGATCCAAATAATCATGGATCCATTCAAACCACTGACAAGGCTCAAACGATTAATAAAAATTAGCTGAATCCTTTTCTATCCAATATCTAAATTTTAAAAGCCTTTGCTCTCATGTAACGTTTAAAAGCTCCTTATATTCTAAAAATATCCTGTTTGTATACCTGGGTTTCATCGGGTAAAGGAAATACTATTTGGCAATAGTTTACTGATCTTTCGCTACCTTTTATCGCAGCGATATTTGACAGATCAAGCTGTGAAAACAGATAATATTTCATTAAAATCCCACCGACTCTTTCAGTAATTATTCCCACAAAGTCTAGCTTTCTTGCAAACTGCCTTGAGCCGGTTTTATCCGATCACAAAGGCCTTCTTCTGGGAATATTCTCCTACAGCCACGCGTGGTAGAAGAATCGAAATATTTCAAGGTTTACAACTTCTTTAAATTTTTCAACTGTACCATTTGCATCGCGACAGGACAACTTTTTTAAGCTTTTCTAAGCTTGTCTTCATTGCGGGATCATCGTTTACACAATCAGTTTTCCCTCACAAAAGGTTTGTGGTCTTTCAGTAGTTCCTCCATTGTTTGCAACCAGCCCTAATTAGCCACATTCATATTATTGTTTTCAATTATTTTTGTAGCGTGTCTGTAACAGATCCGACACTGCTGGAATTACAGCGAACCGTACAAGTTTGTCGTGCTTGTGTTTGCATGAACTACCAAGCGGATTAGGCAGAAATGCTGTAAGAACTAGGACAAAAAGCACAGAACTACAATGGAGTGGATTTTTCTAAGAATTCTCGCAGTATTCTGTACTTTAAGGACGGTCTGTTTTGCCGCAAACGGTGATTTTACATCAAGAACCTGTCAGCCACCAAAATTTACTGGAAAGGGCTATGTAGCATTTACTGGAGAAATAACGAGACTGTTTCTTGAGAAAAATAACCACATAACAGCTCGAGTTTACGTGCGAAATGTATTTCGCAGGGACGCGCATTTAGGTAGCGTTTCCGATATAAATGCCATCGAAAGAGCGTCATCTTGTGATCACCGACACAAACTGGAAGACGTGAGACTCTGGGTTGCTAAACGACACTCCAGCGGATTTTTGACCGCAGTTGCTTCTTTGCCTGTCACGATGAATATGATAGATGAAGTCCTCAGAGCACTCCCAGGTACGGAATACTAATAGAATAACTCGCGCATTGGTATGCGATTTCACTAAAATAACACGGCTATGCGCTGTTGACTTATGTAATATCGAATGTGAGAGATAACCTTCGCCCAATTTTATTACATTGCATTCAAAATTTTTCATTCCTTATTCCTTACTCATCCACGTTCGAACTTTGTTTCAAAAATGATAGTTTTTTAAAATTTTGTCTGGTTACGATTTTTTTAAACATTGCCAAAAAGGTCGCACGAAAAAACCAAAAAGTTTTAATCTGGAGACGCATGTTTATGTACCCTGTGAGTAACTGATCCTTACATGATTCAGCGAAAGAGGTCAGGGACTGTCTATAAAGGGCGACTGCACCCAATCCGCAAATTATGGATAACTTTGAATGAGTCGTTCAGTCTATCGTCGTTGATAGAGTTCTTTTAAAACGGAAACTGAGAAACTTGGAATATGATGAATGGCAGCGGCTAAGGGATTGAAGGTTTGATCGGAAATTACAGTGGCTTCTTGGTTGTTAAGAAAATTGGAAATTTTAGGGCTGCAACGGTCAAATCTTGTGACTTCCACCATTTGAAATATAATAACAAAATATTACACTTTTTTCTTCAAATAATGTCAAATAATGAGTGATTAATTAACTGTCGCAGTTACTGTATAGTAATGCAACGTGCCTTTGGAAGCAGAAACGAAATACAGAATTAACGACAAAATAAATATGTAACTACATATGCATCAATGTGAAAGATGACCTTTTCTTTAAACATTGGGAAAATTGAGATACGGACATTCGAGAATATCAGGAAATCTCGCCGGAAGTGAAGGTACAATTGATATTGCATCAAGCTATGAATTATTCATTTGATCAGGTACACATTATTTGCATTCTAAAAGCCTCTCGCTGATTGCATCCTTTTTGAAAGGTTTCAAAATTTTTGTCGTAAGGAAACGTAATAATTTCTGTATTGCTTGAACTGACTCAGTACACTTTTACAGATTGCCGATGAACGTGAAGTGTTCAGCTACTTACAGGTCTCAATTTTTTTTGTTTTTTTTTTTGCCTCAGGCTATAAATTTCATGCAAAGAGGATAAAAATAAGCGTGGAACGGGAAACGTGCTGTCTTTCCTATCTTGTTTACATTAAAAAAAATTCTTAGCAGAGGTGAAGCGCGTATGAAGTTTCCCCCCCCCCCCCTTTTCCCGCTTTGTGACCAGGTTACAATGCGATCTGGGAACGAGACCAAAGACGTGTGTTTATGGGATAAGAGGCTTAGGAAATGGGTGGGTCAGATTAGGATCACGGTTTGTTTTTTATTTATGTCAAATTAAATATTGAAAAGCCATTTTGAAGCCATCGTTTCAAACTTTGTGATGCAGAAAAATATAATAAAATTTCTTTCTAAAATCGAAATTTTGACGTGCGCTAGTTGGCGCACAGATCATATCTTGAACACAGGATCCTCATTTGCGTGATACAGAAAACTTCAGATTGCCTTTTTTCGCACGTTTTCTCAGCGAAGATTCTATTCAGGGAGAACAGTCTAAGGGTTGCATGCCAGGATTATATATTCTTTTTGATTCAAAGTCCTCCGTAATTGCAGCGTTTAAACTTGTCATTAGAGATCAGACCTGATCAAGCGCTTTTGAGACTAAAACAGACTTTAAGCCTTACGGGGGTGGTATATAAAACACAGTTAGTGTTAAATTTTGTTAATCTTCTGAAATGCCGCCGTGCTATCCACACGCAAAAAGATATTCCTAATCTCATTTCACCTCTTCTATAACAATATCTTAAAATTATCTTTGTTTATTTTTTGTCCTTCCGACGATAAGTCGTGTTAACATGAATGTTTTAATTCCTCCGGTGGTGGTAAGTATCAATCGTGTTTCAAAAAAGGAAAACTTGCGCGCAAATACGTAATCCTCTTAGCTCCTACTTTTTTAAACTAAACTCAGCGGCGGAGTGAACTCAGTTTCGGCAAAAGAGAAAATCATTCCATTGAAACGAAGGGTTTCTTTTCGAAACCAGGCTGAACAATATCGAATGTTTCTTATTATTATTTCCTTGACCTGCCTATGTCTATGTTCTATGTGCGAAATGTAAATCACTGTTAAGTAAGAGACCCCTCTCATGGTTTATCGTAAAGTCGCCTTTGAACCAAACGTACACTTTTCAGGCGCGAGCACGGAAGCTCAAAAATGACTGAGCAGTTTGCGATTGAAATCTTACATAAACAGTAATTAGTTTGTTATTAGAAATCATAGCTTTATCCAAGGCAAATTTTTGCATGGACTGAACCAAGCGTTGCGTGCGCGCAAATAGTTGATAATGAGAGACTGCAGCTTATCATGCCCCGATAAGCTGTGGTGGTAACATTTTTTTATTAAGGAGAGGTGATTGGTAATCAGTTGCTGCGTGTACACATAACTGCCGAGCCTTACATTACTACCTGAGGGGATGTACGTGAGTTTAAGGACGGTGAGGAGGGGTAGTTAAGTCCAAGAAAGCTGATAACCAGACTAAACAAAAATTAAGTCCCTCGTAACGAGCCATGGCAGTTTTGATCTAAATATACGTTTTCATTTTTTAGTTTTTCAATATTCTTTGAAACATCATGATAAATCTAATGGGGAAGTTACGTTATAAAATTTCACTAAGGGAAAGCCCGAGTAGGGCAGCCCAAGAATGTTTTAGGTTTAATGGGCGTGGTTATTAGTGACAGTTTATGGTATGATTCGCGCCTTTTCGAACGGTCAAGAGAGATTATATCGAGTTATACAAGCCAGATGCAACATGGCAGGGGTGGCCGGGGTAGTTTTTCTGATGCATGATGTACAATTTTCTTATTCTCAGATGATTCTTTCGACAACGGCAAATTGTTAGCTTTCCAACAAGGGATAGAACCATGCAACGAGAGTAACTGTCGATATGGCGGAGTGTGTGAAGAAGATTCCAACGGGCGTTCTCAGTGTCTGTGCAGGATATACTGTGCCAGACAGTATGATCCAGTTTGTGGAACTGATAGTAAGACGTACAACAACCCTTGCCTCATGAGAGCGGCTAGCTGTCAGTATCAGAGGGATATCACGCGCCTTCGTTACGGGAAGTGTGGTAAGTATGAGAGCTGGTACATGGTGCGAAGCTCGTGATGCAGGAGCTCTTCCCTTTGAAGCGCGTTAGCGGAGCCCCTTACCTAAGGAAAAGCTGATCAACCTCGGGAAAAACACGCCGTGACTTGACGGTTTACATCTGTATGAAAATTGCATTTCGCGTAAGCGAGAAGCTGGAAGAAACGACGTCGGACAATGCAACTTCAGGGAAATTTTATCACACCAAAGGGCATCAGAATTTTAAGCAATTCGAGCCCCCGTTTAAGGCTGGCTAAATCTTTATATCATTCCTTAGCCCAGGATTAGCTCAATGAAATGGAAGTAGTTTCATCTTGGTTATTAAGTCCCACAATCACATTAAAGAGTGATTTCTTCCCAGGTTTTCACTCTCCATACGTAGCAGTAAGAGATTATAATCTCTTAATACTAATTGGAAGAACCCGGGAATGAATCTCTACAGCTGTTGCCGACTTATTTTCATCTTAAAGGGACCATGAAACAGTGTAGGCATCAACATCGACCTTTTTCTACCGCTAGCTTCGAAATGCTCAGATGTGATATTAGGACGATATACAAATAAGTTGTAGGCTTTCTTCTTTACTCGCAGAATTTCAAGGCCAGAGGAATTTTCTTGGGTGTGGCATAGCCAAAAATGACTTCAGTGGAAGCCCTCTAACTAGAACTCCCATAACTCGAGCCCCTGGTAACTTTAACAAGATCCGATTTCCCTTGACACATTTTTCTGTCATTTGCTATCAGCTAACTCGAACCGTCGCTAATTCGAACCATTTTCTGTTTCCCTCAGGAGTTTGAGTTAGCGGGGTTCTACCATTGCAAGAAAACTATTTATAGAGTAGTTGTTATTCGCCTTTGAACTTTGCAGGTGCCACGAGTTGTCTTGGGTTGAAAAACGCCGGTGTCGCCGCCACAGATGGTGAATACCTCATATATGTACGTTCAAAGTGTAACACGCCAATGAAAGTCTATTGTCACGGTATGAATACTAGTACCCCCAAGGAATTTGTCACGTTGCCAGCCGGAGTTCAGAACAATTACGCCTATATTTACGCCAAAAGGCTGCCTCACAGACCTTACTCCGCAAGGTATCGATGTTCAGGAAAACCCGGAGCTATGAATTACACCGAAGCCGGATTGACGAAGTTCCGCAAAGTTCGTGTGGATCTCACGAGAATGGCGATCATCCCCGACGATTATACGTTTGCTAAGTCGGATCCTTTCGGCAGGAGAATCGCGTACGGAACAGCTGGTGACTGTTTCTCAATGCATTTTGGTGGTAACTGCAGAAGGGGACACTTTAAAATTGACCTTACTCGTACAGGCCTGCGCTTGAAGTCGTCTACTGAGTGGCAGGCGCTTGGTTTCCCACCAGGAATAGAAATGCATGAGTACAAAAAATCTAAGGATGGTACAATGGTGTCTGCTAAGTGCGGAGGATGGTGCGGACGATGTAGACCTAATGGAGAAATGTTACTTGAGCAGACTGTCTGCAAGCAAGAAGAAAGTAAGCCGATATCTTCCATTAATATACCCTGAATTAAAATTATATAGTTTGTAACGTCACCGAAGCTTTTGTGAGTGGTTAAACTTTTTTTTTCAATTTAATGCGGTTTTTTTTATGTTTTTAAAAAAAAACATCAATTTCCATTGAAAACTGTTATTTTTTCGTGTAGCTCAGGGTAGCACTTGGTTATGTACCTACCCTTCTTTACTCCGGACAAATCCTTGTTTCACTGAAGTTCCAGTCCAGTTTTTCCGATGAAACCCGAGAGAGACTGGGAGCTCTAAAAATCGTACATGATGGCAGTGTGTTTTGCTAATGTCGTGTTTTGCAGTTTTATTATTTTTTTCTTAAGAGAGGCTTCATTCTATCCTCGAATCAGTTTGTTGGGATTCAGGTTTGATTGATCAAATATATTAAATGTTTCGAATTTTTAACTTGGAATTAGAGGATGTAATATTGCGAAACATGAAAGACCATACCCAGAAAGAAAATCACTCTCAGGAAAGATCTTGCAATAAATATTTTTAAACGCTGTATTTTCAGCTTTACTAAGTACATTTTCTTTGTTAAAACGTTATACTATTGACCCAATGAAAATCTTATAACTGCACTCACTTTTCTCGAACATCCCCTTTTCTATTTGATGTTGCTGAAACATCACTATTATGTACTAACTAATTCAATGTTTCCTTTTCTTAGATCCCTGCCAGTCTATTGTATGCGAATTCTACTCTATTTGCCGCCGATCCATAGATGGTTACAGCCATGTGTGTGAATGTCCTTCGAACTGCTCCAAAGGGAATTCACCGGTGTGTGGAAGTGATGGAAAGACTTACGAGAATGAATGTGAACTTCAAAGGGAATCTTGCACCAAGAGAAAAACGATTAAAGTTAAAACCATGACAGCATGTGGTATGTATCTCATTAGAATTACGTTCTCTTCCCTCTTGGGTTCGATTTGGGTTTGATTAAAATTAAAAGAAACCTCGGCGTTTTCTCATACGACCTTCATTTCAGTGTCATTTAGCATTGGTAAGGGAAAGGGGTTGGTTTGGGCAAGGGGATAGCCTTTGGTGAAGTTTGAGGGTTTAGAGGTGAGATGTCTAAAGTGAGAGTTCAGAGGTCAGGGGTCAAACAGGAGGGATAAATTGTAGGATTTCCTTGCTAAGACAATCTGTTAGGGGAGAATATACTACAAAAAAAATCCTAACCCTATCCCAGACTTGGTGTTTCCTCATGCATTTTTTCATTAACCCTTTACATCCTAACATCAGTATGCATATTTTCAATACTATTCTCCATACATTTACAATGGTGCTGGCAAGGAGAATTGTTAAATAATCAAGTGTTTCATTAGTTGGTGATCATTTCCTCAATTCTTATGACCCTAATGCTTGATTGAAGGGTCATATTGTGAGAAGAATTTAGATGGGAGTCAATTTTAGGGGTGTAAAGGTTAAAATGGATTTCCAAACAAAGCAGTGATAACCACAGCTGAAAGGCAACTTAAACAATTGCAGAAAAGAAGCCTGAAAAAGGAAAAAAATTCAGGATTTAAACCTGTTCCTCCTGAAGACTAGTTGGGTGTTTCCCATGTGTACCAACTGAGCTATGAAGCCACAGTTGGGAGCAGGGCTCATGTTCCATGTATAAGAATGGTCTTTGATATTAGACTGATCTGCTTTTAGGAGTAAAACAGCCTGTTCACCTCATGTTTGGCATTGATACTGCAACTATGAATGAGCCCAAGTATGTCCTGAAAATCAAAGAATTCTACAAGGAACTTGGAAACAGATTCCGCATCCCTGAACAAGGAATAGCTCATGGATTTTTGAAGTTTGATCTAAGTGGCACAGCAAAGATGGATTTTGTAACATTTTACAACTATGTTACCTTACCTGCATATATCAATGCACTGCAGAGCATTGACAAAAAGACAACACTGGATGAGGCAATGAGAGATTCTGTTCCTGGTCTCTTGTATAGGTTGGAGTATGATAACAGATTGAGATATAGTCAGTTCCCCAAGGTATGGCATTTACATGTTTTCCTGGTATAGTTTGTGCTTGAATTTAATGGATAGCTGTTAGTAAGAGCAAGTAGTTGTTAAAAAAATCTGCTTCCTTCATCTTGTTTTATTCAATTAGGAAGAAAAAATAGCAGAAATTGAAATGCTATCAAAGAAATTTTCAATTTTTCAGTGGAATCAAATACATAATTTACCTGTAACAGGTTTAGGTGTGTCAATCAATACCACATGCAGAAATTTCTTAGAAGTTTGTTTAAATTTCATGGAATGCTTGGGGTAACAGCAAAAAGCATTATAGTACTGTTTAGAAGACTGCAGCAGTAGTGGCAAGTTGAAACAAAAAACATTAAAAAGAGTTAACTTGACTGATTAAGATAAACAAACTGTAAACAAACAATGAATACAAATGAAGCAAAAATGTAAAAAATGCTTACATTTATAACACCTAATATATAACCGCAAAAAAATGGACCTCTAAAACAGAGAATTGTGCTAAGTGTGACTATTGGTTAATTGACTTAAAAAGTGATTATGTGTTAAAGGAACTGGCTTTAAATACAAGAGGACTCTGAAATAATGTGCAGTGTGTGTAACTGACAAAGAGAAATGCTAAAAATCTTTAAAAAAAGACACTAACGAGGAGGTATGAAAAAGAGAAAAGAACAAAATAAATACAAAAAATAATTAGCAAGCTCTTAGATCTTACACTTGGGGTATTTTAACACTTGGGGAGGCCATTGATTGAAGGCAGTTATTTGCAGGTCTTTGGCTCGTGGCTAATGACGAGTGAGAAAATTTGCTATTATACTGATTATTTCTTTTACTTTCAGGCTATTGTGCTGATAACTGATGGAAGTCGTGTGACTTATCCTCAAGGCCTCATAGACATGTCCAATGCATTAAAGGATGCAGGAATCAAAGTAGTAGTGCTTCTTGTTGGAGATGAAGATAATGGACTTGATAATGTGAAATCCATTGCTTCAGGGGAGGATTTCATTTTGACCGTAGGGTCACTGAATCGACTGAGAGTGATGTTACAACCAACTGTGGACAAGATATTAAAAGGTAACTCGTCTATCATTGTTTTAAAGATCTTATTTTGATGGGAAATTATTTAGGAAAAGTGCAAAGTTAGTGAAGTGGTCTGCTGAAGGAACTCTCCCCTTAGGGAGATTCCTCTAATGGTAATAGAACTGAGTGATTAGTAATTTTGTTTGAGATCACTTGTGTGGTTTGGAAATCAAACTAGTGCACCACATGAGCTTGAATTAAAAAAGCAAGTAACTATAAAGTTAAAATGCCTCTTTAATAAAGGCCTTTGGTCAGTATCAATATTTTATTGATCTAACCACCAAAAAAAAAACCAGAAAGAAAAAAAAAGGGCTGGCTGGTTGTCTTGTTTTAGTGTTTCTCTCTCATTGAGCAGGAGAGAGGAGCAATTTTTAGCAAAAGTTTCACTACATGTCAAGTTTGCCATGTTTTAATCTCGTATTACATTGTCTTTCTCAGATCTTGACGATTGTCGCTGGAAACGTTGTCATTTCTACTCAAAGTGTGTCAAAGGTGATGTGGCAAAATGTGAGTGCAACCTGGTGCCTAGTAATGTCAACCGCCCAGTCTGTGGCTCGGATGGTCAGACTTACAAAAACCTGGTTGCCCTGCAACTGGTGGCTTGTCAAGAACAAAGGTGGATTGTGCCGAGACATACAGGAAGATGTGCTACTGGTAAGTTTATATCCTATTTTTAGTAATTTTTTTGCAATGCTGACGCAAAAACTAGGAGAAACTAGGAAGGAGACAAAAAAATATTAATTTAGTAAGATTAAAAAACACGTAAGAGGCAATAATAGGCCAAGTAGGGCCAAAGATGGCCAAGGATAGCCAAGAATGGCCAAGGATGGCCAAGGATGGCCAAGGACGGAGAACATTAAAACGGATACTTTAGCTAAAATTAGATGTTGTTTTCTTCTTGTCATCCGTGTGGTTTGTTATAGTCATTATTGACCCTTTCACTCCCAAGATCTTATTACACATTCTCCTTACTATCTGCCATGTAATTCTTATGATGCTTGTTTGGAGAATTTGATTGTGAATCAATTGATCTCCTGATTAATATTTCTCTCTTTTCATCACTTGTTTGCTTGATATTGAATTAATACTGTAAAGAGGAACTCTGTCTTGGTCACTCATGGGAAGATTAAAAAAACCACGCTCAACCAGAATGCATTGCGGGCGAAGTGGCCATTCTGACCTTTTTTTGTATTACAGAAAAGGAAAGCCTACCGTATGTGTAAGGGTTAATACGGAAAAGAGCTTAAATTGGATTATTTTTCTCTAGATAGGAGGGTAAAACTGTGAAAGAAGAGGGAATAGGCGTCATGCCCAGTCATAAAAGCAAATATTAAAATTGAAAGGAAACCTCCCAATTTCAACAATCCAAAATACGGGTCAAGAATTGACGACGACGATCCTTTTAACACATGTCGTGTGTTTTTCAGACCCAGGTTGTGATGAGCTGGATTGTAAATATTACTCGTATTGTTTGGTGCCGCCATCTGGAATAGCCACGTGCACCTGTCCTGATCGAAATGCCTGCGGTGATTCCAAGAACCGAGTGTGTGGCACGGACGGGCTGTCGTACGATAACATCTGTCAGCTGACTGCAGCTGCTTGTGAGAGGTACCATGAGGTCAGAGTACGGCATGGTGGATTGTGTATACGTAAGTTGCGTTCTATAAAACAAGTTAAATTATGCACTTGTTTTGATGGTTCTTAATTATGATCTGTTGAAGGACAGATGCATAAGTGATGTCACCGTGAACAGCTTTTTGCTTCTTTATATTATTAAAAAAGTAGATTCCATGTCGCCCTGGGTCTGATCAGTAATAGATGACAATAGACATCAAAATGTGGTAATAACATTAGTAACATCTCCTCTCAGCCCCCACATGTTGACCTCATCTGTGAGCTATTACTAAACAGACGCTCGGTAACATTGACATGGAATCTGTTTGATATTTTGGCAGCCGAGTTTTGTTTCAGTACATAGAGGAAGTTTCACAACGGGATTTGATCGTCGTGATTTCACCGTGATGATGTGTGATCACGCATTTCTGCGAAGTTTGCTGGCCTGCCGGATAGTCCTTTTTGGAAAAAAAGAAAACACTTCACATTTACAGTCGCTTTGTCCCCAGCTTCGGAAATAAATGAAAACCGCTACTCTGTCAAGGAAACTTGTTCAATTCTAGGCGCCTTTCTGTAGTGGACCAGCATACCATACGGGAGGGGTGGCGATAAATTTCAGGGGTGTAGCAAAAGGGGGTGGGGTTAGGTGCTCGTGGATCCCCCTCTGAAGTGAGATTATTATATTACAGCCGGGCTTCTTTTTTACTATCACCTGAGGACTCTTCTCCTCTTTATCTTTCTCTGTGCACAGTCTAGTTTTGTACGCAGACATGTAGCAAAGATCGTCATGTCCAACTGGAATCAGGAGATATTTACGTGATCGAAATTTTTACATTTCAATGACTGGAGTCATTTATGGCGACATGTTATATCTGGCTATTCACACTCAAGTGGACTGAAGAATTTACTTTTATAATGTGTTTTGTAATTAAGTCGCTCCCGTTTCATTAAGTCATAAAACCTTTTCTCGGAAACTGGAGATTAAGTAGTCACACTTAGTTCGACATGAAAAGAAATTTAAAAAAAAATGGCCCTTGGAGGTCTATCGCATTTTTAACTTGGCAGCGTACAAACCTGATGATTTAAAGGTTGAAATACGCGAATCCGAGGAATATACGTGGAATCAATGTTGTCTTGCGCTAGACATTCCATTTGCCGGTCCTTCTCACCGCGTCGATACGGACCCGCCGGTACGCAAAATAGAGCAGCGGTATGAGCGAACCCTCGCTCCCTTTTGCAAAATTTTAAAAACTCTTCCTCTATGTAACCACTTTGACTCTATTCCCTTACATCTTCTCAATTTGGCTTCCATTGCGCTGAAAACTAGGCCACCTTCTTGCCATTAGTTAGCCCGAAACCAGCGTTCGATTTCTCTCATCAACTAAATTTGTTACGTTTTATTGATATAGAACAACCAGTGGATCTTGTCTTTGCTCTGGGAGGAGCAGGCTCCATTACCTTGGACACATTTCAGAAACAGAAGGGCTTCATTAAGCAGTTCCTGGACACGTATGGTACCTCTGCGCCTGGTGTGCACGTAGCCATCATTGACTATTCCACAGGTCGACTGTTGGCCGAGTTCCAAAACTTCGACACAGACAACCTTAAAGACAAGGTCGACAGGCTGCGTTTAACACGAAGAGGACGAGTGCAAAGTGCTTTAGTGGGCGCAAACAACCAGTTGTTTGGAAATTCTAAGCTGATAAGATCTTACGCGATTAAAGCATTGATTGTTTTGACAGGAGAGGGCACGAATGAAGCAGACGCAACGTTACGTAATGCTGCGTCACCTTTGAAAAACCAAGGAGTTAGGATAGTAGCAGTGGCTGTTGGCAAAAACCCCGTGAAAAGGAAGCTGTTGGTCTTTGCTTCTGGAGAAGAATATATTTTTGATTTCGACGAAAATAAACAACTGCCAGCTTTGGTGCCAAAAGTATATGAAATGATTATAAAAGGTTAGTTTTAATGACAGTTTGTATAATTCGGTAATTTTCCGTTATCCGTTAATTCCCTTATCTTGTTACCGAAAACTGCCGCGTAAAAGCCTCCCCCAGACTAAGGGCCAATCTACCCGTAATCTTAAAAAAGACATCCGATTATAAGCACCCCCCTCCTCTCTTTAAGAAATTAAAACTCTGCTGTTAACACTTCAACTCCCAAGAACTCATTAGTAATTCTCTTTACTGTCTGACATACAATTCTTACGATGTAAATTTGGATAATTTGGTATTGAATCAACTAATAATACCCTAATTGATATTTTACTTTATTCTCTTCACTTCTATGCTTAATATTGTGTTGATATCGTAAGGAGAAAATCTCTCTTGGTCACTCATGGAGGATAAAGGGTTTATTAGACATTAAAATTTTGATCATTGGAAAGCAAAGACAAACTTTAAGGGAAAAGTCGGAAATTCCGTTTTGTTATGTTCCAGTTTTGTTCTTGTTGTTAGTTTTAATTCCGTTCCAAATGCGTGAAATGAATTCGATATTTAATGAAGTTTAATTAAGAACCAGTGAAATTAAAAACGTATTTTGATCAGCATTGCCATTACTCGACTCGAAGCGCTTTTTCTATTCCGCTAATAATGCTCCTTGGATATAAGCCCCCTCGGATATAAGCCTCCTCGGATATAAGCCCTCCTGAAACCTCTTACGAAGTTGTATAGGCCTAGGGCCTTTTAGCGGCAGTTTACGGTGTGTTGACCAAGAAACCACTGTGGTGAAATCTGACTGCACTGACGTTACGCTTGTCCGTGTCTTTCTGTAGATCCGTGCGAGAATAAGGTATGTGAGCACTATGCCCAGTGCGTCTCTTATGCCGATGGCAGCACCCAATGCGCTTGTGATGAGAAATGTGCCAAAATTGAAGATCCCGTATGTGGAACCGATGGTCGGGATTATGCCAATGAGTGTGTTCTGAAGGCGACAGCATGTCGAGAGAGCAGGGATGTGGAAGTAGCAGACAAGAAACCTTGCGGAGGTGAACACAAGTACCTTCGATTTTTTATTCGTAATTTTTAGTAATGGTTTAGTGCCATCCCTCTACGCCTCTAACCCTTAAGTGCAAATCATCCATATCTCCTGCGTACCTTTAATCCCCTGATATCTCAAACACCCCTAATATCTAAAGCTTTTCCACTCGTATCGCGAATCCTCCAACACCTTGAACCACAGTTATCATGAACCTTTCGTTTCTCGAACTCCCTTGTCTGTCAAGGTCCCCCGTATCCTGAACCTTCCGCCATCTCGAACCCAGGGTATTGCTGCGACCTAGTTTTATGGTGAACCTTCAGTATTGTGGGATCGCTCAGTGAGTGAAATATGCCAGTAAGGGAAAGTGTTCCATTTTCCAATTCAGTTTTAACATGTGAACTGACAACCCTACGTGTGTTTGACATCGCCAATCAGATGCTGACATGTCACTCGCCTTTCACGCTTCTCTCATTAAGACAGTCGATTTCTCTTATCAGTAAAAAACTAAGGAGTGTACATAAACAAAACAATACATGGTTGCTTGTAGATATGAAATTTCTTTTCTTGCTATCAACTCGATTTATCACTCGTTCGCTGCACTCACTCGGGAAATATGGAGTTACATACGAGAAGATAAATGTCTTATCTACAAGCAGCCATTTATTATTCTCTATTTCTCTTTATCTAGTGGAGAGTCCAACGGGAATATTTAAACAATAACTTACCATGCTTTCATCTTTCTTTTAAGCCTGTTTTCACGCGATGGACATTGGTGTAGTTTTGGATTCATCTCGAAGCGTTGGTTGGGAAAATTATGAGACCCTTAAACGCTCCCTTGCCAAGCTTATCGACTACTTCCACGTTTCTAAAGACGGCACCCACTTCGGCTTTCTTCACTATAATCAAGACGCCATCTTGGACTTTGATTTTGCCAATTCTGCCTCGCAAAACCCACAGGCGCTGAAGGAGAAGATTTTGGAAATTAATTACGACCCTGGGCGTACACGCACAGACAAAGCGATCAAAATGGCAAACGAGAGACTATTTACTGAAGAAGGCGGAGCGAGAGAGGGTGTGCCGAAGTTGTTGATTGTACTCACAGATGGAAAAACCAGCGATGATTCAGCTCCCTACTCGACAGTTTTGGCTCCTCTAAAGGTCCGGTGAATTTGTAGCTAAAAGAGCTTTGTGATTTTGAACTGGGAAACCAAAACAAAAAAGCCACTATTAGAGCAATTTAAATTGATTTTCAAAAGTAATCCCAGATTGCATTGGTTTTCCTCCACTTCGCTTTGTGATTGGTTTAAAAAACTTTACTGCGCCCCTCTCTACCAATTAGATGCAAAACCAAAACCGATCACGACTTGATCATCGGACGTATTCCTGCGCTTTAGTCAGTTTGGTTGTTTTTACTTTGAGTCCTCATTGGCTCTTAAAGGTATTTTCATTGCTCTGATAAGCCGTTGTGACTACTTTGGTTTTTGTAATTGCGCTTACTTTTTTTTTCTCTCAACTTAACTGAGAGTTTTCATTCTTCTTTTGACAGTTTTGACTGCTGTCAGCTATCTTTTTCAAAACTAAATATATCATCATAAGGTGTTAAGTGTGATATTGATATTAAGCGTGGAGAGTCTTGTCATTCAAGCGCGCAAAGTAGCTGTGTTAAGATGGTTCTCAACTCAACTCGATTCATTTCCTTTCGTTCAACTCTTCCTCTTGATAAGCAGAAAATACATTTGATAAGCTTGAAATAAATTCCACATCCAGAGTATAAGCTTCTGAAAACGTCTCGACCAATAGAAAAATCACAACGGGATCAAAAGTCTGTCGATCGCAGGTTTATCAGACCCTGGTTTATCTTGCGACTGGCTCGCGCTAAGACTAGGTAACAATAAAGAGATAGTCCGTATGAATGCTTTAACCTCTAAGGGTAACTACCATCTAATTTCTCCTTAAATATTATATCACCCCTGAATCAAAAATCAAGGTCACAAGAACAGAGGAAATAATCATCAACTAAAGAAGCTCTTGATTGTTAGACAAATTCTCCTTGTCAGCACCTTAGTGAATGTATGGAGAACAGTATGGAGAATATACATACTGATATTGGGGTGTAGAGGGATTAAGTCACTGAATAGGAGTGTTATTTCCATTGCAGACTAAAGGAGTGCAAGTTCTGGCTGTTGGCGTAGGAGCTGGGGCTGATGAAAGTGAACTGAAAACTATTGCCATGGGGAATTCTGAAAACGTCCTTAAGATGGGATCGTTTGGACAGCTTGCAAGAAGTTTGAGAACAGTAACCAAGAATTTGTGTCAAGGTATGGATGAATCTTGTTTAAAAGAGTTAGTTAGTTGTAACGCAATAGGCACTCAGAAATTTTGAACGACCGCAACAGCAAAAGCAGCATCGAAACTGAACATTACTACCATAATTACGGTAACAGTGAAGACAAAGATACCAAAATAAAAAGAAACGAATTATAAACCAGAAATCGAGCCCAAACAAAGGAAAAAGGCTTTAGTTACTGATGTTTTTAAAGGTTTTGTTACTGAGTACACTTCAAACTGGATTTACTCCTGGTTTCCGAAAAGTTTTTGTCTGTAGCTGGTTAGACATTCTTTGAAAGCCATTGCAGTTCTGAGATGCTTCTGTTTAAACAAGTGTAACTGTGAAGCTTTTTTTAATTTTTCCAAAAAAAAAAAAGTAGTTTTCCTGTAGCCTCATTTTGAAAGAGTTAGTTTTTATGGAACTTCAAAGTGTCCTGTTCGACCAGTAATTAAGGTTATCTTCGAAATCACGTGTCCTAGTGTAGACTACATGCAGTCTCCTTTTATTTTTGGCAAAGTCTGTCGGGGGAGAAAAAAAAATAGAATCAGTGCGCGCAGAACTCTGGGAGTGAGGTACCTCACTCCGAGAGTTGAGTGCGATGCGCTAAGATAATACTTTTTTTCGGCTAATTTTTTTTTAATCGCTCGACGGACTTCGCCGAAAAGGAGGGACTACTTGTAGACTAGGCCTATAAGTGTTTCAACAACGACCACAAACACACTTATTAATGTCGCTTGTCTAAATCTGCCTAGGCATTGAACCACTGAACTTGGTGTTTGCTATCAATGCAAACGGACAAAATTCTAAGAATTACTTTGGCCGCATGACCGACACAATCAACTCAATCATCGACTCTTACGGACAGCAAAAAATCAGATATGGTCTTATTGTCTACGGCAGTAAGGCGGTGCCACGAATCCAATTGACAGAGATATTTAGTAGCGACGAGCAACTAAAAATCTTCGTGGAAATGGTACAGCGGAGTCGAGGCGGAGCGGACTTAGCAGCCGCTCTTGAGAGTGCAAAGGTGATGTTCAGCGGTGAGATACCGGAGCGTCGCAATGTGTTGGTGATTCTGACCGATAGCAAAGCGACAGGGGACAGGGCCAAAATTCAACCCCTTGCGGATGAGTTACATGAGATGCGTGTCAAGGTTATAACCGTTGCCATGGGTGAGGAGTCAGATAGGAGTGAATTACGGCCTTTATCTCCCATGAAAGATAACAGTGTTAAGGAGGACCCCAAAGAGAGTCCTAAACAACTTGGTGACAGGATCATGAGAGAAGCTATCAAAGGTGAGCAACTTGCTCAAGGAAGTTCTGCGATGTTTAAAGTTACTCTCCATCTATCTTCGGGGGTAGACTTTTCTCAATGTATCCCTTAAGGTAAGGGTTAAACCAAGTTACTGCGGCAGTTTCTCCAATGAGATGTGGGGAAGGGTGGGGGGGGGGATCTTCAAAAAGGTTTGCAGTGGAATTGCCCAGTGCTTTTGCTCGGTTTGCCTTACTACTCTGCTTGTTTTGTTTCCCCCCACCTAACCCAATCCCCCTTCCACCCCAGAATTTAAATTAGTAATTATTCCCTATACCAATTTGTTGGAGTTGTGTTGACAGGTGCCTGGAGGTGAGCTTTGTCTGGGTTGCCATGGTCACCCCCTCGCTGCAGAGGAGATCACTGCCTTCCTCTATATGGGCATAGGGTACCCACCCTCCTCTTTTATTGATGGATGTTGTAATTATCTCTTTCCTGAGGAACTTGACTGTTTCCTGGGGGGTTGAGATAGCAGGACGCCTTTCTAGTTTTACCTTGCAAAATGAATTTTCTATTGTGTTTTAATTTTAATCAGAAATGAAGTATGTGCCTGTGGTGGACCTTGGCTTCGCTCTGAGTGTCTCTTCTTCAGATGCCAATAAGAACTTTGAAAAGATGAATTCTGTCATCAATGCTATTATCGACCAGTACAGCGTCATCCGGATCAGATATGCGGTCGAAGTGTTCGGTAACGACACAAAAACTGTCCTCGAATTTCATCAGAGTTTTACCAATGGAGATGATTTGAAACGACATCTTGCAACGGTCACCCCTGAGTCCGGTGGATCACGCTTGGATATAGGACTCAAGGAGGGGGAAGAACTGTTTGAATCGGAAGGCACTCGTCCTAATGCACACAAAGTCCTGGTCGTTTTCACAGACAAAAAATCGACAGGAGATGATCAGGCTGCTCAAACTGCTGCCAAAGAGCTTTTGGAGAAGGGTATTAAAGTCATTGCCATTGGGTTGGGCAGCGAAAGCGACATTACCGAGCTTAAATATATAGCAACAGATGTACGCCATGTTATCCCGGCCAAGATCACGGATGACTCAGATGAATTGGGTATTGAGGTCATGAATCTGGCTTTCAAAGGTAATGTATCTGGGGTCAATTGTTTTGGAAAGAACGAACTTTTTAAGGGTGTAATCAATTTGGTAAATTCCTATTGAGCATTTTCTTAAATCAGAATTGCAGTAATTTCGTGTTTTTCATAATCTGTGTTAAATGTCTCTTCAAAGAAATCCCAAATGTACCTACCTTGGACGTAGCCTTCGCCATTAGCGCCACAGCCACGGATGCCGAAACTAACTTCAAACTGATGAAAGACACCATCACAGCCTTTGCTGATATGTACGGCATGTCAAAGATTAATTATGCAGTCGTGGCTTATGGCGAAAAACCAAAAAAATGGTTTGATTTCCAAAGCCAACCATCTGATTTTGATGCTCTTAAGCGGACAGTTGATGCAGTCACTCGAGAGACAGGGATAGTGGCATTGGACAAGAGCTTAGAAGAAGCAAGGAGACTTTTTGATGCAGCAAGACCGCAGGCTCGTAAGGTAGAAACAAGTGATACTAAGAGCAGTATCCATTCTTGCAGGCTTGTTATATTTTAAGGGAACACGCGCGTAATTTTGGTGGCCGTACAGTAGGCTTACGGGAATCAGTATCGAAAATTCCAGGTCTGACTCTGGACAGGACTTTTGGCTTGTGGACTTGGAGTAGATACTTAACTCTCATATCACCACACCTAGGAGTGTGAAAGGGCACACGTGAGTTTTGGGGAAGGGGAGGGAACGTGAAATACTCCTTGTCGTTGTAGGGATCAAAATCTGGTCGAAAGCCACCAATGGGGAACAGATTCGCCTCTGCTAAGATTTGAAGGGACTTACCGATTCAACTTCGCGATAATCTTCCTCTCCTACCCTATGTTTGAGAAATCATACACCGTGCGAGAGACGTGAATTTAATACTCTTTGTACCATGAAGAGGATGGAAATAGCATGGATTTGTCAGTGACTCATTAATTTATTGTTCCTGTGGAACACGTAATGATACTTTATTGTTTTGTTTTCTGTCAGGTCCTGGTTGTTATCACGGACAGGAAATCTGGCTCAAATGTTGGTGACGTCAGGACAGCAGCCAAGCTCCTGGAGCATGCTGGGATAACGGTGATTCCGGTGGCGATCGGTACAGAGGCCGATACGAAAGAATTGGAAATTATAACTCCTGACAAAGAGACCATCATACAACCCAAAGATGGAACTTCGGCGACTGAATTGGCCAGGATGATTATGGAGATGATTCGCACAGGTATCAGGAGATTAAATGATAAATTATAAAATAAGAAAGCTTTCGATTTATTTCATTTCCCCCTTGCAGTTTTCTACCTTGCAGTAGAAACGGAGTTGGGAGGAGAGAGTGTTGCGTTTAATTTTACACAAAGGCTGTGACTTAGGTGACATAGACTATTACCTTCCTGAATTACACTCGAAACAGTTGAAAATTCCTTTATTGTCTAGAAACTACATTGATTCAATTGCTTTTCATGGCTCGGGTGTGCCTTAGAAGTTTGACAATGACGGAACCATAAACCCTCTCCCTCCTCCTCTTAATATCTCTGGCTATATCCATCTGAGGACTTCATTTCAAAGCATACATTCAGATCATAATTGTCAAGTCAAACTATGGTTCATGTCGATATTTCCATTGTTTAGTTCAAGCTATCCCTGAGATTGATCTTGGTTTCGCGTTGAGTGCAGCCAGTACACTTTATAACGAAACATTTCAGCTAATGAAGGATGTGATAAACTACATCATCGTCACCTATGGCACCCAGAAAATACACTACAGTGTCATTGTGTACAGTGAAACTGCATCGATAGAAATTAAATTTGGGCAGACACCTCCGTCACCACAGCAACTCAAGACAGTTGTAGAAAACCTCGATATTGGCACGGGGACACCAGACTTGGCAGCCGCGCTGAGGAAAGCAGCAAAAATGTTTGATGATGATGAAAGGAGACCCTTAACTCGTAAAGTTCTTGTGATCATGGCAGATAGTAGTTCTGGGTCTACTGTGGATGACGTTAAAACAGCAGCCAAGCCTCTTGTGGATACGGATGTTTTGGTTATACCTGTTGTGGTCGGTGAAGAAGGAGACCCTGATGAGCTCGTTAACACGACACCTGACAAGACGAATGTTATTGAGACTGGAAAAGAAACGGATCCTGAGGTGGTAGGAGAGAAGATTATGGACAAGATTCGAGGTAGAAAAAGGAATTAATTATCCCCCTTTCCTCCCCGCCACCCCTTTCTCTCCCCGCCACCCCTTCTCTCCCCGCCACCCCCTTCACTCCCCGCCACCCCATTGACTCCCCACCAACCCCCTTCTCTCCCCGCCATCCCCTTCTCTCCCCGCCACCCCCTTCTCTCCCCAGCAACCCCCTTCTCTCCCCACCACCCCCTTCTCTCCCCGCCACCCCCTTCTCTCCCTGCCACCCCCTTCTCTCCCCGCCACCACCTTCTCTCCCCACCACCCCCTTCACTCCCCACCAACCCCCTTCTCTCCCTGCCACCCCCTTCTCTCCCCACCATCCCCTTCACTCCCCACCAACCCCCTTCTCTCCCCGCCACCTCCTTCTCTCCCCACCAACCCCCTTCTCTCCCCACCACCTCCTTCTCTCCCTGCCACCCCCTTCTCTCCCCGCCACCCCCTTCTCTCCCCACCAACCCCCTTCTTTCCCCACCACCTCCTTCTCTCCCTGCCACCCCCTTCTCTCCCCATCACCCCCTTCACTCCCCACCAACCCCCTTCTCTCCCTGCCACCCCCTTCTCTCCCCACCACCCCCTTCTCGCCCCACCAACCCCCTTCTCTCCCTGCCACCCCTTCACTCCCCGCCACCCCCATTCTCTCCCCACCACCCTTCTCTTCCCACCAACCCCCTTCTCTCCCCGCCACCCCCTTCTCTTCCCGCAACCCCCTTCTTTCCCCGCCACATCGTTCCCCCCAAAATGAAAAAAGTGGCTATGAACTCCTCTGTCCCCGAAATGTGAAAACTAATTCGCCAAACTGGTGACAAAGCATCTCCTTGTCGGTCAGTAACGGAGAGTTTTCTGAGTTTTATCGACTGAAAAGATTATCAGTAGTGTTATTGAAGGAATTACTCTGGTTAACGGCGAAGCGGTGTATGTGTGAGTGTTTATGAGTGTTTTGAAAGGGGGAAGGCTTAAGTCTTCCCACACCAAACTTTGTTGGAATTCGATAATAGTTACGATGAATACTGAGTGAACGAACTACACCAGAAGCATTTTGGTACATTTTGTGCAGTGGCCGGTATGGGTTTGGCCCCCACCCCCCTCCCCACAGCCCACAACTTAATAGGGATTTTACTGTACCTAGAGAGAGGTATTAACTGAAGTGCTTTTATTGGCCTCTCTGAAGGAAAAATTTATGAATTGTCTCTTTTAGATGGACCTTCAGTCTCAGAGGTTGACCTCGCCTTCGCCATTAGCGCTACCGCAACAGATGCAGATGAGACATTCAGTCGCATCAAAGAAACAACAAAGTATATTGTGAATAAATATGGAACAGACAAGATTCATCATGGTCTGTTGGTGTTTGGCAATGCACCCAGCCGTGTTAGGGACTTCAGGCGAGACGCGTTCACTCGAGAAGAAGTGATACGACTTTTGGATTCTGTACCAAGAAGTTCAACAGGTGACATGTTAAAAATGACACTCTGTTATGAAGATTCATTGATATGGTGAATCCTAGACATCTTGAATGCTCCAGTGTCTTGAGCCACTAGTATCTCGAACTTTCGGTATTTTGAACCCCCTGGTATCTCAAATTCCGGTATATTAAACTCCCTGGGATCTCGATCTCTCAGTATTTTTGACCCCTAGGATCTTGCACTCCCGGTATTTTGAACCCCTTAGGATCTCGACCTTCCGGTATTTGAACCCCCTGAGATCTCGAACTCTCGGTGCTTTGAACCCCCGTGGATCTCGAACTCCTGCTATTTTAAGCCCTTTGAGGTCTCGATCACGATTAATTTTGAACCTCCCATCCCCGCCAATTGTAGCTGAATCCTCCGCTTTTTTCAAACTCCCCGGTATGTTAAGCTTTTGACCTCTCTGGGGTATCATTAATATATCAAAGAAATAAAGTAAATCAAGATTTCAGTCTTCAATATCCTTTACATCAACGGGAAAAAAAATTGTCACAACACTTCAAAATTACAAGAATTCCTTTCAGATAAGTTTAGCAGACTTGAGTAAGATTTGAGATAAACAAACTGTATTTCTATTTTAAATAACGTTCTTCGTGATGATAGCGTGGTACTAAAAAATTCCACACGATTTCAATCAACGAAACACTTCTACTGTTTTTTTTCCCTTCGGTGGTTTGTCTCTTATTTTGCATTCACGCATTTTAAAGTTATATTTTTCGTATCTCTACTTAGGACCTGACCTTCAGAAAGCTTTAGAAGAATCAGTGAAGTTATTCGAAGGACCTGGAGCTCGACCAACTGCTCGGAAAATTCTGGTCGTGATAATGGATAAGAGGTCTGGTGTCGACGAAACAAAACTGGGCGAGATTTCGAATACTTTGTATCTGCGGTTTATTGATGTTATTCCTGTTGCTATCGGAAAGGAGGCTGACAAGAGAGAATTGACGTTGATTACATCAGATAAAAATAGTCTGATTGAAGCTCCAAAAGTATTTAAACCAGATGAACTTGGAGAAGCAATAATGTGGAAGATCTTTAAAGGTATGCCAAGGCATGTTTGGGTTTTGACCCAAACAGTCACGTGGATGTTAGATGAGAATTCGATCAAATTTTTTTTCTCGTTTGTGCAAGTGAGAATATGGGCTATCTTTTTGGGAATTCACTCAGTATTTCGATTAAAACAGAGTGGAATTTTTTTGTGAATGAGCCTTTTTCACAATTTTGCCCTCGAACACTGTTTGAAGGCCACTTAGCACTCTCTAAAAATTTAAATAATTGTGATGTTTAATTTTGACGGTCAGCGGTTATGGGTGGCAGCGACTTCATTTGTGTGGTAGTAAGATTTCCTAACACTATCAAAACACTCGGTGCATATGAACCTAATACATAGCCGAGCGCACCAATGAATTCTCTTAAGCTCAGCGGTGAAGCTTGTGAAAAAGAGTTTGTTCTCGAGCCCAGAGGCCTACCCAGACAAGGCTTATCCGGTTTCCTTTGCATGAAGGGACTATGAATATCACCACTCTCCCCTAGCTGGGATGTTTGTCCATCACACCAGTACCAATCTATACTTTAGGGTGGAGATTTTGAGGCACATTCACCGGGCCAGGTCTCGTACCCAGACCTCTAGAGGTGGAGTCTTTAGGCCACCGTGTATCTCTGTGAAACAAACAAACAAACAAACAAACAAAAAAAAAACAGCATTAATCAGAATTTTTTTGCATTTCAGTACGTATTCTACCGGACGTGGACATGATTTTGGCTGTGAGCGCCACCGCAAGTAACGTAGCGCAAACTTTGCGCACGATGAAAGACACCCTGAAGTATGTGCTTAATGTTTATGGGGTGGGAAGCATTCGATATGCTATGCTGTCATTCGGTACAGATGCTACTGTTATGGAAAGATTCAACAGAAAGGACCCATCTGCTGAGTATCTTTTGCAACTCGTGCAAAGTTTGCCCGCAAGTCAAGGGCTTCCTGTTTTTGAGCGAGCTCTGAGTGCGGCCAAGAACATTTTTGAAGGGGCGGATGTCCGGCCAAATGCTATGAAGGTAACAACGAGTGTTTTATATGCCTCATTGTGATCTTACTTTGACCCCTAAAAGTGACCAGCATCTAATTTCTCCTTGCAATATTACCGCTGAATTAAGGTAACGAGAATAAAGGAAATGATCACCAACTCAAGAAGCTCTTGATTGTTGAGCAAATTCTCCCTGTCAGCACTAAAGGAAATTTGTGAAGAAGGGTATGGGGAATATGGATACTGATGTTAGGGTGTAAAGGATTAGGAAGCTTGCAGCTCTCATAAATCTTCATTGTAAGAATTTTTTCCTCGGAAGTTCGCTTTTTGTGCGAATGTTTTTAAACCAAAACCAAAGAAATTTCAATGACAAGTTAGTGAAAAGGTTTGCAGCAAAATGATTGAGAAGTTCACTCGAGTTTTGAAAGAGAGTCGCGTAGCGCAATGTGCCACTTTGAAGCTCCTTCAGACTTGGCGTGACCTCAAGCGTGACACAAGAGCACTACTGAAAGCGTGACATAATGTATTTTTTTCCGCCGATTGACTCCCTCTCCTTTTTTTTTAGGTTGTTGTGGTGATCACTGATGGTCGTTCCAGGTCCACAGATGAACAGCTCAGGACAGCAGCCAAACCATTAGAAGATAAAGGCATTCACGTTATTGCTGTTGGTATTGGAAGTGTGCCGGACTCCAAACAACTGGAGGAAATTACTCAGAGGAAGGGAGATGTAATTACAGGACCCTCCGATGCTAATCCAGCCTCTTTAGGGAACAGAATCATGGAAAAAGCTTTTGAACGTAAGAAAATGACACTTATTTGATGATGCATGAGATAAGAATTCTCACAAGGGCGCAAGGGCATCAATTCAGGGTGGCGGCACGCGAATTTTCAAAGGAAAACATAATAGACAACCGCCGTCTTGCAAAATAAACGAAAAAAAGATTGAAACGTTCATAGAAATCTATACAAGGAAAGAGAAACAGGAAAAAGGAAAACTCGAAACTTTTTTTAACACAAAGCTTATCGAAGTATGGTTATCCTGTTGATTTACCTTTTTAGTTTGAGCTTTACCAAAAACGTTCTACGCTTTTAAAATAACATGACTTGTTGGCTTTTGTGGTTGTTTGTAATAACTTGTGTGAGACAACTTGGTTCAGACAGCTTGAAAGCGTGCCACCTAGTTATTGCAACAATAGTACATGCGCAGACGTTTGAGCGCTGTGATATAATTACCTCACTTCTGATATGTGGGTTCGGAACTCAGTCGGTAGTGGCACCCAACTGAAATCTGGAATGCACAGGTTAGAATCCCGTCGAAGCCTGCATATTTCTAGTCTTACCAGCGGGACCCTGGGTATGTGAGTGGAAGATATTAAGTCTACTAGCTCTGAAATTTATTTCTTTGTTTGCTTTTGGCTTTCTTACACACGAATAATGATGTTTCCGCTGCGCTTCCATTTCTGCATGAGCCTGATATTTTGTCTTTATTTATTTAGCTGTGTCGGTGCCTATACAAGACATCGATCTTGTGTTTGCCATGTGTCCAGTATCTTCAACTTCAGACGAGACTTTTAAACTCATGAAGGATGCCGTCAAATCCTTGGTGGACAAGTATGGAACTTCTAAAATCCACTACGGTATTATCCTCTATGGAAGATCAGCCGAAAGGCTATTGGAATTTTCCAACAAGATGGTGCCTGAAGCTGAAGTGAAACAGTATATTGATAATCTGCCCAAACCGAAAGGTAATATTCTTAAAGTTTGATAAAATAACTTAGACCCTACGCGCGCTCTGATTAGCAATCTAGGGGACACTATGGTAAACTCTACAGTACAGAATATATACTGTACAATATTCTGTACAGTAAACTGTACAGAATATATAAAACTATTCACCGAAGTGAAGGTGGCTAGTGGTGGATATTATGATAATAAGCCTTCAACACCATCCATTGTTTTATTATATACTAAAATCGTTTATTTCGTCGGGTCAAATCTAAGGTTGCAAAATAGACTTGATATGTAATTCTTACCCTCCTAAAAAAATGAGTGTGACTTCTTTTTTATTGAAATATCCTTTGCAGGCGTTCCTCCACTCGCACTCGTCAAAGCTCTGAACGACACCAAAAAGATGTTTGACGGAGTAGGCGCACGGAAGGATGCCAAAAAGGTTCTTGTCGTGTTCACAGACAAGAGTTCGGGTGCTGAAGAAAGTGCGCTAAGGTCTTCTGCTACTGTTCTAGAAAACGAAGAAGTGGAGATCATCGCTGTATCCATTGGAGTGGAAGCTGATGCGAAGGAGTTAGCTTACATTACACCACATACAGGGAATATTATAGATTCACCAACTGATGAAAATCCTGACAAGCTTTCCGCAGAAATCCTAAGGCTCATCCTCACAGGTTAGTTTTTTATTATAATTTTTAATGAAATAAAAATTTCAGTTGACCTGCGGTTGAAAATCAAGTAATACAATGTTTCTCGAGGGTGAGCTGCAATGTTGGGAATTGTAAGAAAGAAGCATGAAAAAATTCAGGGTTCGAGGGGATTCAAACCCGCGCCTCCTAGATAGCAAGGACGACGGGTTGATAAGTTTTTTATTGTTGAACTTTTCACTAAGAACACAAAAAACTTAACGTATCAGATGACTAAATTCAAAGGTACCACAACAGCTAATAAGAAGCAAGTAGAATATCAAGTGCCAATGAGAATTCATACGAGTAAGTTTTCAAAGGCATGGGAAAAGTGTGAGTAACCATTTTGCGGTGGGATTTAGCTTTGAATGTGAATGGTTGAGAGAATTTGGTTTTATCAAATGTGTTGATGATGTTAATTTACCACCGTAAAGAGTTTTCAAAGGCATAGGAAAAGTGTGAGTAACCATTTTGCGGTGGGATTCGGCTTTGAATGTGAATGGTTGAGGGAATTTGGTTTTATCAAATGTGTTGATGATGTTAATTTACCACCGTAAAGAGTTTTCAAAGGCATAGGAAAAGTGTGAGTAACCATTTTGCGGTGGGATTTAGCTTTGAATGTGAATGGTTGAGAGAATTTGGTTTTATCAAATGTGTTGATGATGTTAATTTACCACCGTAAAGAGTTTTCAAAGGCATAGGAAAAGTGTGAGTAACCATTTTGCGGTGGGATTTAGCTTTGAATGTGAATGGTTGAGAGAATTTGGTTTTATCAAATGTGTTGATGATGTTAATTTACCACCGTAAAGAGTTTTCAAAGGCATAGGAAAAGTGGTACAAATCAGAATGGTTGAAAGAATTTGGTTTTATCAACTGTGTTTATGATGTAAATTTGCTTCAGTAAAGAGTTTTGAAAGCTGATATTTGGAGCACGAAGGTCTAATGCTCGAAAGTTCAGCTCTAGAAGCTTTTTACGGTTTCCAATTAACATTATCAACTCAGTTTATAAAACCAAATGATCTCGATCTACCACCTACAACGACGCAACATTACCATTTTTTAGAAACTGCGAGACTGGTGACAGAGTTTGATAAACCAAATCCACCGCGGTACCGAAATACTTTGGAAACTAAAAATTTTTCTTAGTGTCGTTGGAAACCTTTCTTATGAATCCTTCCTCGAAATTTTTACAAGACCGTAACTTTCTGATTCAGACCGACAAGAACTGCAAAACTTTATTTTCTCACACGTAGATCCCCCACCGGTTTCAACGGAAATTGACGTTGCCTTTGTACTGAGTGCCGACTCCTTAGAAAACGGACAGACATTCAGGTTAATGAAGGAAACAATAGCCTGGATAATCGGCAAATATGGAACAGAAAAGTTGCGTTATGCCCTCATCGTGTTTGGCGCCAATGCAAAGACCGAACTCGACTTCGATAGTAGCACCAGAACTCCAAATAATCTGATAGAATTTGTTCAGCTCCTTCGCATGCAACCTGGAAGATCCAATATCATTGGAGCTCTAAAGAAGGCCGTAGAGGTGTTCGACTCTGAGAATGCAAGACCTGATGCATGCAAAGTGGTAGTGATAATGACAGACAAAGCGTTTAGAAGCAGTGCGCCTGAAATCAGTGAAGCTGCCGCACCTCTTGACGAGAGAGAAGTAAAGGTCATTCCAGTAGCTGTGGGTTTTGAGGACGATTCATCCCAATTGGAGTTGACCAATCCAGATGGTCTTGTCATTGAAGTGCCTAGATCTGAAAAACCACGAACACTGGGAAAACAGCTTATGGAACATGTTACCAGATGTAAGTTGAAACGTAAACGATTATGCATGTGCTTTTCGACTGAGTGTCATATACCTGAAAATACGATACTACACATACATTAAACAACCAACCAGCTCAAAAGTATGCAACTTAAAGAGCAAGCATGAACTCATTTTTAAGCGACCCGGCAACGATTTTTATCCATTTAGTTGGGAGCGAAGTAGGAGTTTCCCAGCAAAACCAATGTAGAAAACTGAATTGAAAACCGCTATGCAAATCCGGAAAATCTACTCTGGCCAATTTGTAAAACGGATTAATGGTGGTAAAATATGCTGTTGCATGAATACGAAATAGTGCCTTGAAATCGAAAAAAGTGAGAAAAGGTAAATAGGATAAAATATAAAAAGGATCTTTCATTTGGATGAGGTCTCTTTGTTATTCTAGGATCTTATTAGGGCACGTGACGTTTCGAGACCAATCGGACTGAGAGAAATAGAGCGCTTTTCGATAGAGTGTCGTACAGCCAAAACCAAAGGTATCAAATTAGCCCATATAACAAGGAAAATATCACCAGGAGCCAATGAAGCGGAAGCGCGGGAAAACTCCATTGACCAAGTCGCGATTGGTTGAATCTGATTAATTGAGACATTGTCATGAGTTTTCTGGACCAATCACATAACGAACTAGAGCAAAACCAAAGCAATCCCGAATATCTTTCGACACTTGAAAATTGCTCTAAATGACGAATACTGACGTATTATTTTATTTCTTTTTTAAGGCAAGTTCCCGCCAGTTGATATCGCCTTCGCTCTCAGTGCTACAGGATTATCCAGAGAGAAAATTTTCAAGCTCATGAAAGATACACTGAAAACCGTTGCTGACAAGTACGGTACAGGGAGCTTTAGATACAGCTTCATTGTGTTCTCGAACACATCCAATATCTTTGTACGATTCAGCGAAAAGTATTCCACCATCGACGAATTGGAGGCCTCCGTTGACGCTTTGCCCTCCGCCACGGGAGGGTTGTCTTTCATAGAGGTCATCGAATCTGCTAAGGAGACATTCAAAGACAGTGGCGTTCGCAAGGGTGCTACGCATGTCCTCGTCATTTTGACGGACGGGAGGTCTGGTGAGGATGAAGACCAGATAAGAGAAGGAGCAGTTTATTTGGAGGAGTCTGGAATCGTTGTTATTCCTGTTGGTGTAGGAGATCAAGTTGACAGTAATGAACTGGGCGTCCTTACAAGCAACGAGGATAATGTGGTTCTTATTGATGAAGATGAACAACCTAACCGTTTGATGGAGCTGATTATCGCTAGAGTTCTTGGTATGACGAAGAATTATGTTTAAATTTGTATTAATTGCCTTGCACTCTTAATAGTTTTGTGGGTTGGGCTATGTATACGTGAGAGCCGTGATCTTATGTCCAGTTCACTAGACTCCGGGTCGAAACTTCTGGGTTTGAGACTTGACCGGATCAATGTGATGTGTTCTTTGGCAAAATTCTTTACTTTCACATTACCTCTCTCCACCCAGGGGTATAAATGGGTACTGGGAAATTGTCAAGGAAGCCTGATTAATGCTGGGGGGGGGGGCATTGTGATGGACCAACATCGCATCCTGGGGGGAATAGTGATACTCCTAGTCGCTTCATGGTAAAGAAACCGGCATAAGCTGCGGCTGGGGTGAGTGGGGGGCGGTTGGCTCGAGTACTTTACCCTTCTTCAACCTTAATGGTTGAATAATTTGGTTTATTCTACCGAAGACCATGATTTATGGTTTTTGCGTTTGTGCTCCCGTACAAAATTTTTTTCCCGTACCTTTCCATCCTTTTTTTCAGCCAGTTTACCCCTTAGCTTTTCCCGCTATTGTCATGTACTGAAATCTTGCTGGTTGCACGTTCCCGCTTACAGCTTTGGTCGGTTTCACTCTCCTAGAGCTGGACTGTATTCTCTGTGCATAAAGCCTGTTTGCGTTTTCCATCGCTTATGGCTTTCTTATGTTGTCTTGCATTTTCAGCTGGCTGCTAAACATTTTCGTGCACTTGTAACAGGTTTCCCCATTTCCCCTGCAAGCAAAGTGGTTTGAGTTTTCGCTCTCAAGCCGTTGTATGTTTTGCCGCGTTTGCATCCGGTTCAAAGTTTTCCTTCCACAGTATGTTTCCTTCGACTTTTCTCTTTGTTTTTAACTGATGGTGGGGTTATCTTGCGTTGGTTTCGCTTATTCTACTTAGTCCTACGGAAATATTGCTGCTCTTTTAAACCTTTACACCCTAACATCAGAATGCATATTCTCCATACTATTCTCTATACATTTCCTAATGTGCTGCCGAGGATAATTTGCTTTACATTAATTGGTGATCCTTTCCTTTATTTTCGTGACCTGAATTTTGTTTCGGGGTTGGTCGGGGTCGGTGGTGATAAAACAGATGCTAGTCACCCTTAGAATCAAAGAGTTTATCCTGTTGGGGCTGCTGCTGCGATATTTCCAGTGGTTATGAAATTATTTCTTTTAACCAATTACTATTTTGATCCGTTTAGAATCACTGAGACCACCACCAGTTGATCTTGCGTTTGCTTTAAGCGCAACTTCTTTCCAGTCGAACGTTTCTTATCCACTGATGAAGGAGGTGATAAATTCTATCATACAACAATACGGTACAAAGGACATCCATTTCTCCTTTATTATTTACGGTTCTGAAGCATCCACTAAGTTCAGCTTCACCAAAGAGCAGGTGGATCCCGACGACTTGCGAAGATTCGTCACATTTATGCCGGAGATCACTCCACCGACATCACCTCATGTTGCCCTTGAGGCGGCTTCTGAAGCTTTCAAGGGATCGGGTGTGCGCGCCAATGCTTCTAAGGTACTCGTTTTGATGACTGACGTAAAGGGGGATTCATCCAAGGAAGAGATTGAGTCAACCTTTGCACCATTGAAAGAGCAGAAAGTGAAAGTTATATCCGTGGGGATTGGGTCAGATGTGGATACAAATGAACTGGTTAATATTACAGGCAATAGCAACAACGTTATCACTGTTCCCATTGATGCAGGCAAGACACCTTTGACCAAGGAATTGATGGAGAAAGTTTTGCGGCCAGGTTTGGATAATACATATATTATATTGGATAATATAAGATTTTGGATAATATACCCACCGATAATAAATCTTTCGATTTATTTTCGCAGGGAACTACTGGCATAAATACGGCAATAGGAGGCGAGCCCTCTCTTCACTGCGCCACCCTAGCTCCTTTGATCTGCTTATTAGTAAGCTTGAATATTTACATGCTTATTTATTGATCCATCATAGGTTTGCCAGAGGTACCTAAAATCGATGTTGTGTTCGCCATAACTGCAGTATCGTCTAAAGCTGATGAGGTGTTCCAAACGACGAAAAAGGCGATTACTTCTATTGTCAACAAGTACGGAACGGGTAATATGCAGTATGGCGTGATCCTATTCGGAAGCGGAGCTTCGTCATATATAGACTTGGCCTCTTACTCCACAAGCGATGAGTTAAAAGCCTTGGTCACAAAACTCCCCATTTTAAAAGGAGGTCCCGCCTTAGATGAAGCCCTCAAGCGCGCAGGAAAAATGTTTACATCGCCAAATGCGCGCAAAGATGCACACCAAATCTTGGTCGTGATCTCAGACAAAAAGACATCTTCCAATCTTAATGATGTCATTTCTGAGGCGAATAAACTTCAAGATTTAGGCGTGACAGTCATTTCCGTAGGACTAGGCAGCGAGGCTGATGAAAACGAACTCCAAGAGATTACACCTGATGTGAGCGATGTCATCGTAATTTCCAAAGTTGTTGACTCCGACGATCTCAGAAGGAAAGTAATGGAAAAGATTTTAAAAGGTACTTTTTACTTGCGTCTTTTTATTGATGTCTCTGATTTAAAGCAAAAGGGATGAAGGTGTTAACTGTTAGAAAATTCCATCTTGTATCAGAGGACTCGAGAATCAGTAAACCGCACTCGCTCCCTGGAGTGACCATTAAGAATTTCTTCCTTACAATATCGATACATTTTCGGGCAGAGAGGTAACGAGAAGAAAGAAATAATATCAAGCCCCATAGTTTCACCTCAAAGACCAAATTCCCAAAGCTAAAGTTCTAAGAAACGTATGGCGGACAGAATGGATGATCGATGTTTAGATCTTAGGGGGGCAAAAAAGGTTAACGCTTCAATCGCCAACGAAGTAAGTCTTTAGTAGATAAATGTCTGATTCCTCGAGAGCAACGAACCCATGACCGTTGGGGTTTGAATCCTCTCCAGTGGAGAGATGCGGTGGCATGTCATTTAGCGCGCTGGACTCTGGGTCGACTCCTGGCTGGTGCCACTTCCATAGCACTTCCCTTTACCAAGGGATATGGTGGGAGAACTGGACGAAACGCTAGGGGTAACCTTCGATTAACTAGCATCCCGTCCAGGGGGTGTAGAAATGTTCTTACTCGCTTCATACCTCGGAAATCGGCTTAAGCTTATGGATTTACTTTACCCCTGATCATGCTCATAACAATATGTTTCTTGTAAGATTTTCGCCTTGTACACATTTTTTGTGATTTTTTCAGTACGTACAAGAGCACCTGAAGTCGACGTAGTGTTCGCTCTAACAGCTACAACAGGGAACCCTGAAGACGCGTTTCAGCGCATGAAGGATGCTGTTAAAATCGTAACAGACACTTACGGAATACATCGGCTCCATTACAGCCTTATCGTGTACGGAAGCCGGCCTAGTGAGGAATTCGACTTCAAAACTAGTTTTCCCACACGATCAAGCATTAAAGACTTCATTGAAAATTCCCGAAGAGTTTCAAGTCGCCCTGGAACCAAACGGGCCTTGGACGAGGCTTTGCAAATCATCAAAGATTCAAGTCTACGTCCATCGGTCAAAAAGGTTGTTGTCCTTTTGACAGATGGTGTTTCGGATCTGGATCCTTCGGCTATTCAAGGGGCAGTTCAGTCCATGGAGAAGAATGGGATCCCTGTTCTAATATTTGCTTTAGTCAACAATCCTAAAACTGAATTTGAAGTTTCAAAAACTGTCAACCCAGTAGATCTTGCTAGAAAGGTTATGGAGAAGGTATTTGATGGTAAGTGCGTTTGATAAATGAATCGAATGCATCTTTTCATACCAAACAAAATTAATAAAAACGTCCTCTTCGGGAACACGTGATACGTGATATGTGCCAGATATGCATAGCCCTGCTGCGTAGATTAAGAGGTTTATAAGACTTTCCACAAGAGCGCTTTTCGTAGTGTCGTAAACCAAGAGCCAAAGAAATCACAACAGCCTATAAAAGCAAAGTGAAATATCACAAGGAGCCAATGAGGGGTTAAACGGGCAAGAAAACTGGTCCATGAGCGGGAAAACGCAACTGACCAAGTTACGCTTGGTTTTAGGTTAGTATCTGATTGGATTAGAGGGTGGTGCGATATTTTTAGACCAATCACCAGGCAAAACAAATACAAACCAGTGCAATATCGGAGTACTTTCAACACTCAGTTGAAAATTACTCTAAGAGCCTCTTTGTGTTCTTTGTTTCAGTTGTGGTGGAACCACCAGAGATGGATCTTTGTTTTGCTGTTAGTGCTACAGCGGCACTTTCTCAGAAGACTTTCAACCTCATGAAAAAATCTATCATTGATGTGGTGGACACCTATGGTGCAGGCAAAGTTCGCTACAGTGTGGTGTTATTTGGATCCGTGGCCAGGCTAGTTGTGAAGTTCAGCGATGGTGCTTTGGACCCCACGAGGCTGAAAGGTGCCATAGGTTCATTGGTACCAAGCAGTGGAGCCCCGGCGTTAGATGAGGCGTTGGAAAGGTCTTTGGAATCTTTCAAAGATGGCGAGGACCGTCCGAACGCCAGAAAGGTCCTTATCGTCATGTTGGACAACGAATCAGGACTCCAGTTGAGTGACATTATGTTGAAGACGAGAGCTTTAGAGACGAAGAACATTCGTGTTATTACTGTAGGCATAGGAGACAGCACAAACAAGGAGGAATTAGAAACAATGGCTTCCGATAACAGGGATATTCTGCTTGTGCCAACTTCTGAGCCTCCAAGCATGCTTTCCAAAGATATCATGGTGTTGGTTTTAACAGGTAAGTGGCATAGACGTTTGTGGTGACTGAATAGTGTGGCAGGGTACAGATGTTGTAGCTTTTGGCCCAACTGTCTACACAGTGGAGGTTTAAATGTCACTGCAATTTCGTCTGTCTCCTCATTTGTTTTTTGCCAACGAAGAGCTCACTTTCAAAATGAGTGTTACGTCGCTTTCGAAGCGTGTTTTTTTAACTCTTATAATTTTGTCACTCGATTTGCCATCACTAACTTTAAGTTATTGCTTCACTAATATTCACGATGATCCACAGCGTGTCCTTTCAAAAAGAATATAATTTGATTATCTGCCTGTCAGTCTGTTTGTCCATACGTTCGTCTCTGTCTGTCTGTCTGTCTATCCGTCTGTCTCTCTATATGTCAGTCTGTTTGTCTCTGTGACTATCACACTAGTCGAACACATTACATTAAAGTCTCCTTTTAATTATCCTTTTAAGTTAGCTAAATTTAAAACAATATTAAAACATGAATTTGATTGTCGACTCATCCTTTAGATCGTCCACTGAATGTCCCCAAGTTAGATTTGGTGTTTGCCATCTCAGCGACTGGCACATATACAAGTGAAACGTTCCAGTTAATGACAGATGCCATCGACTCCCTGCTCCAGAAATACGACTCTAGTAACATCCGTTATGGTCTTATTGTGTACGATGATGACGCTTCAGTTATCGTCCATCTCAGAAACGCTACTTATGCTGATCAGGTTCGGGAAGTGTTGGAAACAATCGAGGAACCTTCGGGTGGATCGGCCCTCGACAAGGCTCTGGAGAAAGCTGCTGATATGTTCGCCGATGCTGGAGATCGGCAGGATGCGGACAGGGTCCTGGTGGTCCTGACAGACAAGAGCTCTGGGCTCGACGAAGATCTCGTGTCAGGCACCGTTATGCGTCTTGAACAGATGGTCGTGAAGATTATTCCCGTGGCTGTTGGTGATGAAGTCAGTCCAGTGGAATTTGTGATTGTGACCAATAAGGGCAACATAATTGAATCTGAGAAAGACAAAGATCCGGATGAATTAAGTGAAGAGATCATGGAAAGAGTGATAAGTAAGTACACTTTGAACGTCTCTGTTGAAGAGTTTTTCGACTGATCGTCAACAAGTAACTGAAACCAAATTGATCACAGCGGCTAAACAGAACAAAAGAAATATAACAAGGAGGTAATAGGATTCTAAGAAAGAACAAGCTCATTGCCAGAAGTGCGGGAAGACGCGTGTGACCAAGTGGCTATAAGTGCTAGCTTCCTATCTGATTGGTTGAGAAGTTGACCAATAAAACAACCAAGTCAGAGAATAATAATGTAATTTCGAAATTAATTTTGACACTCAATTTAAAACTTGTCTATTGTGCAATGTGATACTATTGTTGGGCGATTTTTATCGTAACGTTTTTGTTCTTTCTTTCTTTTTTTGCTTATTAGATGGAACCCTTCGGATACCAGAAACCAACTTGGTTTTTGCAATCTCCGCCACTGGACTCGAAGCTGAAGAAACATATTCATTTATCAAAGATATCATCAAGTCGATTATTGAGAACTATGGAACGGAGAGACTGGAATTCAGTGTCATTGTGTACGGTGATTATGCCTCACCACAAGTCCGTTTTGGAGACATTTTTGCTTCAGATGCCGAATTAGTAGAAGCTGTTGGCAGTATGCCTCGGATGTCAGGGAGCCCTTCACTTGAGAAGGCTTTGGAAGCAGCAGAAGATCAGTTTAACAGTCCGTTCATACGATACAATGCAGCTAAGGTAAAGTAGTTCCAAGTGAAGCTAACGAAGCTCTTCACTTGAAATAAGTTGATAACAGACAATTCAAGAGATCGATTTTTTTAGATTTGCCTTTTAGGTTGAAAGTTTAACTTTTTGCTATCTAATTTCATCGCACTCCCTCGCTGCGCTAAATTTAGCTCCTGATTGGAATTCTTTCTTTATTTCTTTATTTCTGGAACTCGCCAGAGAGGCGCATCTTGGTTTTTTCGTAAACGGGTCAGGTGACTTAACCTTCGTCCCTCTCCTTCAATCAGGCAATAGTTTTTTCTTTCTGCAAAATGACACCAGACTGACTCCCAGATATGTTGATCGGCTGCATAAGTCATACCATGATATAGTACTAAACCCGAACTGGGAGCCCTCACAGTAAGATGACATGTTTCTTGTAGGTGTTAGTTGTCATCTCCGACAAGTCATCTGGTAAGAGCCCTCGAGATATTAGAGCAGCGGTTGTGCCTCTAGAAACAGCTGGAGTTCGCGTGATCGCAGTGTCTGTCGGGACAGAAGTGAACCCTGCAAAGGAGAAGGCAGTATCAACTGATGGACAAGTCATCAAAACCGACAATGAAAAAAATCCTACTAACGTGGGCAAGGAGATCATCGATAAAATTGCCAAGGGTAAGTCTGAGTAGGATTGTGTTTTTTTGTTACAGGATCTTAACCTTTAACTTTCAGGATCGGACGGCTACTTTTTAGAATTTGATGACGTACAGTCGAGCGGACCACTCAAATTATACTAAAAATAATCTATCAAGTAAAATTTTATCCGTGTTTATCTCAATTACGGCATAAAATGGCGTTTTTTTTATCGTTTTTCATAGTACACCTACTCTCTTGAATCTGTATTGAGCAGTAAACCTGTATTAAGTGGTCCCCCCGCCATTCCCTGTGGGTGTTTAACTCCGGAGCTGCGCTCTCTGATTGGATTCGGTCGGCCAATTTGTCAGCTATTTTACTCTTTACACCCGAACATCAGTTTGCATATTCTCTCTACTGTTCTCTATACATTTCCTATAAGGTTCTGATAAGGAGAATTTGTTTCACAATCAAGAGCTTTTTAGTTTGGTGATCATTGCCTTTAATCTTATCACCTTAATATTTGATTCGGGTGTGACGATGTTGGGAGAAGTTAGATGATCATCACTCTGAGGCGTTAAAGGGTTAACTGCTGAGATTCTTTATACTGTTATGATCATATGAATATGTATTTTATGACCAAGATGGTTGCTTCGTTTAAAAGCTGATCGCAGCGTTGTATATCTTCACTATTCGTGGGCCTGCTTACACATTTTATATGTTCTACCTTTTTACAGGTAAATCTCCAATTCCTGAACTTGAACTTGGGTTCGCCATTGCTGCTGGCTCATTGTTTGCCGACGAAACATTCAAGCTTATGAAAGACACAATTTCAGCGATCATCCGCGAATACGGCGTGGGAAAAATCAATTATGGGCTGGTTGTCTTTGGGGACACTGCAACTATCAAGATTCGGTTCAACGATTTTACTGACATCAACAATCTTCTACAGTTCCTCAGTGCTACTCCCAAAAAAAGAAGCGGCGCTGCTATGGATGAGGCACTTATAGAAGCTGAAAAGTTGTTCTCGCCGGCCAACGTTCGACCCCGTGCGAGAAAGGTGTTAGTTGTGATTACAGATCTACAGTCAGGAAAATTGCCGTCCGAGGTGCGCGAGGCAACAAGACCACTACAAGATAAGGGAATAAAAATTGTCGCCGTAGCAATCGGTAAAGAAGTTGACCCGAAGGAGTTTGAGATATTTACTTCAAGAGAAAACATAATTGAGGAGAAAAGAAGCGCAGAGCCTGATGATCTAAAGATGAAAATTATGTCTATGGTCTTCAGAGGTGGGTCGTCACAAATTGTTATATTTACAGATTTGTAAATTGTCTCTTCGGAAAATTCTTCGAGAGTTTCACTTTTTAATTTGATAACTGAGCTCATATTGTGTGGAGAAAGGGTTTGTGCTGACAGTAATAAGTTGCCATTTATTATAGAAACTCAGCGAGGTTCTGAGGTTTTTGAAACCAACCGAAATTTAATCTGCAATTAATAATTCACCGAAAATTGAATGTTGTTCACAAAAATTATACTTATTTTTTAATTTGGTCTGCAAAATTTTGAATGCTGCCTTCTTGCCTTAACCCGTTATACTCCAACGTTAGAATTCATGTTCTCCGCACTGTGCTCTTGTTATCTTCTTTCGTAACGACAAGGAGAATTTGTTTGATAATCAATAGCTTTTTAAATTGACGTGATCTTCATATTTTATTTGAGGCTGATACTGTAAGGAGAATAAGAAGCCACTTACTCTTAGGGATAAAAGGGCTAAGTTAATTGGGAATTGACCGGTGATCAAGAACGGCATGTTTTTGACGCAAGTACTCCGTAACGACTTAATGAAGTGAGTAACGAATGTATTTTATGTCTCTTTGTTCAAAAGTTTCACCCTCGTTTCCCAAACTGGACCTTGTGTTTGCTCTTAGTGCAAACTCCGGAGATGCTGATGCTACATTCACCCTCATGAAGACCACAATCAGAAAAGTCATGAATGACTTTAGGTATGGTGGTGGGAACATTCAATACGGAATCCTCGTATATGGAGCCACTGCAGGAACAACGCTGCAACTTGGAGACTCATCTTTCAAGGACATTCTGGACCTCCGGAAATACATTAAAAACTTACCAAAACAAGCAAGTGATCCCCAAGTTGACAAAGCACTGCAAGAAGCTTTGAAAATTTTCCAAGGACCAAATGCTCGCCTTGATGCCAAACGGGTGCTTGTTGTTTTGACTGATAAGAAGTCGACTTCCAGCCCAGCGTTGATCAAGTCGAGTGCACAACTAATGGAGGAGAACAAAGTCCGCGTGATCCCAGTGGGAATCGGAAGTGAAACAGATCGCAATGAGTTAAGAAGCATCACTTATAACAAGGGGGATGTTATAGAGGCAGAGAAAGAGGAGGAGTCTTGGAGATTGGCCCGAGCAATAATAATCAAGATCTTGACAGGTATGTGAGCGCTACGATTTGTAAAAGAGCAATTTTCAATTGAGGGTCGAAAGTAAGCTGGGATTGCTTTGGTTTAACCTTCGCTTGGTGATTGGTCCAGAAATACTTGCGCCACTTTCTCAACCAATCAGACTCAAAACAGAACCAACTGCGTCCTAGTCACTCGCGTTTTCCCGCGCTTCAGACAGTGTTCATACTTCTTCTTTGTTACCCCATTGGTGATACTTTGCTTTGTTCTCATTGGTTGCTGTGACTATTTTGGCTTTGGTTTATGTCACCCAATTGAAATGCTTCTCGAAGCAAACACAGTGCATTGCCCTGCCTCCAGGAATTTCTGGGTAAAAGGAAAAGAATTTTATCGACACTTTCTTTCAAACTTGTCAAGTGCTGTGGAAGATACTCGAGGGTGGTGTTTAATGAAGATTCATCGTAATTTTTGAGTAAGGAAAACGTCATTAACAAATCTGAAACCGGCTGTCTCTGGATTTGGTGGAAAGCATAAGCGTACATTTCAAACTGGTTTACTTTAGTTCCACATATTTCGATTGTTATTGTTTTTTTGACCAATGACGCAGTGAAATAAAGTATAGCCAGTGCAATCTGAACCATATTCGGTAATCAATTTAAATGAATTTGTTACTGACATGTTTGTTTTGCAAATTACCCGTGAGAATCGATTATTACTTTTGGTTTTAACATTTGGGATCAACTTCAGTATCTGAGCGACAGCGCACCCACTCCCACCCCCCCCCCCCTTCTGATGTGCAGTTGCTTAAATACTGACAATGGTCCAACATTTGTTCTTTTCAGAACCAACAAGGATAGGAAAACTTGACCTCGCATTCGCCATTGGTGCTGCGTCACGTGACGCTAAGAACGTTTTGCAGCATATGAAGGAAATCATCAAAAGCATAGCTGATATGTATGGCACTGACTTGATCCACTATGGGGTCATTACTTTTGACTCGGAGGCTGCTATTAAGTTACGCTTTGGCAACAAAATTAACTCTGCGGAGAATCTGAAAGCGTTCATCGATTCAATACCTGCGCCAAATGGTGGGCCTGCCATCGACAAGGCATTAGAGGCGGCTAAAGTTCTCTTTGGAGGCGATGACGTTCGTTATGACGCGCAAAAAGTTCTCGTGGTGATGGTGGACAAGCGATCCAGTGGGGACGAAGTCTCTGCCATGAAGACAGCGGTGGAGCTCAAAGAGAGTGGAGTTAATATTATCACAGTTGCTGTGGGAAGCGAAACTGACCTCGTTAACCTGAAAAATATCTCGAAAACTCCTGGTAACGTGATCAACACCACCAGCCGTGGCAAACCTGATGAAGTTGGCAAGGAAATCGTGGATAAAACAGGTATAATGAGAGTTATCCCCTGTTGAAAGTGTCAGAGAGAGTTAAAAACAGTTGTCTTTGAATGAAGGCTTCTTTATTGTACCGTAAAGAATGCAAATCATCAGAATGTGAATGTTTCTATGAAGAGAAACATAATTAAGTGATACAGCTCTTTCGAGAAAAGTTGTCGGGAAAAAGGACAAAAGTGCACGCGATAATCTCGAAAGGTAATAGAGGTATCTGATGATCCGTTCCTTTTAATAAGTTTAATTAATAAATAAATTCATCAAACCCGCTATATCCTGTTCTCTCAGTGAATTTTTCTCAGATTTCCCTGAAATCCTGTGTTCATGAAACTATGACGTGAAAAACTACCCACAATACTGTTTGGGTTTCGAGTGCACTTTAACGCTATTTTTCCGACAACTGTTCCCAAAACAGCTGTATACAGAAATATAAATTTTAGTCAAAAATATTTTAATTTAACTGGCATTTTCAATGGATTATCCTCTACAGCTTTCAATTTTTTCGTTGTAATCTTCACACATCACACCTAGTTATAAACAAGGACCTTTTATTGAGATATAATACATTAACCCAAATTACAAAGGTAATAGTCTGATATCCTTTCCAAAAATTTTTTTGAGGTAAGTTGGTGAAAGTTCAGCCGCTAACACACCTCGAGTTAAAGTCGGCTTTGTCTTTGTTTCAGACCCATTGAAGGTGACAAAGATCGATGTAGGCTTTGCTCTTGGCGCCACGTCCCGAGATGCATCAGTGACGATCAGACTTATGCAGGAATCCATCAAGTTCATAATAGACACTTACGGAACAACAAACCTGCATTACAGTGTTATGAAGTTTGATGAGCGGCCGCAGGTTTTGGTCCGTTTTGCGAACAAACACTCTTCTGAAGAGTTAAAGGAGATCATTGAGGAATTTATCGTGCCCAGTTCTGGTTCGCTAGATTTAGAGAAGGCGTTGATTGAGGCGAAGAAGCTGTTCGATGAGGCGGGAGCTAGACCAGATGCTAAGAAATTCCTGATAGTGTTCATGGATAACAAGTCAAAGAATGACAGGATTGCTATCGTTGACGCATCTAAACCGATCATTCCAGAAAGTGGCGTTGTACCTGTTGGAGTGGGCGAAGAAGTGGACAAAAAGGAGTTAGAGGCCATTACTCCTCTGAAGAACACAACAGTAACAGCACCGAAGACAGGAAATCCCGATGAAGTGGCAAAGGAGATCATTGATAAAATGAAGAAAAGTAAGCCTCCATCAGTAGTTTAAGGGGGCATTGTGATACACAGCCAATCAGTGAAGAGGGTTATGTACAACATTGACAATTCTTGTGATATTGGATCAACTAACAATCCTCTAATCGACATTTTTCGTTATTTTCAACACTTGTCTGCTGGATATTGTATTGATATTATAAGGAGTAATTCTGTCTCGGTCCCCTATGGAAGTGAAAATGTTAAGTTTAATTCTTCCCATACTTCTGCACTTCTCCCTTAAAAAAAAACATCTTTTGGCCACTTACTTGGAAGGTAAATGTACTAGTCGCGCTGAAAGGCACAAAATGTTTCGCCTCTTCCCCATTTTGTTATCGATATTTCATGGTTAAAGTTGAACACTTTGGTTTTCCCGGGGAACACGGTGGCTAAATGGTCAATGCGCTGGACTCTGGGTCGTGATTTAGCCGGGTCATTGGGTTGTGTTCTTGAGGCAAAACACTTTATCCTCAAAGTGCCTCTCTCCACCTAGGAGTATAAATGGCGATTTGTCAGGGAAGCCTAATGAAATCCCGGAGGAAAACATTGCGATGGACTGACATCCCACCATTGATATTCTTAGTCACTTCATGTTATAGAAACCGGGATAAGCTCCTGATGGATGGGCCATCTGGCTGGAGTTTAGACTTTCCCATTTGCCGTCCAGTTGTTTAATTTGACTTAATCTAACAGATGAATTTACTTTTGTTTTGTTTTTAGTTATCCTCGAACCAACGGTTCCTGAAGTCGACTTGGGTTTTATCATATCTGCTGGTTCGACTGACGCCTCAGCCACGTTGCAACAAATTAAGGACATCGTCAAGTCTTTCATCAATAAGTATTCCACCTACAGACTTCGTTATGGCATCATCTCAGGTGGAAGCTCGCCACGCATAGAGCTCGCCTTACCTGACAGCGTAAACTCAGGTGTATTACAAAAGGTTGAAAGTCTTTCTAGACCCAGGGGTACCCCTGACCTGGCCAAGGCTCTACTTCTTGGTGTAGAGCTTCTGTCTCCCGCTCGACCAAGCGCTCAGAAAGTCCTGGTTATAATCACAGATGTCAAGTCAGGCAGCTCTTCAAGGCAGTTGAGGCTTGCAACACAAGCTGTTGATAATAAAGGAATTCGCGTCCTTGCAGTCACCATTGGCAAGGAAGTGGATCGTTCCGAGCTGATAACGGGAACAGGATCTGGTGAAAACATCATCAACAGCTCCAAAACTGACGAAGGCGGAGAAGTCAGGGAAAAAATCATGAAAAAAATTAGAGAGGGTAAGCGTGGAAGTTTTTTATATTTTTTGGTTTCACGAGCTATTCTTGATTGAGAAAATAATGGCCGTAATGCTATTTTTTGTTGTTTTTCTCCAGCAAAACAAATTCAAGATGTTGACGTAGTGTTCGCCATCAGTGCGACGGCAAGAGACTATCGGCGAACCTTCAGTGTAATGAAAGGAGTGATGAAGTCCATCTTTGATCAGCTTGGTGTTGAAAGCATCCGGCCAGCGATAATCGTGTATGGAGACAGTGCGTCTGTGCGGCTACGCTTTGACGAGGAAATCACCGACATAGACGAATTGAAGCGACGCATTGATAACTTACCGCGGAACACAGGAACCCCAGACTTGAATGCAGCATTGAAAATGGCGCAGGTCGTATTTGCGGGATCTCGACCAAATGCCAAGAAAGTGCTTGTGATTATTACTGATGACAAATCAGATAGTAAACCGTGGGTTATTACAGCGGGAGCGAGACAACTTGAAGAAGAAGGGATCGAAGTTGTAGCGGTTGGAATAGGAAGTGAAGTTGATCGCAAACAACTTGAAACCACTACACCATACAAGGACAACATTATCACAGCAGATAAAGATGATAACACCAAGGATATTGCAAATAAGATTGTAGTGATTATACTAAGAAGTAAGTGGTTATCTTTTCATAAAAAAAAGCGAGATGGCGTAAACTCAGTGATTACCTACAAGTGAGGAACTTGTTGAATTCCTAGGAAGAGTTTGTGAATTCCTTCATGTTGGGCTTTTACGTGATTAATTTTAAGTGGCTCGTAGGTATCGGGTTCTGAATGTCATGTTTGCTTATCGTTGATACAGCTGTTTACAAAGTAAGCGGAATCTTTGACCCTAAACGGATGCACCAATCTGCGCGCTTTAACAATTGAGTTTGGAAAACCAAAACCACATAATTACAACGACCAGTTAGAGGAAAAGGAAAGGAGCCAATAGTAATTTAAAGCAAAAACGAGCAGATCGCCTGAGGAAAAAAAACATGTAATCAAGTCGCAGATGGTTTCAATTTTGAATTTGATTGGTTGAGAGAGTGGACCGAGAGCAAAGTGAAGCATAACTAATCCGGGACTAGAGAAATATATTTTCATCCTGTCATGAACGTGGGACAAATAATGAGTTTCTCAGTCTCCATTGAAGAATCGAGGCTCAGCGATCGAATTCCGCGTCTGATGTTCTACCATTGAGCGTCAGAGACTCTGCGGTAGACAAGCCATCACGAACTTTCTTATGTGACACGCATCCTGTATACTGCTAGGATCCCCGATTGTTACTAAGTAACAAATACAACGTAGCTGAAATTTGCGCCTGCGAATTAACAATCAAAGCGCTTTCCAGTGTTTAAGTTATCGTCGCGGTAATGATTTTGTTAGGTTTTGTTTATTTTTATTTTATAGCAACAATGCATCATTGTGTTTTTTTTAATCTAACTTTGTTGTTTCTTTCCGTATCAGAGAGAATACGTCTTCCAAAGATCGACTTGATGTTTGTAATAAGCTCGCAATCGTCCAAATCCTCTCAAACATTCCCTTACATGAAGGCCATTTTGACTGACATTATGCAGAATTATAGCACAAATCAAATCCACTTCGCAGTTGTGTTGTACGGTAATGAACCCTCTGTCATTCTACGATTTTCTGACGGATATACGGATCCTGACAAACTTGTAGAGGAGATAAGCTCGGCTAGAAACGTCCCTGGGGGCTCAGCACTAGACAAGGCATTACAGACAGCTAAAATGATTTTCACTGAGGACGAGGCCGTTAGGCCGGAAGCGCGGAAAATCTTGGTCATCATAACAGACGAGAAGTCATCTGGTGATACGGTGGTTGCTAAGGGTGTTGCTAAGGACTTAATTGACAATCACGTGTCTATTATAACTGTTGCACTTGGAAGCGAGGCTGATCGTAAAGAGTTAGAAGAGCTCACTCCCACTGATGGCAACTCCCTGAACGCAACAACTGACAAGGATCCGGGAGAGACTGCTGAAGAGATCATAGGGAAAATAGCACAACGTACGTGGTTATTTCTAAATGATTATTTGAAGTTTCTGTTAATTACATTAGTTAGTTGATAACTTTAAGCTGATAGAGGTTGTTGCAAAAGCTGACTCTTTGAAGTGTGGCCCTTGTTGGGATAAGTTTATGATGGGCTAGCGGTCGAAGGCTAGTGGTCGAAGGCTAATGGTCGAAATAAAAGAAGAGTGGACGTGGAGTAATGATTTTTCGTGGATACGTGAAAAAAACAATAGCACGAGCACATCAACCTTTGATAAGATCTTATCCGTCTTCATTGACTATGATTTTTCTTCCTACATGTTAACACACGGAACTCTTGAATGTACTTTAGTGGGGATGTAGTCTTTCTTCCTTGAATATTCTTACAAATGTTTTAGTTATTTCATATTTTTAGTTATTTCTCAGAGTGTTTTTCTTTCCTGACAGTTCCAGACCCTATCAACGTAGAGAAGATCGACATAGTCTTCGCAGTTAGCGCCTCTTCGTCACAGGCAAAGGAAATATTCCAGTTAATGAAAGACACTCTGTCGTCCATTGTCGCCACACATGGCGCTGAAAATATTCATTATACCATTGTGTCATATGGATCTCAAATAAGATCTTTTGTGAACTTTCAAGACAATTTTGGAGACGAGAAAGGCTTGTTGAGGATACTAGAGAACCTCTCTCCCGTGGGTGGTACACCTGATTTGGACAAGACCCTTGAATACGCAAAGAGTGCATTGGAGGGACCGGGCTCCCGTGCAGACGCGAAGAAATTCCTTGTGCTCCTGGTGGACAACAAGTCGGGTAGCACCGAAGAAGATGTGTTGAAATTTGCGTTCTTACTGGAAGGTGGCGGTATAAAGGTGATACCAGTAGGAATAGGAGTTGCTGTAGACCGCGAGGAACTAGAAAACACTACCCCGCTGAAGGGAAATATCATTGAAGTTCCAGAGGAATCAAAGCCCGAGAATCTTGGGAAGAAAATTATCGACAAGATCCGAGAAAGTAAGTGTAGAAAGTTTCCATCATTAGAAGAAACGTCGGTCTTATTAGATCGCACCGCAGAGACCCTGTTATTGCTTTCTTCTGTATAGTGCTCGGTTATTTCGAAATATGTTCAGTTGTTAAATGGGGCTATTTTGAACGGGTGTGCCTTTGAAATAAATAAATTAGATTATAGCAGAGGCATCATCACTGAGGAGTCTTCGTCGTCGATGGTTGGAAAAAAGGATGTTTCCAGTTGAAGAGGGAGGAGAGCATGGATCCTCCCTCCAACCCGAGGAACGACAAGAATCAAGATCAAACTCCACATATGACGCCATTTTAGTGAATTGAACCGCAGTGGTTGGAGGCTAGCATTGTCGCCACTGCGCCATCCCCTCGTCCTCTTTTTCCTGCAGAAATTTATTGCCCTCCCTCAGTTATAATGTTAAGACATGTTAGCTTATCTAAATCATCGAACCCATTTTTTCAACAGATCTGTTCCTTCCATCAATCCCAGAGGTCGACCTGGTGTTTGCGATCAGCGCTGCGTCAGCAAATGCAGATGAAAACTTCAAGAAAGTAAAGGAAGTTATAAAGGCCATCATTGACACGTACTCCATGAACAAGCTCCGCTATGGTGTCATTGTATTTGGATCGAGCGCAACCACAAGAATCGCCTTACTGGACGACTTCCCCAGTGATAAGAAACTCAAGAGTTTTTTAAATATCATTTCCAGAGAGAGAGAGCTTCCTAATTTAGATAAGGCTCTAAAGATGGGAAAGGAATTGTTTTATGAGACACCAGAGCGTCCAAATGCAAGAAGAGTTCTTGTGGTAATCCTGGATAGAAAGTCTACAAGTAAGCTTCCCCAATTAAGGGAAAGTGCGAAAATGCTGGAGGAAGACAGTATCAGGGTGATAGCAGTTGCCATTGGAAACGAAGTAGATCGTAATGAACTTGGAGTGATCACACCTGACAAGACCCACGTTATCAACGTCACCACCGACGTCACTGTCATTGATTTTAAAGAGAAAATAATCCGCAAAGTGTTTGAAGGTAAATCCGCTTACCGCGATGTTATAAAAGTTAAATATTTACATTGTCTCTCATTTTTGTTTCATACACGGTGGACTGTTAGGAAAATTGAACGGGACTCAATTCCTGTAAAATGGAATGAAGTTTTAAAACGTGAATTTTTAGCAGATAGATTGTGGTTTTTTTCGACGCTCAGTTGACGTTCAGTGCTTAGACTTTGAGTGCAAGTCAGTTGCGTCACACACAACAGTGAGTTGGCAAAATATGGCAAAAATGAGGCTGAGAATGTAATTACATAACTAATAGAAGTTACGTTTTTTCAAATACTGTTTCTCCAAACTCTTTAAACCCCTATAATCTAATTTTTCTTTACAATGGCACACCTGAATCATGCAGTAAGGTCATTGGAACAAAGAAAATTATCAGCAGCTATAGAAACTGTTGATTTTTACACAAATTCTTGTCAGCATCTTAGGGAATGAATGTCTACTGATTTTAGGGTGTAAAGAGTTAAACCTTTCAATGCATTGGCCTTAAATTCTACCGCGAGTATCTCTTGTCCACTGAACTGTACGATTCATTTTTCAGAGGAGAAAGGCGAGGAACATGACTTTGTCATTGCGGTGTCTGTTGGTCTTAGAAACATGCCGTTCTTCAAGAAAATGGGTATAGAACTTCTGGATAGATATCCAATTAGCAGAGCTGCTTACAGTTTCCTTACTTACAACTCAGGAATAAGAAGAGTCCATACTTTTCAAAGGAAGTTCTCTTCCGATAGCCAGGTTAAAGCCGTCGTACAGAACCTACCTGCCAGATTGGGTTCTCGTGCCAGACTTGATCTGGCCCTGGTGGAAGCAAAGAAATTGTTTACAGTAGGATCTGGAAGCCGGCCTCACGCAAGAAAGGTTGTTGTTATATACACGGACAGAGAACAAACCGGCAGTGACACGGCTGCAGCAGCCAAAACCTCGAAGGAAATGGAAAAGGAAGGAATTCAGATTATTGTTGTTCTTTTGAACATGAGGAACGTTCCTCCAATTTGCGGTGTGGTCACTCCAAATAAGATAAGTATCATTCCGTCAAAACCAGAAGAAGGTCCTAAAGTGGGTGTGGACAAGATCAACGAAGTTCTGAAAGAAGGTATACATATTTTATTGATACAGATCGGATATTTAAATTGCTCTTGTGGTGTGAAAAATTTCTGTGTAAAAAGGCGAAAGAGTGAGTCACATTTTCTGTCAGTTGAGTTTGTCCTGTTCTTAGACGTGATCCACACTTTGTTATTGGAGAGTTTGTTTCCTGGTTTCCTTCATTTTATATCTGAATTAAGACGCCGTCATTCGTATGGTTGAAGTACATTTTTTACATTTTAGGTCTTAAACCGACTCCGGAGATTGAACTATGCTTTGCCTTCAGCGCAACAAGCATAAAATCAGGCAAGACATCGCTTTTGATGAAGAAGACAATCAACAAGATCATCGAAAAGTATGGCGCTGTCAAACTTCACTATTTAGCCGTCGTGTTTGGTACCCAAGCTCAACCTTTAATTAGTTTCCGAGATCAAAATCTAAGCGACAAAGATCTCATATCCATCATCAGCCGTGTTCGACTACCTCCTGGCAGCCCCAGACTAAATGTAGCTTTGCAAGAAGTTAAGGAAGCCTTCGACAAGAGTCCCAAGCGGCCCGGGGTAAAGCGAGTGCTAGTCGTGTTGATTGACAACAAGTCAACTGGTGACGCAGACAACATGAAGAAGCTGCAAGCTGCTAAAGAGCTGTACGGAGGAGACGTGAGCATAATCATGGTCGCGATTGGTGAAGAAACAGATCTGAATGAGCTTGGAACAGTGATATCTCGTAAAGAGAATCTCATTAAAGAGTCCATAGACGTTGATCCAGAAGAACTTGCAGAGAAAATAGTCGAGAAGACCTTTGGTGGTAAGTAGCCCCTCCATTATAATTTCTTTACGTACGAATGGGGAATAATGATGGCGAGACAGTGAAAGCGCTTCGTTCCCACCGCTGTAGCCTGCGTTGATTCCTAAACCTAAAGCGTCGCCGGTGGGTTGATGTTGTTAATATAGTGGTCAAGAGGGTATAAACTTTAGCCGGCCGCACGCAATTTCCTGCGCAGTTTCCCGCGCAAACTTTGCGCAGAATCCTACGTGGTTCTTTCAAACGTGCTACTTTTAAATAATTGAAAAATAGCACACGTTTTCGAGACGGGCAGTTGAATCAAACATTTCGTATCTTTGTCACAATTGAAGAACGCAAGATTTTGAAGTTTTGTAGACGGTTCCTCTAGGTGTTCTTACTTCACAGTTATTTTACTAAGCTATTATTATATCTGGGATAATTTTATAGCTAGATACTTAACTAGGGGTTTCCTCTGAACTTCGATCAAAGATAATTCAATAAAGGAAAAGGAAATGCATGCGCCTCAGTCGGTCGTAGAGTGCTCCATCGCTTGATTGATAGTTTCTCTTTTCGATGTCAACAGCTGCAAAAGAGGAGCGTATTCCTGAAACGGATATTGTTTTTGCAATCACTGCAACCTCTTCAAGGTGGAACAACAACCTTCAACATATGAAGGATGCAATCACTTCGATCCTGGACACGTTCTCCATGGATTTGATACGAGTCGGTGTCATTGTGTTCGGAGGAGAAGTTGATACTTCCATTTCCATACAGAGTAACTTAGATAACTCGCTACAAGCTGATGTTGGCAGGCTGCTACCTAAATTTGGAGTACCAGACCTAAAAAGTGCACTCAGTGTTGCAAAGAATGTTTTTCAGACAAGCGGGAGAACAAACGCTCGCAAGGTTATAGTGGTGATATCTGACAGACGGTCTGGCAGCAGCCAAGAAGACATTGAAGCCGAGGTAGATCGTCTGACTGAAGAAAATATCGTACTGATCAGCGTTGTAATTGGTAACGAAGCTGACCCTAAAGAACTGAAGAAGTTTACTCCTCACGAAGTGACGAAAACCACACCAGATGAAAATCCGAAAGAACTGGGCGAGAAGATCATCATCTTAGTGCTGAAAGGTAAAAAAGTATTGATTGAATATGTCGTGAAATCTTGCAATATTGCCGTTCAAAAAATTTGCCTTTTTCCATTGTTAGGTTTGGTAGGAATTTAGCTGCGAGAAGAAGTAAGAATATTGCGATATTGACCTCTACCCGAAGCGGTTACTGTAGATATACCTGTATCTGTTTTATTTCATGATTTGCCAATTATCTCCAAATAGAACCAGGTGTAGACCTTGCTTTTGCCGTTAGCGTTGACCAAGGGAACCTCAAACTTCTCAAGGACACAGTACAGAAAGTGATCGACAACTACGGCGTGGACAGAATACATTATGGTCTCATCACATTTGGTTCGTCCGCCACGATTAGGATCCGATTTACAGATGAGGTCAAGGATCCGGACGAGCTAAAGAAGTCTGTCAGTGAAAACATGATATCGACTCGCAGTTCTCCGAATGTAGACGAGGCCCTAGCAAAGGCGGAAATGCTGTTCCAAGGTTCAAAGCGAGATCAGACGCACAAAATTTTAGTGGTGATAATGGATCGGTTATCATCGAGTGATCCTCTTATCGTACAGGTACACGGTATTTAGTTGTAATTGTTTGCAGTAGAGGTGCTCTTCTTTACTGCTTCGGACCTATATTCGTCCTACACTAGCGGCGCGCAAATGTTTCTGATTTAACTGTGCTGAAATAGTTATTTCTTCTTAAATCTGTTGGGTAGAACACATAGTAATAGACCATCCTAATAATTTGTCACGATTGTGGGACGCACTGATTCTAAATACGACAAGCCACTTTCGATCTCGCGATTGTATGATTATGACCGTATGAACGAATGTTTCTCGACAGCGACAACTTCGTACAGACTGTTTATTTTGAGATGTAGTTGTATTGCTAGTGTGACCGCAAACGTTCCTTAATTTCGTGCTGAAAGGAAACGAAAGAAAGTATATCACTATAGACTGCTGTTTCTGACGCGGGTTAAAGTACTAACACATTTTATTTTAACCATCTTAGGCCAGAGCTAGAAGACTGGTGGACTTAGGAGTGACAGTAATCCCTGTTATTATTGGCGATGAAGTAAACAAGGAACATGTCAAGCCCGTTACAGATGACGAAGATCGTATTGTGCCAGTCCAACCAAGTGATAGACCAGAGGAAGTGACAGTGGTTATTGTCGTCCAAATAGACGAGGCTATAAAAAGTACGTATCCTCACACATTTTTGTAATTTTATCGCTGTGCTTGTTCAACGAGTGCTCTGTGTTATTCTGTTATCCATTTTTTTAAATAGACAGTACAGCTTGGCAGCACTTCTCCCTACTGATTACTTGCCTACCTGGTGAAATTTCACATTTTGAATTACCAGGCCACGAACTCTACCTTGATTGAGTGAATATTTGAAAGTCCAAGCAAAACAAACTTTCGAAGTAACCCAAATTTCATGAAAATAGAATTGAACTGTTTCATTTTTCTTAGTACTTCAGAGAGAGTGAAGACGGTTGTCAAATACGTAACTCTTCGGGCGAAGTATTCTTTGAAATTCGCTACTTCAATGAGCGAAATTCGCGCACCTCACTCAATTACGTTTTCTCAATACTATAAGTTAGTAATGGAAACTTTGTGTGGAATTCAATCTATCTTTTATGTGCCACAGGACCTGCTCAATTAGTAGACGTCAACCTTGTGTTTGCCATCAGCGCCAACTCCATGGATTCGGATAGAACCTTCCTACAGATGCAGGAGATCATAAAATCCGTTGTGGACACTTATCCCACATCGAATATATTTTACAGTGTTTTGTCTTTCGGAGATTCGCCTGTTGTTCATTTGGACTTCACCGACCAACTTTCCGACGAGAATATTAAACGAACGATTGACTCCATTGGTCAAACAACTGGTTCAAGCTCTCTCGATAAAGCCTTGGACAAAGCAAGGGATCTTCTTAACGCCGCAGCCACAGAGAGGCCCGGTGCGAAAAATATTCTTGTTGTAATGGTAGACAGTAAATCTGACAGTGACATGATCGATGTCAAGGTCTCGTCAAGACTGCTTCGGGGTGATGGAGTGAAGGTGATGGTTGTTGGTGTCGGTAATGAGGTGGATCAAGAAGAAACAGGAAGCATCACATATATTGCGATTCTCACCAATACAACCGATAGACCTGAGGGCGTGGCCAAAGAGATTATTAGAAACATTGACAAAGGTAAGAATGAAGCAGGTTTGAGGTCGATTCTTTATTCCTTTGAAATTAGTCTCTGTGATAGATAGACATCATTGGATGAGTTAGAGTGCATAAAGTTTTTTCAATTATTCACTTGGCGTATCTTTACACGTCATATTGTCAACGCACCTCTTAAACCCTATTCAAAAGGCGGTCTTATATTCGTTTGCAGTTAGTTTAAAGAACTGTTAACGACCATAACTGTCCTTGGCAACTACAACTGCATGGGTATTTTGTATTAAGATCTAAACTCCATGGTGGTAGGACCCCGAAAAACAATAGAGAACTTCATCTCCCGACAAAAAAATTGCTATGGGTCAATCCACATTTCAATACGCCGCTGGAAAGGAATTGAACGATCTTTCATACGAACTTCGCACCTGCGATAAGCTAAGAACTTTTAAATGAAGACTTTACATTAATTAAGATTTAACAAGAATATTGTGTTTTCAGTCTAGGTAACGTCTTTATGAATATCATTATTATTTCTATTAGAAACCTTGCGGGATGTTCTCATTCTTTTTTATTTCAGACACTCGAGATATTCCCGCAATCGACCTTGCATTTGCCTTGAGTGCTGCTGCTGTAGACGCCGACGATATCTTCGATAAGATGAAGAATACAGTAGATACTATAGTAAAGCTTTATGGCGTTGACAAGATCCGGTACGCACTCGTGACATTTGGAGACAAAGCTAATACTGTCGCTGATTTCGACAATGACCGCGGGAAAGACGCACTTAGGACAATTGTTCAAAACGTTAGCCGGCCAACGGGTGAACCAGACGTGAGGGAAGCCTTGGAAGAAGTAGAAAAACTGTTCGAAAATGCTTCGCCCAGACCTGGAAGCTGGAAAGTGCTTGTGGTTTTTATAGATAAGAAGTCAGCCAATAGCCGTGATGACATCAAGGAGGCAGCTAAACCGCTTATAGAGAAGAATGTCACAATTATACCTGCGACTGTCGGGTCAGAGGTTAATGTCGATGAAATAGAAGTACTGGTTACCAACAAGGAATTCATCGCCGTCTGTCCAGTTCCTGAGCCCGACACCTGGCCAGAGATAATCATCGATAAGGCTATACAGGGTGGGTCACGGAACTAAAGCTAAATGATGAAGCTAAAAGCTTTTGTTACTTGGTTTCCTCTCTTGCATTGGTTTTACAGATTCTAATAAACTAACGGAAATTTTGGTCAGTCATATGGGAAATCTAGATATCTGTTTCATATAATAATATTGTTTTTTTTTTTTTAAATCTATGACCCACTTTTTCACAAGAGGTAGGAAACTCGAAACCTATGGCTTGAAGTGAACTTTTTGCCCAATTATTCGCCTCTAGAGCTGTTTAAATTAATCTGCCGGCGATTTGATATCTCTGTACTTTGGGTACAGTGTTCTTTTCGAGACCAGATTCTCATTATTACGAGCAAAGACGCTTATCAAAGACTGTATTTTACTTGACATTAAGTCCCTGAGTTCAGCTAATGTTTTGGAGAGTTGTTAGACCAGATGATAGAGCTAAATGTAGCGTTCACAAGTTATGAAAATTATGAAAGACAAAATTCTGATATCGGTCGTGGAATATAAAAAAGTGTTGTTTGTCGCAAGTTTAACGTCTGCGTTACACTGTATCAGAAGGTTTCATGCTATGAAAAATCATTATTTTGAATCTATGATCCATATCCTAAAATGTCTCTAGATCTCCAATAATACACTGAAACGTATAACATAGAGCCATAAGTTGCAGATGACGTCGCACATGTGCTGCAGCATAACCGGTGCCACATTTCCGACTACTTATCGAAAGATTCTCTTTTTTGTAGAACTGCCAAAGATTCCAAAGCTCGATCTGGGATTTGCTATCAGCATCGGTTCCTCGGATGCAGATGCCAACTTACAAAAGATCAAAGACACCATGAAATCGATAATAGATCGTTACGGAAAAAGCGATATTCGATACAGCTTCATTCTCTTTGGTGATGAACCGTTTGAGAGAGTCAGCTTTGCTGAGAGCCAGCGTTACACTGTCGCTACTCTTAAGGATAGAATCAATCGTTTCACACGAATCTCTGGTGCAGCTTTAGACAAAACCCTGGAGGAGGCCAAAGAGATTTTTGAGCGTACAGCGAGACCTGATGCTAAGAAGGTGTTGGTTGTCATTATGGACCAGACGCAGTCGAGTGGAAGGGAGAGCACTAAAAGGAAGGCAAAAGAGTTACAGATATCTGGAGTTAAGGTTGTTCCAGTGGTGCTCGGTGAAGAAGGAAACAAAGTGGAATTGGAGGAAATCACCCGACACAAAAATAACCTGGTGGAGATGGAGAAAGATGAGAATGAAGAGAAAGCTGCTGAAAAGATAATGATCAAAGTGCTGGAAGGTAACTTAACATGTTCCAAGTTTGTCATTTTACGAATTCAATTCAATCACGTGCAAACATGATCCTCACAGCTAGATTGTCACTTTTCTTTACGGGATCGGAGAACTCACTAAACCTTGCCTCGCTTTTAACCTTAATTTTTCAGGTTTTTTTTTCTGCAGTCGCTCAAATTATGATTTATTGCAAGTCAAATTAAAATTCATTTACCGAACTACTGTTTCGTAATATCCTTTCAACTTGCGACGTTTTATTGCGCCTTGAAAACCGTCGGTAATCAAAATATCTCGAAGAAAGTCGTTTTAGAGGCGCTGACAATTTTAAAGAATACGCACCAAGAGCCCATGGGTTTAGAACGAACTTAATGTAGGCTGCCGTCTTGACATTTACGTACTTCTTTTTTCCCTCACCATCCCTAAGAAGAAATTCTTTTTCAGCCGCAAGTTGTGTAAGGTCGGCTGTTTAAATGATAGTGGCTCGTTTGATTATTAATCTTGTCGCTTTTAATCCATTTTCCTGCTTGTCATTTGTTTGCTTTAGATGTCACCGATGAGGAACAGATGGTAGACATTGCATTTGCTCTTAGTGCCACAGCATTAAGCTCAGACGACAACTTTAGGAAGATGAAATCTCTACTGGATGAGATCATAAACAGCTACAGTCCATCTGCCACTCGCTACAGTATCATAACATTTGGGAAGACCCCAGTGGTTGAACTCGATTTTGGAGGCGTGAGCGACCTCATGGAATTGAGAGAAACCTTACAGCAGATCACAAAGAATCAGCAGGGCGCCGACCTTGCCAGGGCCCTTCGAAAAGCTCGGCAGCTATTCCAGACAGCAGCCGTGAGTCGTCCTAATGCTAAAAAGATCCTGGTGGTGGCAATGGATAAGGTGTCTGACAGTGATGAGATCGCAGTGACAGTAGCCGCCAGATCTTTGGCTCAGGATGAAGTCCGAGTTATCGCTGTCACGTTTGGAAAAGAGGCAGATCCACAAGAGATTGAAAAGACAACTCTGAACAAGAACAATGTGATCCAAACTGACGATAATGATGGTTCCGAGGATATTGCGGTAGAAGTTGTAGAAAGAGCAAACAATGGTTAGTAGAAAGGATTTCGTGAACATTTGGTGTTCAGGTGAAAATGAAATGTTTGAGGTAAATCAATTTTGTCAGATGCATCGGTTAGTTGACAATAAGAGAGTCAAAATAGCCATGAGAAAATGAGAACAAGAATGCTAACCAATCTTAGAACGGCAATTTTCGCTGTGTCTTCACCAACGATTGGTTAAAAAAAGATAAGTTATTTGAATCTATTGGATAGATCTATCGGCAGGGGTTCTATGGAGATCCTGACTCAGGGAACAGGGAAATGTTTTTCATATCGTATACCCCCCCCCCCCCCCCCTCGTAACATAGCTCTCCTTCCCCCGTAACTTTTGGTGGCAAAACTTTCTGTTTTCTTTATTTTTAATAGATTCTATGCCGATACCAATGGTAGACTTAGGATTTGCCATCAGTGCCACAGACACCGGAGCCGGCCAGACATATGAAAATATGAAGAATGTGGTCAAACATATTGTTAATTCGTATGGGTTGGTCAGCATAAGATATGGAGTCATCCTGTTTGGCGAGTCAGCGACAACATACATTCCTTTCTCGCGAACTTTTCCTGACGAGATGGCATTGTTATCGTCCCTCGATTTGCCACAAAGACTCCGTGGAGAGCCAGACTTGCAGAAGGCGTTAGAGGAAGCAAAGACAATGTTTGATCAAGCGACCCCCCGACCTGGTGCTAGAAAAGTCCTCGCTGTCATCGTCGATAACGATTCTTCCAATAATAAAAGTGAAATTAAGGAAGCGGCGAAGGTCTTAAAAGATGACGACATCCAAGTCATACCCGTAGGCGTTGGACCCAATGTCGATGACGAGGAACTTGAAATTATGACAGGGAACAAGAAAAACGTTATTAAAACAGACAAGGATGGCGACTCGTCGAGCGTGGGTGAAGAAGTCATCATGAAGATCCATGAGGGTGAGAATTCTGCTTACGCGTTCTCAAAGTGATGGTTTTGCTTGGTCTTACCAAAGATTGTCTTCCATCTCCTCCAATCACTCCTTCTGCTCTTTTTTCTCTTCTACCATGACATTTTATTGCCTTCCCAGCCTTTTCCTTCCTTCTTTTTCTTAACATCCTTCTCCTTTTCCCATCTCGCCTTCTTCTCTTTCTTCTCCAGCTTCTTCTCGTACCTCACCTACTTAGTTCCATTTATCCTTGTCTTAACTCCTGTCATTTATACCTTCCTTGTCGCTTCTCCATCCTCCTTCTCCAGTTCCTCTCCTTTGCTTCCTCTTTCCATTGCTCTTTCCTGGAGCGTTCTCCTGCTCCCACTGTTTGTCTTACCTCCGATTACCATTGTCTCTCCCTTGTCTTCCTCTTCCTTTTTCTCACTCACCTCCTTTCATTTTTTTCTTTTTCTCCGTCTCTTCCTTGTCCTTCTCCTCATTTTCTTCATCCACACCTTCCGCTCTCCCGACTTACTCCTTTTACTTCAACTCAACTATGAATCTCTCTTTTCCTCCAAGTAGATCCTCCCACCGTGCCAGAAACAGACCTCTTATTTGCCCTTAGTGCTAACGCAGTAAAAGACGGAGACAACTTCCAGCAGATGAAAGATATCATCAAGGCCATGATTGATCAGTACGGGACATCTAGTCTTCGGTATGCTGTTATGACGTTCGGAAACGTACCGATTATAAGAATTTCCTACGATGCAGCTTTCTTGGACGATAAAGCCTTGATGAACTTAGTCGACGCGGCTCAGAAAACTTCAGGAGCATTATTAGATAGTGCTCTTTCAAAAGCCAAGCAGTTCTTCGAAACCCAAGGTCGTCCTCTCGCGAAGAAGGTGCTGGTGGTGATTTCTGATATCAAGTCTAGCAGTTCTCTTGGAGATGTCCAGACGCAGGCCAAGTTCTTGGAAGAAGACGACATCAAAGTTATTCCAGTCGCCCTTGGAAAACAGTCCGACATGAAAGAACTGTCTGCAACCACACCGAACAAAGAGAACCTTGTAGATATTGACGAAGGTGATGATCCAGCAGAAACTGCCGAGATTATTATGCTGAAGATTGTGAAAGGTACTCGCACTATATGTTTTTAATAATCACCATTTTAAAACTTAGGGATGGTAGCTTTTACAAACAACACCCTCTTAAATCACTACACCATTAACCCAAGCAGTGAACACGGTGATGGAAATAGGTCCAAGTGGCGTCCAATTCTGTTTGTAATCATGCGAGTGATCAAAGAAATTGCACGATTGCGAGGCGGAAGTCCGGTTTTTCAATCACGGTATGATTACAGACAGAACTGTGCGACAGACAGTGCTGCTCATTAAAACTGTGATAAATTTTAGAAACGAAAAAGTCGACCGTATTCAGAAAAAAAAATAGCAATTGGCGTTTATTCACGGGTAAATAAACCAAATAGTCTGTCTATCAGCCTGCTCATTTGACTTAATGTACCGTCCAAGTACACAGAAATGACGTGTTAATTGCCTTCTTTAACTTTTCGACTAATGCTAGAATTGACTTGCCGATAACCAATCACGTTCGAGAATTTTGTCATAATTTTGAATATCAAAGGGAATTAGAAAGCAAGCATTTGATTTTTCTGTCGTGACAATCGTACGTTCTTCAAGTATTGGCTTGACAAGTCGATCTGTTTTTAAAGAATGCAAGCATGTTAACTGTAGAAAACTCACCTTTAAAACTTGCTAGGTTACCTATGGTGTTTATTTCCTTGATTTCCTTTAGATGTTCCTAAGATACCGGAGATGAACTTAGCATTTGCCATCAGCGCCAGAGCTATAGATGACGCGACAAACTTTGCGAAGATGAAGGACATCATACGGTCAATCGTGCAAAAGTTTGGCTCAAGTCGAATCCATTACAGTGTCATTACATATGGCGACCCACCAACCACTGTTCTGCCATTCGATCGTAGGCTTCCTTCCGACGAGGATTTAAAACAGCGCATCAGTATGTGCAACTAACAAGTTTGAGACCCCTATTTTATAAACGTAACATCTTATTGCATAGCTTTGAATTTGCAAAATTTTTTAAAAATGAAAGTAGTTGGTCCAAATAGACTTAAATAGGGGCCTCGTGTTGTCAACTGTTCCCGGAGTCTGTATAGAGACCTAAATGGCAAATTTAACACGAAATTTTTGTTTCATGTTAGTTTTAACTAACTAAAGGCAAATATGCGTTTGTAAGCCACTTCCCGTACGTTTGACGCTGGTTACATCTGTTTTCATCTTGTTCTACTGTGAAAAGCAACACTTGCTGTGATTGGTCGTTTATGTTATAAATTTGGTAAGATACGGTTACCTTGTGGTCGATGTCCTGGAGGTGGCGGTTCTAGTCTCTTGGGTGACATTCATTTAAATTTTGATCATTGCAGAATCCATTTCCAAGAACGATGGTGGTGCAGCATTGGTTGAGGTGCTGCAAGAGGCCACCAAGCAGTTTGATGCTGCAGCTAAAGTCCGGCCTAATGCGAGGAAGGTTCTAGTTGTTATAGCGGATAAGGAATCCGATAGCAGGGGAGAGGATCTCAAGAAGGAAGTTTTCAAGTTGCAGCCCGTTGGCATCAAGGTTATTGCTGTTGCCCTGGGTGAAGAATCTGATGAGGATGAACTTGATATTTTGACGCCTGAAGAGGGTGCAGTCATTGAGGCTAACAGTACTGACGGCGCCAGGAAAACCGCTCATGCCATCATGGAAAAAGCTCTACAAGGTGAGGTGCAGTCGCGTTGGGAAATTTGAGAGTCGATGTATTAAGGACTTGTTTGAACGTTGGACAATTTAAATTTGAGTTTCAAATTAAGAACATTTATTTGAGTTTGCCTGGTTCCTAACATGTGGCTCGTAGCGTACGTGATAGTAGGGCCCGACAAAGGCACAGGTTCGAATCTTGTCGAAGCCTGAATGTTTTTTAAGCTCCTGCGAATTTTTTAATTGTAGCTTATCTGCGACTGAAACCTCCATTTCTCACTTAAACGTTAGTTTCTGTTCACTCGAAAACACTGCCCTCTTTGTAAGTGCTTAACTTGTTTGTGTGGATCACAACACCGAATTTGATAAGTAACTTTAGTTTACTCTTTTTACAATGTAAATTCTTTTCCTTTTTTTTTTATTATAGATTATCCAGAAACACCCTACCTTGATATCCTCTTTGCCATCAATACCGCTGGTAGAGATGCAGTGAAGACCTTTGAGATGCTGAGAAATGCTCTTAAGAATATTATACAAATGTACGACCCAGATCGCGTACGGTATGGTGTAATCATTTATGGCGACTCTGCATCGCTCGTTGTCCGATTCTCTAAAGATCCTCAAGAGGTTAAGAAACTGACCAGGGATATCGACGAGCTGTCGCAACCTTCTGGATTACCAAATCTCGAGGGACTGTTACAGGAAGCAAAGAAGGTGTTTGAGCAGGATTTCGGCCGACCCAAAGCAAACAAAGTGCTGGTTGTAGTAACTGATGCTAAATCGTCATCAACGTCAGATGACATAAAGCAGGCTGCTAAACCGCTGGAGGAAGATGGGGTAACAGTTGTTGCAGTAGCTGTAGGGGATGAAGCAAATAACAAACAGTTGGAGAAAATGATACCTGACAAGCAAACGCCTTTGACTATGGACAAGGAAGGAGAGCCCGATGAAATAGGAGAAAAAATCATGGAGAAGGTTTTGGAAGGTGGGTGTTACTCATTAATCCATAAAGTTTATCTCCAAACTTATTCACTGAACTAATTTCTGTTAGGATAGGCAAACACTCGGAAATTCACCTAAACCTTCAAAAGTTGGTTTGGAATGGAGAGGATTGGACTGCGGATAGCTACCTTAAACAATTTGAGCTTCATTTTCCAAGAGAGACACACTGTGATGTAGCTCTTTCGTTAATGTCTGTTATTGTTTCTTTTCAGCCATCCCTCAGATACTTGATTTAGATTTGTTGTTTGCCATAAGTGCCCGTGGTGCGTTGGACTCAGCGAAAAACTTCCGGGAAATGAAGGACATTATCGATAGGGTCATCACCAAATATGGTATCGGTAAAATTCAATACAGCTTCGTCGTGTTTGGATCTACCCCGGCGGTAAGACTGACCTTTACACGGCCTGTGAACGACGAACAACTGAGAGGAATCCTACAACAAACACAACGCTCAGTTGGTGCAAGCCTAAAAGATACACTAAAAAGAGCTGAGAGGATCTTCGATGCTTCCCCCCGACCGAACGCTAAGAGAGTGTTGGTTCTCGTGATGGACAAACGGTCTGATAACCGTCTCGATGACGTTAAATTGTCAGCCGAGTCTCTATGGAGGTCTGGTGTCAAAGTTATCCCAGTGGCCTTTGGACGAGAGGCTGCACAGGATGAAATGGAGGCTACAACGTCCGAGGAAGACAATTTGATTGACGTGAGAGACACCAGCAATCCTGACCAAGTCGCCCAAGAGATCATGGAAAAGGTTTTAGAGGGTAGGTGATGTTTGCGAGGCTCAAATATACTTTTATTGTGTTGTTTTGTGCTAGTCGCCACTACTTCATACACGGATGAATTTATTCACGTAGAATCATAACCATGGGTTTTCATTCCTTTCCTTTTTCGTTCTGTAGATTTCAATGTTCCCAAAATGGACATAGCGTTTGCCATCAGCGCCACAGCCCACCAGTCAGATGCAAACTTCATGAAAATGAAAGACACAGTTAAACAATTTGTGGATAGATTTGGTGTGCACGGAAGGGTGCACTACGCTTTGATGACGTTCGGAGATCCCCCGACGAAGGATTTGCAATTTAGCGACAAAATGGCAAGTCCAAGCACTCTTAAGGAACTGATAGATGGAATCGGTAAGCCATCTAGGGAAGCTGCATTGGATGAAGCTCTCAGTGCGGCTAAGTTGTTGTTCAGCCCAGGTGCAGGTGGAAGGGAGGATGCTGAGAAGATTCTGATAGTCATGACCGACAGGGAGTCAGACAGCAGCAACAAAGATGTCATGATGTCTGCCAAACAGCTGAAGAATGAAGGAATCCGTGTCATTGCAGTTCCGCTTGGTGACGAGGACAACTTGAATGAAGTGGAGGTTATTGTATCCATCGGTGAAGACATTATTAAGCCGAAGACTACAGACAAACCCAGGCACATCTCAGATGAGATTGTCGGAAACATTCTTAACGGTTAGTTGCGTCTGTATTTGTGGTCATTGTAGACACAACGATTACTGTCCCTGCCTTGGAGGCTTGCGAATTGTGCGACCGTGTAGTAATGAAGGAATTTGTCGCCTAGTTTATGGCCTATCTCCTCCTCCTCCTCCTTGGAATTTTCGAGGGACTCAAGATTTGTTTTTGCTCATGACAAATATTCGACATCTTTGTTTATTGGTATTTATTGTAAATATATGACGACAGAATGCTTTCCTAACGTGAACGTCTCTTTTTCTTATGTCATTGTATCTTTTAGATGAACTTCGAACTCCCAAAATCGATTTAGGATTTGTGATCAGTGCCTATGCTACATCAGCTGCAGATACCTTCCAGCGTATGAAGGAGACTATTAATGCCATTGTTGACGAGTATGGAGTCTCTGGTAGAATCCGCTACGGTCTTGTCACGTTTGGCCGAGACGCAACTCGAAAACTGAGCTTTAGTCGAGAGATTTCTGACATCAACTCTCTAAAAGATAAGATAAAGAATACTCGTCGCCCTTTTGGAGATCCTGACTTACAAAAAGCTTTAGAAGAGGCCAAGAAATTATTCGAGACTGAGCCAAAACGTCCTGATGCCATGAAAGTTATTGTTGTGATAACTGATAAGAAATCCACGAGTCGTCCCGAAGATGTGAAGTTGGCTTTCGTTCCGTTAGCGGAGGAAGGTGTTAAAATTATCCCTGTAGCGGTTGGTTCATCAGCAGACCCCGATGAACTGGAAAGGGTTACATCCAATCGCGGTTACATCATCATGACAGAGAGGGAACTGGATCCAGATGTGACTGCGGAGCAGATAATGGAGATGATTTTGAAAGGTATTTCAAATTTTGTTGAAACGTTTTGAATCTAAGAGTTATAGTCGAAGGGGAACGTTATGGACCAGCTGTCAGTAATTCTGCGTTGTCGAAAGTGACTGAAATTAAAACATCAGGCCTCGTGTTGTTTATCAGCGGTTGAGGCGATTTTATCCCAGCATGTCATTTACACTACCTCTACTTGTCTCCTCTTTGACCATGACCATTGCTTGAACGAAAAGATCTCTGTTCATACAAATATTGTTGTTCTCATCACCTGCAAAATCGTTGGACTCCACGATACAGAAGAAATGATGAATTAAGCAGAGGTAGTAAAGTATTTTACTTTTGCTGTTAAACGAGTAGAACCCTGTTCTAGAGACCTTAAAGGAGGTAAATCGAAATACATCCCTAATATATGTTGTTTGCCTTATTCATCAAAGATTTGCCAGCTGTGCCCCAAATGGACCTTGTACTCGCTATCAGCACCATCTCATCAAATGCTAATGCAAACCTCGCTAAAATCAAAGAGGTGGTCCAGGAACTGATTGACACGTACGGTGTTCAGCGGGTCTACTACAGTGTCATACTGTTTGGTCGGGTTCCTAGCATAAGGATAAGGTTTACACAACAGTTGGATGAAGCTTCCTTGAAGTCAGCTATCCAGGGTCTGCGAAGACCTAGTGGAGGTTCATCGCTTTCTGTTGCGCTAGAGACGGCTAGAGGCGTGTTTCGGGACGGCCGTCCAGACTCCAAGAAGGTCGTGTTGGTAGTAATGGATGCGAAATCAGGAAGCAGTAAGGACGACGTGAAAGAGGCCGCCAGTGAATTAGAAGAGGATGGTATCAAGGTCATTCCACTGATGTTGGGAGGTCAGGCAGATCCGGATGAGGCCTCAGCTACTACCACGAACAAGCAGAATGTTGTGAAGGCAAATGACACCAGTGATACGAAAGCCGTTGCCGAGGAAATCACACAGAAAGTTACAGACAGTGAGTAAAAGAATTACATCTGCATTCATCGGTAGGAAAAATTTGCGAAAGCCGAGTAAGGAGATCAGGTCTTAGATTCAGTTAGTCTGAAGTTTGTAATCTCTTTCCGGCCCCCATAAAGCGCAGAGCACAGCATTGATATACATTTGTCGACCGTTCTTGAACTTTCTACAAACTTTTAAAGGAAATGTTTGCCATAATTGGCAGTAATGTTTTAATCTGATAGACCAATTTGCCGTTGACGCTAAGAGTACTGTGCCTCGTTAGTTCACAACATTTTGACCACTGAGATGACGAACATCGTTGTCAATAAGAGTACAGACCACGCTAAACCGATGTCGACTTGTTAAATGCCGCGATTTTTGCATTCAAACAAATAGTAGTTCAAGTTAAAATTTGCGTTAAGTTTACTCTCGAGTTAGGTGTGGTTGACCCTTACAGCTGAGCATCGTGATTAGCTCATAACAAATTATGGTAGTACCAAGTTATTTGAATTATTTTTCACGAGGCATTGACTCTTCACCGTTGAAAAGTAACTTCTGTTACCACCGCTTTATTCTAGGTGAGCCAGTTATTCCATTGGTTGATATGGGATTTGCTATCAGTGCAACGGCAATAAATTCCAGAGAACATTTCCGGAAAATGCAAGAAGTCATCAAAACCTTCGTTGATAAGTACGGTTCTCAGAGGATTGCTTACAGTGTTCTGACATTTGGATCGAACCCAACCATTAGTGTCCGCTTTAGCGATGCAGCAAATGGAGACGAGGTCTTGATGAGCATCATAAACAACATACCACAAAACGAAGCGAGAGCGTCTCTTGATAAAGCCCTGCACGGAGCGAAAGAGCTTTTCAAGGATTCCAATGGTGCCCGAAAGGATGCTATGAAAGTTTTAGTGGTGATCACAGACGAAAAGTCGGATAGTCTGGAGCAGGAAGTGAAGAAAGCAGCTCAAAGACTCGACGAAAACGACATCCGGGTTATTGGCATTGCACTTGGAGATGGAAGTGATGGAGAACTGGAGGGGATTACTGATATTGAGGGTGACGTCATCAACACAACCGATTCGACTTCACCCGAGAAAATTGTGGAGAAAGTAGTTGAGCAAGTCTTAAACAGTAAGTTCCTGAGTAATGTTTTTTACTTTGTCTGCCGCACTGGTGATCATATAAGTAATATAAGACGCAGTTTTTTTATGCAAACTCAACACTTACTCGCAAGTGCCCAGATTCATAGCTTATGAAAATTTTCCTGTCATCTTTTGTTTTGTTTGTTTTTCAAATTGGAACGTAGACAAAACTATTCCCCTTATGTTTTGGAAGACAAGTAAGATGACGCGAAATAATAATCACATTCAAGCATGTTGCGTGCGAGATTAGAAACGTTTTTTGCGTGTCTGAAAGTCCCCGCCTCAACCCTCCCACCTGCTCGCCCCTGAACGTTGTACGACTATTTTAATTACGTTTTTTGAATACCTTATTGAAGATAGCAATCCACGAGTCATAAATTATAAATAAAAGAAATTGATGTTTTGGAAAGTTCTTACGAAGTGGGTGATGGTACACAAAAGTGAGATGACAATTATTTTTCGTTGCATATGCACACGATAACACCATGATTTTTTTTTCAATCAAAATTTAACAGTCAAATTGTTTGTTTATCGCAGAAACTGCTACACTTGATGAGATAGACTTGGCATTTGCCATCAGTTCTGCTGCCGCGGGCTCTGACACAACTTTCCAGCAAATGAAAGACACCGTACAAGAGATAATGCAGACTTACAAAACCGACAAACTGCGGTATGCTGTGATGGTGTTCGGAGGTCGGGTCCTTTCTCCTATCAACTTTGCATTGACACTTCCAGATGACAAAACGGTACAGTGATTTATGCCATTATTCCAGTACATAATTATAATGCAAGAATGATAGGTACCCATTGAGTGGGACGGAAGGACGGAAAAATGTGTAGGTCGTGGTCATGACTTACTTACTGAGCGCAGCGAGATTTGTGCTTCATTATGGAGAACCCAATATTTCCCTGTCCAGCCTGACCTAAGTCACTAAGCGTTTTATTTTACGACCGTCGCTCTGTCTTTTTTCTTCCTTTCACCTTATGCCTCGCTGCTCATGACGTCGTAATACTCACCCCATCACAGCCCTCTTAAGGGTAGTTTTTGTCCTATTAAGAAAAAGCGCGCGTAGAGCCATACGGTTCATATGATAATTATCAACTATTCACCTCAGTGCCAGTGGCTAGTGGTGGATATCTACCATATATACCGAGCTAAGACGTAGATATCCACCGCCGACACTGAGGTGAATAGTGGTTTCAGAGTATATTCAATGAGTGAGATAATATACCACACTAAGATGATTTTAACTCATTTATTTTTGCAAAGATTACAACATTTTCGGGCGCGAGTCCCGCGCGAGTCGCTCGTAGGAGAATAGCAAAGGATATTCGGACTTCGAGTAACCAATCAGAGCGCACCTTTTACTCTATCCACTGTTTTAGTTTAGACCTACAAGTCTTATAGCATGCCTAAACGTTACGACGGCAAGTCAGCACAAGAAGATGATGTCGACTAGTTGTACATCACCATATAAAGGTCTATGCTTTGCTTTGCTGTGATTGGGTACTTTTCAATAGCTTTGTTCGGCATATTTGTCAAAATTAATCACAAACGATAGGACCAGCCTAAACTGTATTTTAGTTCTCCACGAATAATAACCACGTACATAATGCTTCATAATCTTCGTGTTAAAACTGAACTTTTCCTTCTATGTGTCTTTTTGGTTCCTCTTTGGCACCATGGAGTCTTCGTGCGCTCATGTAAAGGAATAGATGAAATTCATAGCGCGCAAACTAATATTAGCCGCCATTGAAGCACTTTGATATTTTATAAGCAATTTTTTACCGTTTGAAATATCCAAAATTTCCAGGAATTTTCCCGCTTTGATTACATAGATAAATCTGAAATGACACAACTTGAGTATCTCCTGTATTCTCCCTCAGATAAAAACGTATTTCAACTCCATCTCGCGTCCTTCGGGTGAACCCAACCTCGAGCAAGCTTTGTCAGAAGCCAAGAAATTATTCGACCAGGCTTCGCCACGCCCAAATGCCAAGAAAGTTTTAGTGGTCATCATGGACAAGAAATCTTCCAATAAATATCAGGAGATTGACGTCGCTTTGAAGCCTCTCAAGGAAGATGATGTCAAAGTTGTGCCAGTAGCCGTTGGCACTGATGCCAGTTTAGATGAATTGAAGAACATTACGTCCGCAGAGGAATATGTAGTGACAGCAGAGAAGAGCACAGATCCTGTGAAGCTTGCAGAGAAGGTTATGATCAAAGTGACCAAAGGTAAATGATTGTCGATCATGCGCAATGTGTTGGTGAGAGAGTAGGACAATGTAACAATTGACCTTACTGAGGCTGCTATTGTCACCTCTTCTCATGGATGTACTACATCTCTTGGTTTACAAAATTTAAAAAAGATGTTTCTTTTTTTTATAGAAATATTGGACGTACCTGAGACGGACATGATTTTTGCAATCAGCGCCACTGCACAGCTGAATCAATTAGATAACTTTCGTCAGATGAAAGAGATCATCAATGCCATGATTGACAAGTACGGCACAGGAGACCTAAAGTACTCGGTCATAGTCTACGGAGATGTACCACAGCTAGGACTTCGCTTAAACAGCAACTTTGAGTCGGACGAAACTCTAATGAATTCCATCAGCTCAATTCGTAGTGGTCGTGGAGCATCACTTTCTAAAGCCCTAACACTTGCGAACCAGGTGGAGTAGAAACAATAACTTCTTAATATTACTTGTTTGCCTCTTGGTCAAACAATGAAAGGAAGCGCAATACAATCAAACTAGATATAGCAATTTTGAGCTGAGTTTCGAAAGTAGTTTGCCATCGTCTGGGTTTGCGATCGGCCAAGAAAATTTGCGTTACCCTATAAGCGAGTAAGATGAAATTTGCAACCGTTCCGAGGTTGCGCAGGAGATTGGGTCGACTTATGTTTCGCAAAGCATCACGGGGTTGTTTTGGAAACCATTAATATTTTTCTTATTGACTCGCTGTAATTTAATCTTTGTTTTGATTTGCTGTTGTGATTAGTTTTGGTTTGGTTTTGCAAAATGTTTTAACAAGAATCTCTCTGTTAAGGGTAACGTCAGACTATGCAAATGTCGTGAAAACGATTATAAAAGTCACTGAACCTCCCAAACGTTGGAGGTTACCGAATTTTGAAGGGTAACAATAAGATATTTGCATGGAACTTTGAGGCGTTATTATTATTAAGAGCCCATATCGGTTTGCTGTCTTTTGGCTACTGGTCTCAAGTTTTCGTAGTAAATACCATTGAAGTAGAAAGTCTTTCACCCAGTAACTTATTTTTTCCTCCATGTAGGAGTTCGTTTTATTGGGACGTCCAAACGCCAGGAAGATTTTGGTTGTAATCACAGACAAGAGATCCACGAGCGAAATCAGTGACGTCACTAAAGCAGCCAGAATCCTGGATCAGGAAGACGTCAGAGTTATACCAGTGGCGCTTGGAAACGAGGCTGACGTAAACGAGTTGCAGAAAATCACGCCGTGGCTGGATGATATAATAGAGACTGACAAGGATAGCAATCCATATAAAGTGGCAGAGGTGATTCTGAAGATTGGGTTGGAAGGTTGGTGGGAAAACTTTTATACATTCAGTGACCGTTGTCGTTGTCAGTGACCGACGTCTTGGCAAACTGAGTAGAAGTGTTTATCAGGGTCAAGATTTCCCCTCAGACACTCGGAAAGCCAGTCACTGCTCCCTGTTACAGAAATTTGTAGAAAACGTAATTACACATCGAGTTATACCAAAAACAAACATTTCTGGTTAAAAATTTGTTATCAGACGGTTATCAGGTTATGGAGTGTTGTGGAGGCTACTATCTTTTTAACCCCTAAGAGTGACCAGCATCTGATTTCTCTCTACAATATCGCCCCTGGATCAAACATCAAGGTTGCGAGAATAAAGGAAATGATCACCAACTAAAGAAGCTCTTGATTGTTAAGCAAATTCTCCTTGTCAGCACCTTAGGAAATATATATATAAGAACAGTATAGATATGCTTACTGATGCTAGGCGGTAGGGGGTTAATTAATACTTGAGGTAATGAAAAACCGCTATGTTTAAACTTTTGATTAAATTATACAACCTTTGTAACTACTTCGTTTCGCCGCAGTTTTTACGGTTTTCCTTTATCTGCAGATAAACCAAAACTTCCAGAATTGGATCTTGCCTTCGCCATAAGCGCCACAGCTCTGAAAGCCGGTGACAACCTCAAGAAAACTAAAGACATAATCAAGGATATTGTCGGCAAATATGGAATCAATAAAATGCACTACAGTCTGGCTACATTTGGAAGCAAGCTAAACGTCATTATCAAGTTCAGCCGACAGGTAAACAGTAATGCTCAGTTCATGCGTCTGGTGGATTCTGTCCGCGGAGTCCAACGAGGCTCTGACTTGGCTAAAGCTCTGGAAGAGTCCTCAGCCATGTTTACCGAGGAGAATGGAGGGCGACCGAATGCCAAAAAGATATTAGTTGTGATCATCGATAACAAGTCAGACAGTTCTGGTGATGACACTGAAGATGCCGCGGCTTTGGTGAGGGAAGCTGGCATCCGAGTGATCCCAGTTGGGCTTGATAGAGCGGACAGAGGTGAGCTGGACAAGACGACAGCTGTGGAGGAGGATGTGCTGACACCACCAGACAGCGACACGGCTCAAAACATTGCGGAGGATATTATAAGAAGGGCACTGAATGGTAAGAAAACCACGTGATCTTTGTTGACGGAGTGCCACGTGGAAGGTTGTAGGTAGGAATCCAGTTAATTAGACTTTAGATTTTTTATCATATTTTTCTTATCTTTCAGAGACAGCATCAGTTCCTCTTTTAGATTTGGGCTTTGCAATCAGCGCATCAGCACAGGATGCAGACAAAACGTTTACTCTGATGACAGAAGCTATAGACTCCATTGCAACACATTACGAGGCCAGCAAAATCCGCTACGCTTTACTGACATTTGGTAGCACAGTCAGTAAAGAGGTTACTTTCACTGAAGATTCGCCCAACCCAGAAGAACTACGAAAGGCTTTAGAAGGGGCTAGTAGACCGAGTGGTGCACCAGACTTAAAGAAAGCTCTCGAGGAGGCAAAGATGATGTTCAAACAGGCGACCCCTCGACCCGGAGCTAAGAAGGTTCTTATAGTAATAATGGATAAAAAGTCAGCCAGTGATGCCAGTGATGTTAAAGAGGCAGCTAAACTGTTGGAAGACGTGAATGTCAAAGTGGTCCCTGTGGCAGTGGGTTCCGAAGTCAGTCTATCTGAACTTGAAAAGATAACAACTAATAAGAAATTCATCGTTATCGTCGGAAATGATGAGGATCCAGAGAGACTTGGAGAAGAAATAATCAGAAAAGCTTTAAAGAGTGAGTGTTTTGTTTCCCTTAAAGCGTGTAACTTGCCTTAGGCCTTATGCGCTTTTATGCGTCTTTTCTTGCTAGTATTAGAATCAATGACTGATGCTTCCTTGTTGAAGTAGCTGTTGGGATCATTTATACGCGAAAGTCTTTGTCTTGACCTGTTGGCATCCCTGGGAGGGATTATATTGAACGTAAAATGTGAATGAATCACTTGAAGTACTTTCGCTCTCTACGTATATGGTGAAGCACCGTGAAAATATGTTACTACGTGAACATTAAAACAAATGTCATCTTTGTTTTCTTACAGATCTTCCAACAGTCCCAATGGTCAACTTGATCTTCGCGATCAGTAGTCTCTCCTTTAATGCGAACGAGAAGTTCCAAAAGATGAAAAACATCATCAAAACCATGGTAAATGAATATGGCAAGGAAAGGATTCACTACAGTCTCATTGTGTTTGGAAACGAACCTTCGGTTGAGCTGAGATTCTCCAGGACCTTTGATAGCGACGCTGAGCTTAAAGCACACCTTGATCTTCAGGCCAGAGTCTCGGACGGAGCTGCTTTGGATAAAGCCTTGAAGAAGGCTGCTGATTTGTTCGGGGAATATTACCGGGAGGGTGCTAAGAACGTGCTGGTGGTGATAATGGACAAGAGGTCTACCAGCAACAGAAAGGATGTGCAGAGCATGGCTGTTCCATTGTGGGAGGATGACGTCGAGGTGATTCCGATTGCGTTTGGGAGCCAGGCTGACAAGAAGGAGCTGGAGTTGATTACGCCTCATAAGGAAAATTTGATATTGGCATATGTGAATAACAAGACGGTAAACATTGCTCAGAGAATCATGGAGAAAATGATGAAAGGTAAAGTGGCAAAATCGAGGCGGTTTAATTGTCATCTCAGGAAAACGCAATAATATTTCTGTTAATGAAAATCACTTTCGTACCTGCTGATGAAACTTTTTAAAGTTGCAAATCAGTCGCTTCGAAAGGTATTGTGTGCACTTCCAGGGAGTGTTTTGTTTCCGACTGACGTCTACACCAGCAGGTAAATTTAAATGATAGGACTCGTCCTCTTAGTCAAATCAGCTTTGATAATTTAGGGTGGCCAGCAGAACAGGCGTTTCTTTTTTGGAGCCAAACCTCTCGTGGCTTTGCCGCTCGACGCAAAGGTTTGTGTGTAACAAAACAGCGCTAACAAAATAGCCAGCTAAGCAGGGTAAAATCAGGGCTGCTCTGCTCACTGCATATCAGCCGTTACAATCTGCGACCTCATCTTCCAACAGTTAAATACACTTTTCTTCCTATTTTACTGTTCACGTTGGATGACTTTATTATTTGGTGTTTTCCTAGCTATACCGATAGTAGACTTGGCCTTCGCCATCAGTTCCAATGCTGCTGGAAAAGAGGAAACGTTTCAGAAAATCAAAGACGCCATTGACTTTATTATTACATACTACGGCAACGATCGCATTCGTTATGCAGTGGTCACATTTGGTTCATCTTCGTACGACGACGTCAAGTTCCAAGATGGTCGGACAGTGGATGAACTCAGACAATTAATCGAACGTCTTCCTCGTGCTACTGGTGTACCAAATCTGAAAGAGGCGCTGGAGACAGCAAAAGGAGTATTTGATCAAGCGTTAGACAGACCAAGGGCCAAAAAGTTCTTGGTTGTTGTCATGGATTCCAAATCAGGAAACCAGCCAGGAGAGATCCAACAAGGTGCAAAAGTTTTAGAGGAGGAAGAAATCAAGGTGGGTCGGCTTCGTTTTGTCAATTTTAACCCTTTTATTCCTAAAGCCTGATTGCTAATTCTCCTCTCTAGCTGCCACATGTTTCCTTGCAAATCGGTTAAAAATACAAGGATAATGACTACCTTTCTATCTTGTTCTTGCAGGTCATTCCAGTATCCATTGGCACCGGTGCTAGTCGCAACGAATTGGAAAAAATCACCACAAACCGGAAGAACATGATATCCTCACCAAAAGATGAAGAATCTAAAGCTCTGGGAAAGAAGATCATAAGCATTGTCATAAAAGGTAATGAACTTCTCCTGTCTCTTTATTTTTGCTGACCAATTTTGCTTTGGCGTCTTGTGATATCTACCTTATTTACAGTTGGTCGATGTAATAACGTTAGAGCTGGGTTTCGCGGCTCGAGAGGAATCAGATTTTTCTTTGTCTCACGCACGAGGCAAAACGAATAGCGATGGTAAATTTTGGGATAAAAAATTCGTCATTCGTCTTGTTACGAATCGAACCCTAGCCATTCGGAATCTGCCCTCCAATGCTCTGTCACTGAACATTGAGCCATGCAATGACTGGCTTCATAAGTCACCCAACTCAACAGAGGAGCAGTGATAAAGCGTCGGTGCGCGGAGTCGAGAGCGCGGAATCTGTGAGGGAATCTTACTTGGGGTTGCTTTTGCCTCACTGAATCGAAAAACGTTCAAAAGGGGAATTTAGCATTTTATCTGTTCCTCATCAGATTATCCATCGATAGAGAGGGTAGACATGGTCATTGCAATCAGTTGCACGGCGACACTTGGCGAGAAAAACTTCCAGAAGACCAAGGATGTAATTGATTCTATAGTCACGGAGTATGGCCGGGAGCGTATTCGTTATGGCGTGGTGATATTCGGAAGGGAGCCAAAGAAAGCTTTGCGTTTGGTTGATAGTTACAATACAGACGAACAACTAATGGCAAAGTTGAATTCGTTTGACCGAGAAACAGGCAGTGCTGACTTAGCAAAGGTAGGGTATGGGCAGGTATAATAACAGTTTTTGGTATCGTCCCAGCTTGTTACCTCTTGAATACGAACTGCGGGGAAAACTACGCTGGTGAAATTCCCAGAAGTTTCTAGATCTTCTGTTGCGGCAAAAAATCTGACGGTATTGAAATTGGAAAGAGCGAGGAAGATGTTTTTGACATTGTTGATCCTAATCGTATGCATAACGCTTGCCACACATGACCTCAACAATTTTTTGTAGCTTAGTGGGTTCAGATCTTCCGACCGCAAAATCGGATGGTCATCCGTTAAAATTCTCACCGGGGACACACCGTTTTCCTTCCTTGTCCCATGATCGAGACAAACTTTTAAAATATCTCTTCCATAAGAGCGATTTGACAAAAAATTCACTTAGAACTCGATCACTTTCACGTTCAGACTTGATGTTAAAACATATGCTTCTTCGGTGATTCTTGATTGAAGAAAACTTACTTTGCAATCCCCTTCGTCAAAATAGCTCGATGATAACTAGTCGCTTGCTCAAGGAAAAACTCAGCAACTTGTCTTAATCATTTTGCTAGCTTTTTAGACGATGCCATTTTCTATCTTTGTCTCGAAATGTTGTCCTCGACAATATGAATTGCAGCAGAAGTGCTTTTTATGCTGCGAAAGATGAAAAATTACGGTTGAAATTGAGACAAAACTTTGCCAAAAAAACGAATATTGTTTGTCATCTTTGTTATGTTTTAGGCTCTCAAGACTTCATGGGACATGATTTCAGAAGAAGGGAGATCCAACGCCAAAAAAGTCTTAGTCGTTGTTTCAGACCGAAGTTCTCGATCCACAGACAGAGAAATACAAAATGCGTTGAAGCCTTTACAAGACAATAACGTCATAGTTATTCCTGTCGCCCTCGGAGTCACGGCTGATGAAAAGCAACTTCGTCTACTGACCGATGACGAGAGTTCGTTTATGACAGCTAAAACCACTGATGAAACTAGCGAAACTAAGAATAAATTGATGGTTATTGTCTTTAAAGGTTTGTTTGACACGAATGTAAAATTCACTCAGAAAAATTATGCTAATGTAAAATGACTTCATTTCTCACCTGTACTAACTCGTGATGGAAAAGTTATGAAAAATTATTGCACTGATGCATTTGTACCCAACAGGCCTTGCAGTCGTTCTAGCGGTGCTTGATTAGCTTTGAACCTCTGTAATACCACATTCAACTTGTTATTATATATCCTAGCTATTCCCTTCCCTCCCCCCCCCCCCATCACCTTCTCCGGATTCTCAGGGGGATGTATCCGATCTCGAACTTACAAATCACCGGTTTGTTCAGCTCCTCTGTCTTGAAGCCAACATAAATTTTTGTATTCATCAAATACAACATTGCGTTTCTATCTACAGAGAGGATTTTCGTACCTGCCATGGATCTGTTGTTCGCAATCAGTACCACAGCCACAGACTCAAAGGAGAACTTTGCTTACACACAAGAGGTCATTTACAAGATCATCGAAAAATATGGCATCAGGAAGATCAAGTATAGCTTGTTAACATTCGGTCAAAAGGCGTACGTACATTTTAAATTTAATTTCATCTCTGATGAGGTAAACAGGCTGAAAAATGCCATCAGTCGGAGCAAAATGAAGGATCTCAGTGGCGTATCTCTGCAAGATGCAATGGAAGAGGCAAGAGAAGTATTTGAAGAAGCTGAAGGTTGGTTATCACACGGTATTGAATTGTAAACATTTGTAAAACATGTCGTTCAATACTAAGCGTAAGTGAGTATAATTGGTTAGGGTACAATCAGAATGAGTACAGAAAACAATACGGCAAAGAAATCTAGTGTAGTAGTGATAGTAATGACAGTTGTTATCGGACTTTATTGTGGCTTCGCAACCGTGTTTGGTGTCTTCAGGTATGCGCCTTGCTCTCTGGAGAGGAACGTGTAGCGTGACATGACCAAACAAAGGCTGCGTAGAAGCGGGATACTTTCGTCATAATGTCTTAGTCAGGTTCGGGACGAGAAAAGGTCTTTGCTTATAAATAATGGCTGACACTTTTTGTTACTGTGTGAGACGCACAGACCTAAAAGATAACCCGCTGGAGAGGAGATTTCTGGGTTCAAGGTATTGAATATTTGTGTACGGCATTTGTTTCCACAGTGGTATGGGTGGGGTTACCTGTCATGATCTATCATCCCCTTCCCGTGGGATTAGGTCACGTCGAGTTATGGAAAAGGGGATAAGCTTAAGTGAAACTATGAAAAAGGGGATAGACAAAGACGGTGTTTGCCGCCTTTATATTGTTTAGGACTAAACTCCAAACTTTTTAAAATCACACAGGTCGCCGACCGGATGCCAAGAAAGTACTTGTTGTGATTATCGACAAAAAGTCAGACAATACCATAGAGGAGGTTAGAAATGCCGCCGCTTTGCTGGAAGGTTACAAAATCCGTGTCATCCCTGTGGCGCTTGGCCGAGAAGCAGATGTTGAAGAACTCACAAATACAACACTTGATAAGAACGATCTGGTGAAAGCCGACAAAGACAGAGACTCGGAGAAAACTGCAGAGGAGATTATTATGAGAGCTAGTAAGTTTGTGTTCACTTAATGTTTTAAAATCCTGTGCACTTTGGGGCGGCTGGTATGTTAGTTTATGATGAGCAGGGCTGAGGGCAAATGTGAAATAAGAAATAATCGGGGGAGAATATCGATGTAGACGGGGGTTATTTCGTGATAACTGTCCGATGATTTTGCACCGCATAACGTAAAATGGCGAATAGAATCGCGCGAAAGTTAATGGGTGTGGGTTATAATCTGTTTTAAATCACTACATTTTTCTTAGCAAGATTGTAATCTTACGTTACTCTGACATAAATCTTTCTCGCGACAAGAGAGGAGCGGGGATGATGATGATGCGAGCCCTCGTCTCTTTCGTTTTTGTTTAGCTCTCCTTGGGGTCCAATTCTTCGTAAAGGACTAGGTTTTTTGTTGTCCAATCCTCGTGACAAAAAGTCACATTATAACTTTGCCCTGAGGATTCCCAACATGATCGCGGTATAATTTACCGTCTAGTTCCCTGTAGCTTTATGGTAAAATATCGGAGGCAGATCCTGATGAAATCCTAAAGTTTTGTGTTTGACTACCCGTGAAGACCCAGGCACACGATAAAACGAATAAAATCTTTCCTCATTCAAAGGACGACCATGCTAAAATTTACCGTATTTCTTGTTTTGTGTGATTAGCTATAACCAGTTTTATTGGACGTGTGCACGTTACATTTTCGGTCATTATTATTACATTGACGGAGTATTTCTCTTTCTAACTTACAGAAGGACAGGCTATTCCAGAAATGGACATTTGCTTCGCCTTTGGCACATCTGATTCCAATGCGGATAAAACGTACAAGAAAATGCAGGAAGCAGTGAAACACATGATCGAAAAGTACAAAGATCATGATCAAATTCGCTTCGCTATCCTTCCTTTTGGAACAAATCCTTCTTCTGTACGAGGCTTTAGAGACCAGTCGGGCGATGCAGACGGTTTGATTAGATTTGTGACAGCCATTCCTCGACCGCGCGGAAGGCCGGACGTAGTGAAGGCGTTGGATAGAGCAGAACAGTTGTTCGAGGTTGCATCACCAAGACCGAGAGCTAAGAAATTCTTAGTTGTGTTTGTTGGAAGCAAATCAGGGAACGATTTGGAAATGTTGAATAAGGCTGCAAAACCTCTGGAAGACAAAGGTGTGAAAGTGGTAGCAGTGGCCGTTGGATCGGAATCAGATCCTGATGAGCTCATCAAAGTCGTGCCTAACAAGGGAAACCTAATTAAGGCCAAGGAAAGTTTTGAAGTCCCAGACAAGTTGGGAAACGAAGTTATGATTATCGTACTTAAAGGTAAGGATTTTTGTTCAGGACCGAAAATTTGACTGTAGGTAAATAGGGTATTTCAAGTTTACTTTGAGACACTGCGTAAAGTAATGTTACTGTTAGTGATTATGAAGGTAATGGGAATTTAGCAGTGGACATTGCACAAGGTGTTTCTTGTTGTCCACTGTTTCCAGGTCGAGTTGAAGTTTGGAATGTTGATTTTTGCGGAGGGAGGAAAACAGGATGAACCGGATGAACCGGATGAATTGGAGAACAAACAACAAACTCAACCCACATGTGATGCATCACATGTGACGCGTCACTACGCCATCCCCGCTGCTCTCTTATCATGATAATTTCTGTGTTTCTTTTGTAGATTTGGCGATCATACCAGAGGTTGACCTGGCCTTTGCCATCAGTGCCAACGCTGTACAGTCACGAACCAACTTTCAAAAGATGAAGGATGTTGTTAGCCAGATAGTAGAGATGTATGGCCAAGAGAGAGTATTGTACAGTATATTGGTCTACGGCTCTGTCCCAGACGTAAAGATCCAGTTCAATCAGCGACGAACAGATGACCAGTTGGTGACTTTTATTAAGAATATAAATCGAGTATCTGGTTCTGCATTGGGCCCTACGCTGGATAAAGCCAAGGAAGCATTTAATCAATATGGGCGTCCTGGAGCGAGGAAGGTTTTAGTGGTAATAACAGATAGGAAATCTGATAGCGATGCTAAAGTCTTGCAGGAGAAGGCGTCTCTACTGGAACAAGCTAAAATCAAAGTAATACCTGTAGGTTTGGGAAGTGAAATTGATAAAACAGAACTGCAAATTTTAACTCCACGAGAGAAAGACATCATTACAAAACCAAATACGGTTTCCACAGAGTATTTGGTGGACGTAATCATGAGGAAGGGTTTGGAAGGTATTTCATTTTTCCTATTATCGTATCTTTGCCTTTCAGGAGTAATTCCACGTGGAATAAAAACATGTTTCCATATTACATCAGAGTTACATTCATTCTGATCCGACGATCTGTCTGTCGATCAGTCGGTGTGTCTCTAAGGCTCTCATTCTTATGCCTTTCTTGCGTTCCAGTCAGTACGTTCGTCTGTCTGTCTCTACGCCATCTTTTTCCCCCAGTCTGTCCGTCTGTTTATCTACCTATCTCCCTGACTGTCTGTCCCTATGTCAGTCCATTTGTCTGTCTGTATGTCTGTCCGTGTGTGTGTCTGTCTACAGTCCGTCTGTCTGCCTGTCAGTCTATGGTTCCGTCTATGCCCTGCCCTCTCTCTGTCTCTCTGTGTCGTTCCCTGGTCCTTCCTGTCAATTTTCTTTACTTCTTCATTATTTGCCCTTTTTGCGTTCAATTTTTAGACTATTACTTTTGCTTAGTCTTTTGAAACATACTGTTACTCGTTTTTTTTACTTTCCTTGTTCGCCCATCAGAAACACTTTTCGTCCCGGAAATGGACCTCGCTTTTGTCATCAGCACGACTGCTGTGGATAAGGACAAAAATCTCGGAGCAACTAAAGAAATCATCAAGGAAACCGTGCAAACCTTCGGCCTGTCTCGAGTCCGGTACAGCCTAATTACATTTGGTGCTATACCTGTGGTCAAAATAAGATTCGACAACGTCTTCGCCAGTGAGGAAGATCTTGTCAAGATCGTTGACAACGTCAAGAAAGATGTGGGTGCCGCTTCTCTCGAAAAAGCCTTGGAAGAGACTAGATATCTCTTCGCGTTAGCTGAGGATGCCAGACCTGATGCCAAGAGGGTTGTAGTGGTCATCACTGACAAAAAGTCTGACAGCACTGAAGAGTCTGTACGAGCTGCCTCGCAGAAGCTGAGGAATGATGGCGTCCGCGTGATCGCCATTGTACTTGGCAATGAGTTTGATCCGGTCTCGCCAGAGGTCATCAAGCCGGAAGAAGAACAACTTCCCAAGGAGACAGCGAAGGAGTTATTGATGGTAGTCTTAAATGGTACGTTCAAATTTCAAGTCTTGTCATAGTAGTTAATGAATGTGAACCTTGTCTCTGTAGCTCAGTGGTAGAGCGTCGGTGCGCGAGATCCAAAGGTCTAATGTTCAATTTCTCACGGGGACTAAATTTTTTTTTTTGGTCCCACGCCCTTGATAAGACGGAAAAACATCATAATTACTTGATTTTTATTTTTGCATTCTATTTATTTTTGTTCAGTTATTGCTCCGTAAACTGACCAGGGGCCCGTTCCTCGAAGGTCCCAGTAGGTTAACGAGCCCGTAACTCTGTTCTGTTTTCATTTAAGGTCGGGGTTTCAAAAGTTTAAAAATAGCACTATTTAAATATCAGATAAAGAAACAAGAATTTGATTTTAAAATTTGGTTTCGGGCCCGCAAAGTTACGGGACTTTCGAGAAACGGGCTCCAGGATCAAGTTGATATTAAACAGAGAAAGAAAGAGATAGGAATGTATTATAACAAACGCGAATTATTACAAGAAAAAGAGGTTTCTTTCTGGCCTTTGGGACGTCCTCCACAAATGTTTCATGCATAGCCTTTCCGACAGTGTTGAGTAAAGGTGAATTCCTTTGTATTTACTGCAAAACAAAGCTATGGTTCAGTACCAGGGGAAACGCTATCCACTGTGTGGTTGTGTCAGGTAATTAAATTTCTTACGTAACTTTGATGTTGATTTATTCCAACTGTCCTCTAAAAAAAGGTTTTTTTCATGACATTTCCTTTCCAGAATATGTCGTTACAGAGAAGATCGACCTTGGCTTTGCTTTAAGTGCAACAGCATTAAATGCAAGAGAAACGTTCGCTAAGATGAAAGAAACTGTGAAATCCATAATCAAGAAGTACACTGTTGGAAACCTGCGTTACGCTGTTATTGTTTACGGCTCCGATGCAAAAGTACTTCTTAGTTTCGAGAGGAATTTCCCTGCTCTGGAGAATTGGCTGAGTTCTGTTGACAACATGCGGATTGAGCAAGGAGGGCCCGCTCTGGAGAAGGCTTTACAGAAGGCCAGGGTGTTGTTCCAGTCAAGTGGTCGTAAAGATGCTAAAAAAGTACTGGTGGTGATTGCAGACAAATCACCCATTGGAGATAGCGGTGAAACTGGGAAGGAGGCACTAGAACTGGAGTACGCTAATGTTAAGATCGTGCCCGTTGCTTTTGGCGGTGATATTGATGCTAAGGAAATCAAGGATATCTCACCGTATAAAGACGTGCTCGTTGTCGTGCGCAATGATGTCGACCCCTTTGTTTTGCTGATATAAATCATGGTAAAATGTCTATTTATGTGTTAATCGACCTTTTGAGACATAGTTTGAAGCTATCTCACCGACACTCCTGTCTAGTGCCTTCATCAGGGGTGATCTAAACGCTGCAACAAGAGGTGATAAAAAGTTAATGTTGGTGGTAACGCCGATTAGTAGTGACGTGCTCGTTGTCGTGCGCAATGATGTCGACCCAACCGACCTTGGCTACTCTGTGATGGAAAAAGTTCTGAAAGGTAAACCAACTCCCTTTCTTCACAGCTTTTTTCTGGAAAGCTGCTACAGTGAATAACAATCATATGAAATAAATTATTTTTATTCTAGCGTATACCATTTAAAATACTCTTGAGATCGAACAATTTTGTTGCCTTTGTTTTGCTGATATAAATCATGGTAAAATGTCTATTTATGTGTTAATCCAATTGTGATCTTTTTCTAGTATACCGATACTGTGTAGAGTCAAACATTAGTTCTACATCCTTTCTATTTTTCCATTTCCAGTCACACCTAAAATCCCCAAGTTGGATCTCGCCTTCGCAATCAGTGCCTTACCAAGCGACCGTAATTTTGGATTGATCCTGGACATTGTAAAGGAAGTAACAGAGAGATTTTTCAGCGACCGTGTCCAATACGGTTTGATTGTGTTTGGTAGAGATGCCTTCATAAGGATTCACTTCAGAGATAAATATCGGGACCCTAAAAAGTTGCAGACTTTCATTGGCTCAGTCGCTTCCAACGATGACGAGCCAGCTCTCGATAAGGCGCTCATGAAGGCTAAGCTTTTGTTTGAAAGTGAGTTTGCCCGGAAAGATGCACAAAAGGTGGGTATCCTTGGTTTTTTTTCCTCTTTTTCTTTCTTTCTTTCTTGTTATCTGTTCACTTGTCCTTTTCGCATAAATGAACGCGCTAGGTCTCAGGCAAAAAAAAAAGAGAAAAAAAGATAAACAGAAAGCGCCCCTTCTGTGCCTAGCTTTTAGCGCGGCAATTTTTGCCGTGTGCTTTGAGCTCAACTTAACATGGACTTTCTGACAATGCAGTTTGCCATGAGATGCAACTACTCTCTTAAGTCCATAGGAAAAACTGAAAGTAGTTGAGGTAATTGAATTTGTTAATGTTACTTTTTTTTACTACTGCACTCAACAATGGTGGGTAATATCACTGTTATTTACCGTCGTTGTAGGTTCTTGTTGTTATCATGGACACTTTCACTGGTCGTAACAAGCCAGCCATCATGGAAGCTGCAAAAGACCTGGTGGACAGCTCCGTAGTTGTCATCCCCGTTGCTATCGGTAACAGGCCTGTTCCTGACTTCGAAAAGGAGTTTCCGGATGAGGAAGTCATCAAAACCAAAGACAAAGACCATCCTATTAAAACCGCTGATAAGATAGAGGAGATACTCGTTAGTGGTAAGTAGGGGAGTTAAGTTAAGGAACTATAGTGCTGCGTTGGTGGGAATGGAGGGAATGGTGGGAATGGTGGGAATGGTGGGTATAGTGCAAAATAATTTGCTTTTATCAACTGGGTTCATTGTGTAAATTGGCCACTGTACAGAGCTTCCGTAGAAAACCTGGGTGTCGGGAATTTAAACACATCAATCTTCAGAAACTCAAATGCCTGCGGGGGGGAGTATGTTGAAGCTTCGAATCGATCGATTCATTAAGTCTTATTTCTCTGACGTTTGACCTCCATGGCTATTGGCTCTTTCAAAGTTTATTTTTGTATCGCAATGGAATTTTCCTTGAGGCGCTGATGGTGTCAGTCTATTACCACGTAGCTACTTTTGAAAGGATCTTTTTGAGAAGAGTGACGTAATTTTTTTGCTCTAAATATCCCTCAGAAAGTTCTTTTATTTTCTTGCAGGTATCACCACGTTTACCAGACTGGACATTTCATTTATAGTCAGCACGACTTCCGTGGATGCCGAAGAAAATTTTAAACTCGTCAAATCCACAATTGACTCCATAATCGAACGACATGGCGTCAAAAAACACCTGTACAGCTTGATGACCTTTGGTCAAAGATCCAACATAGTCTTTCCGTTCCAAAAGACCGATAAAGAGTCTTTGTTAACTCTTATACAAGGCGCCAGGTTACCCAGTGGTTCACCTGATCTGGTAAACGCTCTCAAAGACGCAAAATATCTGTTTTTCCAACCAAGTGGAGGCGCGCGACCAGATTCCAGGAAGGTTATCATAGTTATGATCGACCGGAAGTCTGTTAACACCGGAAGTAACATCGAAAAGATTGTGGGTGATTTTGAAGACGGAAAGGTTAGGTTTGTTACTGTGGTCATTGGAAAGAACGCTGGCCCAGATGAGCTTATACCACTGGCTCCAGACAAGGATAAAACAAACATAGTGTATACGGATAAAGATGGCGTCCCATCAATAGTTGGAAAGAAGATTATGGTGCTGATAACTTTGGGTAAATATTACAGAGATATTGAGTTTGTACATAGTGTATGGTCTCCTTTAGCGCTTTTTCGTGTCCTCTCATAATTTGTTCTCATGGGGAGAGAGCACGTCACGTTATGAGGTAGAAAATGACTGCCAAGGCTTGTAAAACTTGCCGGTGCTTAAAATTTTTTGCATTTAATCACTTTGTTCTCACTGGGTCCTTGTTATCTTTACCTTTGTTCTGATCAGTGGTGGATCTAGGCCGAGGGGTCGTCGTGTCTAGTGTCCAACCCCATCAGAACTGTAGGTTTTTTTTTCTAATGGTCTGACAATACAATGCGTGCAATAATAGGAGTACATGTCACTACTCAATGTGAACTTTCTAAAATCGACATTTCCGTATATGTATTTCTTTGCTTATTTAGACTTTGGTGTAAACAATTTGTATGTGTTCTAAGAATAAGAGTTTTGACACCCCCCCACCCCACCCCACCCCACCCCACCTCCCATCGAATTGTCCTGGATCTGCCTCTTCTGATAGACCCTTGTGATTATTTTGATTTTGGTTTTACGACATCCAGTATGCAAAGTATGTTGAGGTCTGAAGGAAAAAAACTTGCATGTCATCTTTCACGGCATCTCGATCTAGTGAGACAAAAACTAAAAATAGTTGGTGGGTAAAGGAGGAAAGATCAGAAACACTGTTGTGGAGGAAGAGAAAGAAGCCCGCAGTTTTACCAAGTCTAGGCTATTGACTGTGAAATATTGCTTGTCTGTCACTGTTATGGATATCTTGGCGAAAAAGGACTTATAACCGGCCTCTCCTCATGAGTCACATGGGTTTTTTCCTAACCCTGCTAATCCAGTAATCGAATTATTATTATTGTTGCAGCTCTTTCTGATCCATGTCTGGTTACCACGTGTGATTTTGATGCCAAATGTGTTAAGTTAGCAAATGGTTCGACCGAGTGTGTGTGCCGTGATGATTGTGCTCAGACATACACTCCTGTATGTGCCAGTGATGAACGCACGTACCCTAACAACTGCAGCATGATATTCGAAGCTTGCAGGACGCAGACGATGCTCACAGTTGTAAAGGAGGGTGTCTGTGAAGGTATCGAAACCTGTTACACTTAGTCTATTTACCATTAAGAGCAGTTTTCAATCGATCTTCGAAAATAACCTTGGATTGCTTTGGTTTTACTTCAGTCGCTTCGTGATTGGTCCAGAAACTCGCGCTTCTTTTACAACCAATCAGATCCAAAATTTGATCACACATGTTTTTCTACGTTTTAGGTGGTTTGCTTTTTTACTTTGAGTTTCTTTATTAACTGTTATAAATTGTAAAGCTAAGTCGTATTATGTGTGAAATTCTTTTTTCTGGTGGATTATCGTGTTCGTTATGTCATGATTATTTTATTATGGTTTTTTTTTTGTTGTAGCTTGTAGCAACCGGGTCGATTTGCTCTTTGTCCTGGATGGAGGGAACCTTGAGGTCAAGAAGAACTTCATAAAGGCAGTCATCGATAAATTTAACATCGGTCCTAACGATACACGAGTAGGAATGGTGCTGTCAGATGCAGATGACTTTTACTTGATATCATTCAATGATACTCAAAGTGCAGACTTGGTCAAACTCGACATTGATAGCGTCAGCGATGTGGGTTCATCCTCAGGCATTACTCTTGGTTTACAGGAAGCCTTGGAAGCGATAAAAGACAGGAGAGTCGACGTCAAACAGGTCAGACTTTTTAACTATTCTTTTTTGGTTATTGTGAAGCGCATGTGATCATGCTTACATGGAGTTTGCACCATACAAATAATAATTATTAAAAATTAATAGCGGTTAATTATGAATTATCATCATTATTTTCATCATCATTACTATAATTATGATTATTACTATTATTATTATAATTATGATTATGATTATTATGATTATTATTATCATTATTGTTATTAGTGTAAAGTTTCGTTAATTGCGAGCAGTCTTTTGCTAGCCGTAATTTCCGTGTCATTTCGATTAAGTTTTTAACATTCAGTCGACTCTGTTATAAAAGCTGCAAGGGAAAATTTTATTAGAAGCTGGGAAACGTAAAGATTTGTGCGAAAATTATTAGAGTGTGACTGAAGAGCATAACTCGTTTCTTCTATTTTAATCCCTTTAATTTCTGACGTCTAAGAAAAAAATTGTGCTTTAACGATATGAATCTAAAATTCATTCTGGTAGCATATTTCAAGGTACTGTGCCTATGAAACTGTTAAAATGACTGCGCTAACTTGAGGAACCGTTGTAGCAGACCAGCTCACGCTTACAAATGTTGATGAGGTCCTACGTCATCGTGTCGTATTGTAAACCTTGATTCTTTCTTTCACGTTTATAGGCCGTGGTTGTGATCATGGATCAGTTGGAAAACAACATGAAATTGGTGCTACAAAGATCAGGGACCCTGAAGGCACATGATGCAATAGTTTACTCTGTAGGGGTGGGAAGTGGCATGGATGATCCTAGAGTCAAGAGAGTAGCATCTAAAGATGACTACGCCTTCTATGCGCCTTCCCTTAGTGAACTCATGTCTGTGGCGCCGTTGATTTCTGAAAAAATTTGTCCGTTGAAGGGTAAGTAGGTAGAAGATGTTACTTATTTTTAAGAAGGTGGAGGATATTCCATTTGTCTAAGGTAATATTTGTGCAGGTGATATCTTATTCCTCTAGTGCAGTGGTCCTTTACAATATTTTGTGTTGTTCGAGGTCTTCAAGGACACCCTCATGAAAACCACTTCTAGGTGATCGGAGGTCTCTTCGTACGTTATTTGTTAGTATGATGGTATAATTTTTAGTCGTTTGTATGGAAATCGTAAGAAATTAGTCTTCTTGGGTATAAGAACCTGAACGAGGGTGAAATATATTGAGAGAAGGACGGTTAACTTCTTGGTCAGGCTGGTTTGCCACACTTGAAAATGAGCACTTGAATTGTAATGAAAAACCCACGAATTGTTGCCTGGGGCAATGTTGAACTTCATATCAGCCTGCTTTGCTCTTGTTTCGTGCACAAGGGACAAGTGATTACTTCTTTCTTTCATTTTTCAGTGGTCATCAGTTTCCCAGTCGACATTGCGTTCGCCATCTCTGCAACGAGTGCCAGAGCCAACGAATTATACGACTACATGCTCGACGTTATCAAACTTATCGTGGATAATTACGGCATGTACACAGTACATTATGCATTCATGGTGTTTGGCGACGACACTGATGTACGAATACGCTTTGGCGATGCATTTAACAGCCCTGACCAACTCAAGGTTGTACTGGAAAATATTCCAAGAATCGGTGGACAGCCGAACTTGGAGAAAGCGCTCGAGAAGGCTACAGAGCTTTTCCGACCCGGATACAAAGGAGAGAGACCCGGCGTGCGTAAGTTCTTGGTAGTGATTGTGGACAAGGACACTGTGGGAGACGTGACTCGGTATGCAAAGAGTTTAGAAAACACAGGAATAAAGGTAGGAGCGATTTGTCAAGCTAGGATAGGCTCCCAAATTATAAAATGTGCCTATATTTAAGTTTTTTTTAATAGACTGAACACACTGTGTATTTTTTCCGAGAAGCTAGGAGACCAAAAGTGTAACTTACACAAGTACTTTTCTATCGTATGCAAATTTATCCATATCTTTTATAAGGCCTCTTATGACCAAGGTGTGGCAGCTAGCCTGAGTTGACTCTCCGCAAAGGGTAACCGGCCTGCGGTCAAATGTTTATAAGTGTTAGCATACAAACATTGGTAAAGCCTCGTCAGCTCTTTTACTGAGGAACTTGAGTAATGAATGACCTGGGTTGGTACTTCCACCTAAATAACCAAGTTTGTTTTGGTCTTATTCATCCTGCCTTTCTATTTCATGTTTTGTATTGTTAATTTTTCTTGTTTCTGCATCATGACCTACTACCATGCCGTCGTATTGGACTTTTGCGCCACATTTGTTTCCCAATTTTTTTAGCTTTTGTTTTTTGTGTGAACATGGAAAAAATACCTTACTATCTTGAGTACGAGGCGAATGAGTTAGGTAAGAAACGACTTAACTGTTTGGGTACGAAACGTCCTAGCTGAGTACGAAACGATGGATACGAAACGACCGTGGATACGAAACGACCGGTAACTGTCGGCAGAAGGGCTGACTCGACTCATTATTTACTGGTACACATCGGCAATTCGGGCTCTCTTTGTGGTCGTTCAACGTGGGCTTCAAATCAAATCGGGATCTTGAAGACAGGCCTTTAGATGCAAGGCTCAAGTAAACACTAACAATAACTAAAAATGAGAAGTTACAAATGACTGAGGAAGATAAATTTTTTCTTTCTGTTATTTGTACTTGTACTACCCAAGCTAACAATTTTATTTTTTAATTGAAGGTAATCCCAGTTGCTATTGGACGGGAAGTCGGACCGGGAGGCATCATAATTCCACCTTACAAAGTAATCGTAGATCCTGAACCTGATGTGGACAAACCGGATATACTGGTTCAAAATATAACTAAAGCAATTATTATCGGTAAGAGAGAGGTTCGGCACGTCTTTTGCTATTCCTACTCATGAACTTACTCATGAACATAAGAGCTATCGCTAAAGTTATTTGGATATCTTACGCTTTACAACTTATTTCTAACCCGTTAGCTTACTGTAAGTGATTTCCCTTACTGTCCTTCGTTTTCTTTGCTGAGGCTACTCAAAATGTCTGTCTTACTTCTTTTCCTACCTCTCATCCCTCTCGAATAATTTTTATTTTCAAGCGAGTCTCGTAAGAATTGTGGGATTGTAATGGTTTTACTTCACTGCGCTGTTTGATGGGTCAAGAAAACTCTAGCCACCAGTCCTACCCAACCAAATCCTTTGCAAAACGTTAACTAGTCGAGACTTGGTCATTTGCTTTTCTGCTTGGTTACATCTATTTACACTCGTATTTCTCATTGGCTTTTTTTAAACATTCATCTCCACTTTGAAAGGCTATTACGTTTATCGTATTCAGCCGAAATTATCTCCAAACATTCCTCGAACCTCTGATGAGTATCTCCTTTTGCAGTTTTGGTCTGTCGTCTTCTTTTCTTTTAGGTGATTGTCTTTTAACCAAATGTGCGCACTACGCCAACTGTGTTCCCCAAAGGGATGGTACGGCGTTTTGCTCGTGCTCTCTTCTCTGTTCTTCATCTTTTCTTCCTGTTTGCGGATCTAACTCAAGGACTTATTGGAATGAGTGTTTTCTTAGGAGAGAGGCTTGTTTCATGCAACAAAATACTTCAGTTGCTTCTCTTAAACGCTGTAGTAAGTTCTCTTACATTCCACTTGTTAAATCCTCCAACGACTCTTCTACTAAATGTTTTCTTCTTTCCAGGTGCAAAATCATTTTATCATATACCTCTCTAGTTCCTGTTTATTTTGTTTCGTCTCTAGACGTCCACAAAGTACAGAAGTCTAACTCTATATGGTTTGACTGGTGGCCTCTGTTTTTTTTTAACGAAACTTCGGTTGTTTCATTTATTCTTTTGCGATCCTATTGCATTTGAAAATTTTCAAAAGTCTGTCAATTTCTAATTCACTTTGCTGTCACTTCTTTATCTAAGTTTTCCTTCTTCTGTCTTTTCTCTCTCCTCTTTACATTTACAAGAACAAACTCCTTGTTCTGGAGTCAAATGCCCCTTTTACGGCACTTGTCAGCTTAAGGATGATAAAACCCAATACTGCGCATGCACCAGTTCTTGTCACGACATCTACAAGCCGGTGTGCGGCAGTGATGGAAAATCGTATTTGAATGAGTGTTTTCTTCGCCGTCACGCTTGTGCTACGGAGAAACAAATCAGTGTTAAGTACAGTGGCCTTTGTAGTAAGTCCTAATCTTTTTGGTTAACTTTCCTTTGATGTTGCACTTGAAAATTACTTTACTCTAACTTAGCTGTAGATAAAATGTTGGTGGATTATTTTAACCAATTTTCTTGGCTGTCTCCAATGTTAACGATGTGATGAGGTATGAAACGTCACTCATTCAAGCTTTCCGTCAGAGTCATGCCAGCAATGCCAACATCTAATAGTTACTGTAAACTGTAATCTGTAAGCAAAGTCAGTAGAGGTGAATGGTCAGGAAACCCCACTGATATCTTTGTCGGGTGTTTTATCGGTTTTTTGTTTTGTTTTGTTTTGTTTTTTTAGCTGATATTGCATAACGTTCTATATCATTCCAATCAGTATTTTGTTAACTGACTTCCTAGAACCTTCCTATCTATTAAAGCAGTCGCAAAGCGCGAACACAAATCCAGTTTTGCACCAGTAAGAAGCTGCAAATATCAACTACCACATCAGTATTGTTACCTCCACTCACTAAAAATATGCCGTAGAACTTTCATCAATGAGCAACGTAGGATGCAAGAGGCCTCGAAAAAATCGTTACCTTGAGGACGTCAAGCAGAATGGTGTGCTTCTATTTTATCGATAAAAAGAAAAATATCGATTTTATTCTGAATCACTATTTGATTTTTTTGATTGAGGGAGTACATCGCTGACCCTCTGGCCGTGTTTTTTTTGCTGTAGATCCATGTGAAGACGTCGTATGTGACTACAACGCTGAGTGCCGAGCCTTGCCCAATGACACCGCTCTCTGTCAATGTCTGGATGACTGTTCAGCGGAACCTTTTAAACCAGTTTGTGGAAGTGACTTGGTGACGTACGCAAGTGAATGTGCTCTAAAAGGGAAGGCTTGTAAGAATGAAATGGCGATTAGTGTGGTGTCAGAGGGAATCTGTCGTGAGTATTTGAAGACGCTTCTTCACCTTTTTGTTTGATTGGTTTGGGAGAATGGTTTAGAAGGAATTTGATTTATTGTTTCTACTTTTTAGTTCATCTTTTCTTAATCTAGCGGGGGTGGGAAAGGGGGAAGGAGGAGGAGCTGTTGAATTTGTTGCAGTTTTAAAAAATATTGAAAATATTAGTTTGAAGACTGTAATATAAAATTGAATTCATCAAAGTGTATGTCTCATACCGTTCATCAGTATATAAGTACCTCTTTGTACACTACTTATTTCATTATTTGTCTGGTGTTGTTTAATTTCCTTACTTTCCAATATTTAATTTCTTTAGCTTCTTCTCCTTTGCAATAATTAAGTAGATCTTGGGAAGTTGATTGATCCACCTTGACTGACGAATCTGCTAGCTGCGGGTCAACTTATTCTTGAAATATTCTGAGGAGATGAATAATTAAGTTTGACGCGAGGGACTGGTAGATTGAGGGTTGGTTGGAACAAAGATTGGATAAACAATTAAGCTCAGTCTTGGTTTGTTCAGCTTGAAGGCGTTTATTGGGGAAAAAGATCTTCGGGGTTTTATCCACCTATGGGGAAAGTAAGCTATAAACATTAAATTTGTCTGAAATGCTAACTAAGGCTAAAACTGACTCAAAAATGTACATTAACCCTGGGTTAACTCATCCATATTTGGAAAAACCTGTTCCAGACTTCATGCGTGGACTTAATAGCGTTTAATTTTCATATCTCCACGATTTTGTTATATTTAAAATCTTGTCTTTAATTTTTCAGAAAAAGCCACTGACCTTGCTTTTGTTATCGGCGCTTCTGAACCTCAAGCGTCTGCTGTCTTTGCAAGAATGGTAGCCATGTTGAATGACATTGTTGATGAATATGAGATATCTAACGACAAAACACGTGTTGCACTGGTAGACTACAATGGTCCTGCGACAACCAGGGCCTTATTCAGCGACGGTTACAACAAACCCACCTTTAAAAGGATCGCAAGTAGCTTACCAGGACCCAGAGGTCGACCGGGGACACTTAGCGATGCTTTAAGCAAAGTACGAGATGAGGTGTTCACTCTTCAAAACGGCGCGCGGCCATTTGCAGAGGATGTTCTTGTTGTGATGACCCAGGGTAATTTTGAAGATAAATCTGCGGATATCAGGAACGAGGTCGCCAAATTGAGAAGCAATGCAATCAAGGTCGTGGTGGTTGCCTTCACGGACGAACCGGGCGTAGACAAATGGAACAACATCTCCTCGGGGAATAATCTCATTGTTATAACCAAGCCTGATAAAGATAAGAAGGAGGCCAAGAAACTGCCTTACACTGTTAGCAAAGGTACGTCATTTTATGCATAAAAGAGTGCTCTTAAAACATCTCCATTGCAGACACGTTTGCTGCTCGTGTATCTTTGGTTCTAAATCGAAAGGTCAAGAATCTTTTTTCTTAGGGCTCACGCAATTAATACTAGGCCAAGAAAAATTATTTTGACTATTTTTCAGGACTCATCTGAAATTTATTTAGTAACACCAATTATCTTAAATTTACATTCCTGTCAATTTTGGACAGTATTTCGCAGCTGTGCTGAAGTAAAAGCATCCGGGTATTCTTCTGATGGCCATTACCTCCTTCACATAAGCGACAGATGTAAAGATCCAACTAGAATCTACTGTCACAACATGGCGTCCAACGCGCCACAAGAGTATATCACCTTGGAGTCTGGTGCCGAGAACAACTTCGCTATTATCTATAATCAGCGGCTTAAGGATAGGTACAGTTGCAGTGGGCCTGCGCGAAGTGAGTTGTACGCTGAGCAAGGTTCAACGAACTTCTTCAAAGTGCGCCTTGATATCGCAAGCATGAAAATTATGAGTCGTGACTTCACTTTTGCGCTGACTGTAGAGGGTAAAGACATCCCGTATGGCACAGCAGGGGATTGTTACTCGGTGAACACTGGTAAATGTCGAAAGGGTCAGTTCAAGGTTGACTTGAGCGGGACAAGACTTCGAGTGCGGGATGATGTGAGCTGGACATTGCAGGGGTTCCCGAATGGTTTGCAGATTCAAGATTACCAGAAGTCGCTTGATGGTGCGGTGGTGTCTGCTAAGTGTGGAGGCTGGTGTGGTCGCTGTAAGCCGACCAGGGGATTTATATTAGTGGAGCCTTTATGTACTATTCCTGCAGGTAGGCAACAAGTTCAAGTTGTATAATTTCCTCTTTTACAACTTTTTTTACCCCTATTCCAGTCATAAAAACGGAAATGCCGTGATAGCTACGAGACACCTCATCCTGAACAAGCGAACCCCACTGACCTTTATAAGTGATACAAGAGCAGCTCAGCAATGGTTGGACAGCACTTAACATCATTAGTCCCTTCCCTAATGAGCAAACTTCAACGTAAACCAAAACAGTAACTGGCCAGATAGGGGCCGAGACGGCTCAATGGCAAGTGCTCTCGGTTCAAACCACTGTGGCCTGGGTTCGATTCTTGAACCCGTTATTCCATGAAAGTAGAATGTGTTGTTGTTAGTTCTCGTACGTGCTCAGAGGGCTTCCTGCGACCTCTCTTACTTGCCGTCTTTAATAAAACACTCCAAACTCCATTTTTGACGTGGAAACAATCCTTGAATGATTAGCTACTTCGTAGATGTGCCAACTTATATGTCATGGTGACAGAATAAAGTTTTAACCCCGCTGAGGGTAATGTGGCAGCGTTTTACTCACACAAATCTAAAACAAATTTGTTGTCTTCCAATTTCAGCGTGTCCATTCCCCATGGATGTGGTCTTTGCTTTGGACTCTTCGTCCGTGTTATCATTATCAGACTACATCCAGCAGAAGAACTTCGTTGTCACAATGATCAATGCTTTCACCATCTCCGTCGCCAGGACGCATGTGGGAGTCATTACTGTGGGAGAGACAGCCAGGAGGGACATTGAGCTTACACAGTACACCCAGTCTGAAATACTTAAATTCCGAGTGGCTGAACTAAATGCTACCAATGACTCTCCTTCAGATCGGACAATCAGGTTTACTGACATGCTCAAACAGGCGACAACGGCGTTTAAAAATGGAGGAAGGTCACAGGTAGGATCGTACCTATTTGTGCGTTTTACACCACGAAAATTTTTCATCCCAATTTGATTTTGTCATTGTCGCCTTCATTTTGACCCTATCGACTGTTTTTAAACCAAGAACACTATGTCTTGTCTTGATGCAATAGATAGTATGCTAATCGTACAGTTGTAGCTGTAGGTCAGAGTGAAGTTTGTGACGTAGTGTGGTCAACCTCGCACAGATTTTCCTCGAAAATGCACGTAAGACATAGAAGTGCTATTACCAAGGGACCAGTCCTCGCAACGGAGGCGGGATCAGTCCTCGCCTACAAAGTTTAAAGGGGGGCGGGGACCAAACAAAATTGAATGCCAACAAACGGGGGGGGGGGGGGGTCATTAGGATACTACAGAACCTGGCGGGGGGATCAGGTAAATTTTCTTGCGACACAACCAAAAATCCTCTTACCCCCTCCTTCCTCCCCCCCTGGCGATACAGAATGAGCGGTTCCTGAGCTAAAGACAGGTCATCGTGGTGTTAGGTCGTATAGAGGGTTCTTACGTGACGTGCGTCTAGAGTGCTGTGGGGATCGGCGTCGTTGAAAGGGTCGTATACTTTTGATTGACATTTTCTGACATTTTCCATGCATATGTCTTCATGTTGTCCTTTTAAAAACCTTTCCCTTCTTTTTTTTTCTTTTTTTTTTTTTACAGGTTCCTAGGTCTTTAATTGTGTTAGTTGCGGGTGAGATCACCGAGGACCTTAAATCTGCTGCCACCAAACTGAAGAGCACGGGCGTTCAGATATTTGTCGTTGCTGTTGGTGTGACTACACCGTCATCTCGGCATGTTAGTCTCGCCAGTGGAAGGAAGTTTGTTCACACCGTTGACAGTTTCGACGAGCTTGGTTCGTTGGCTGCAAGGTTGGCCAAGGACACGTGTGAAGGTGAGCTTTTCTTGACTTGCTAAGTGAGTTCTCCTAAGGTTCATTACATGATACTATGACTTAACACTTAGACAAAGGTTAACTTGTTTTTTGTCATTTTTAATGGAAATTTATAATCAGCAATTTATGATTTCCATGTCTTAACTATTTGTGAAGGAATGTACACCACATTTTTCATAATTTAAAAATTATTACTTACAGACCCTTGCGCAAAGAAGATTTGTCAGCCCTATGCCCGCTGCAAGGCAATCGATTTTACTCGCACAGAGTGCGTGTGCCCAAAGATCAGTGATTGTCCAACCACCAAAGATGAAGTATGCGGCAGTGATAGAGTCACTTACAACAATGACTGTGTTTTAAGAGTCCAAGCCTGTACAAGAGGACAAGACATCACTGTGGATAATTTGGGCCCATGTGGTAAGATTTGAACGTTTTGAAAACTCTGCAAATACTTTCCTGCACTGGGTATATCCCTACGAATGCCGGAAGAGAATTTTTCAAGTGAATGTGATATTTGATCCACGCCTCTTTGCTAATTTCTTTTATATCGCTCCGTGATTGGTTTAGAACCATCGTGCCTCCCTTTTCAATCCAATTCAATAACCAATCAGAAGCAGGGAATTCATCTTTTCCCGCGCTAAGGCAGTGAACTTGATGTTACTGAATTCTCTGTGTTATTTTCCGATGCTCTATTTTGCCCATGCCATAATTATGACCAGAGTAGAACGACAGTAAATCCAAATTCGCTTTAAACCATCGATCTGTGTTGTAATTTTTCTCTTAGGTTTGTGTGCTGGTGTTAAATGTAAAGAGCATGCGCACTGCGAGGTTAAGGGTGGCAAGGCACAGTGTGTCTGTAAGGACGTTAGGGAGTGTCCCCAGACTCCCACCCCTGTGTGTGGTAAGAACAACAGGACTTACATCAACGTATGCTACCTGGATGTGGAGAATTGTCGACTTGAAGAAATTGTTGATCAGCAGAGACCAGGAAAGTGTGGTAAGTACCCCGTCTCATCTGGTTCAGTTTTCCTTGGAACCTGTTAGCGGGCGCTTGTGAGACTACTTATTCTATTTTAAAAAGATCCTGGATGAACTCCCATCAGATTAATTCAAACAGAGTCAAATAGCCTTTCGGCTTCCTCTTCTACCCACCAACAATATTCAGCGAACATTTTCTATAGTAATGTTAAAATTATAGAATGGTCTTAGGGATTTAGTTGGTAAGTCCGACTTGAAGAAATGAAAAATACGTTATAATTTGTTTATATGTGAATTCACCTCATACAGCTTAACAATTAATAAATCGTTTTAGTATTTTTTTTTTCCAATATGAGTTTCATTTCATGTGTATCTGTGAGATCCTTTTGTATTAGTTTCACGTCTTGGGGTAATGGGAGAATGCAATCTTCGATTGTAATTATGCACTCTTGTAAAACAAAGTGTTTATAGTTTGTTGTTGTTTTTGTTGTTCGATGCCAAGTCGATGCAGAACTTAAGAGAGAAAAGGTGATAAAGATCTCATGTCCTGGCACCCACGAGAGCCCCCCCTCCCATCCCCTCCCCTTCCCCTTTACTACAAAGCTCGAAGGGTGAGTAGTCGGGTAGGGGGGGGGTTCCTATGTGGGCGTTTCCCTGCATTTGGCGACATGCGTCAATTACGAATATTCTTTCCTTTTTTTGTAACGTTATGTCAGAGCCTTGTGCCGGGGTGCAGTGTAAGGAACCAAAGTTGTGCAAAGCGGATTCCCAAGGTAACGCTGAATGTGTGTGCCCGGATGAGAGAGATTGTCCAATGACTGTTCATGCTGTGTGCGGCAGCGATGGTAAAACGTACCTCAACGAGTGTGTGATGAAGGCAAAGGCTTGTCTCAGAGAAATGCCGGTTTATATCGTCATGGATGGATATTGTGGTGAGTACTGGTCTTGATGTTAAAGAAAACATTTTTGGTCTACATTTGGCAAATATATGCGTTTGAATTTCACAAGTTCAGCAAATGAACAATAATGGCATCTGCAGAGAGGATTCTGGACTAGAGGTAATGTAACATGCAGCATGTATAGATAACAAGAGCCGACATGTTTTAATCAGTCACTTGCAAATGTGACTTTTGGAAAATCTTTTAACAAGATTCGAGGTTTTTGAAGTTATTTGCTTAAGATAAATTTGGTGTAATTGCTGCTATAAATGGAGTTGCAAATGCTGTTGGAGTTATTGTTTATTTTTTTCACACAGCGACCTCTTCTCCGCAAACACAAATTCTGTAATAATGTAAGCCTGGCGGCTGAAGTTTTTGTATACTGACCAAGCGTGAAATAGTCAGTCATTCATTCCCAAGATCTGAATAAAAATTCTTACTATTATTTTTCATACATCTACTACTGTTTCAGCTCTGATAACTTGGTGTTAAATTCAACAAAACATCATGATTGACATTATTCTTTCCTCTCTCTCCTTCCTGTCAGAAAATATATTGATATTGTAAAGAGAAATTCCTTTTTGGTCCCGTAATCTCTTGGGTTTGAGGATCTCATGTAGAGTCATGCAAAGATTAGAGGGCAATACACTAACAACATATCATTTATTCCAACCTTCCTTTCCCCAGGCCCGTGCGACCTCGCTAAGGACTGTGAGAACAATGCCGCCTGCATCGGAAACGCGGACGGAACAGTCACGTGTAGGTGTCGGACAGAGGCCGAATGTCCAAAGGACGGTGATGGTGTGTGTGGCTCAGACGGACAGACGTACATTAACAAGTGTCTTTTAGATGTGACGGCCTGTGCAAATAAAGAGACTGTACGAGTTGTGCATGAAGGACCTTGTGGTAAGAGGATAATGGGGTAAAGAGGGGCATCAATATGGGACTCTGTTATTGGTTGGGGGGGCTCTTACTCTGATTTCCTGCATTAGTTTTATCACAATAATGCCCTGCGTTTGTTTATCAAAGTATTATCAAGAGGTATTACATTATGTTTCAGAACGTCTTTTCTTTCCCTATTTATTTGGTGTATTTGGCCTTATTGAGTGTGGACATCGTACTAACAGTACGCGAAATGATTAATCAGTCTCCAAATGTCTCCGACGGAGAAAGTTTTTTAATGTTTGAAGGTCCCTAGAGGTAATTTGTAGTTCGGTAACCATGGTGATCTCGTGAACTTTATTGTCACCTTAGCAGCACTACACTCCAATACAATTGACGAAGTGTTTCAACTTCCGTAAATTCGTCAAACTCAATTATTTTTAATTTTTTTCTGTGCTTAGGTTCGTGTAACCCTGGTAGTTGTAATACCAACGAAGTGTGCATCGGTCAAAGGGATGGACCATTTTTGTGCAAGTGCATCGAAATTAAAGACTGTGCCAAAGGAAATGACCCTGTTTGTGGCACGGATGGGAAAACCTATCTGAATGAGTGCTTTATGAAAGCGATGTCATGTGAGAAAAACGCATCTGTGGGATTGAGGCATCGAGGACGTTGTGGTACTGTGCTTTATGTGATTTGGCCACATTATTTTACTCCTTTTTAAGAAGGCCTCTTCCATATTTCTTAGATAAAATAAACCTGCCTAAAACCTCACTATGACTACAATGATTATAAAATACTGATAACGTTTTTCGAAGAGATTAGAGTCCAATGCTGTGATGTATTTATCCTTAAATGTGGAGAACCATCTTTAAGGAAGTATGGTAGCCCGTGTCGCTAGGAGAATTTGGTTATCTCATTATTTATTTGAACAGGGGTTTGTAAAGACACTCGATGCTCTTCAGGCAAGAGGTGTATGGTAAATAAGTTGCAGATACCAGCCTGTAAGTGTCCAACAGAAGACGATTGCCCAAGAGATTATGATCTAGTGTGTGGAAGTGACGGAAAGACTTACATCAACCTGTGCAGAATGCGGGTTGAAGCTTGTATAACCGGGAAGCCACTCAGGATGATTAAAAAGGGAGTGTGTGGTAAGGCTGAGATTTTATTGAGTCAAACGTTTTCAGATGTTAATAAATAGACCTACTGATTAGGTTTTTGAATTAAACTTTTTCGTAGATCCCTGTAATGCCTCACGTTGTATGTACCATTCTGTTTGCGGAGTTATACCTGATGGATCAACTGAATGCCGTTGTCCGCGCTTGGAGGACTGCCCGAATGACAACAATACCGTATGTGGAATGAATGGCAAGACGTACGAGAATGAATGCAAGCTGAAGGCTGAAAGTTGTGCTGCAGGAATCGAAGTTACAATGAAACATGAAGGGCCTTGTGGTAGGAAAACAAATGGATAACTGTGTATATACTGTTGTGTTGTGATAACCATCGTAATTACAATGGAAAATTGATAAGTACTTTTCTATTAAATTCTGTAATATGGTCGGCCACGTGTTTTTCCTAATTGATCGGAAACGAAAGATAAGATTTCTTGGTGGCTCTTGCACGTCATTTTCCAATGATAACAATTTTTTCAGTGCGTAGTCTCTTATCTTGTCGGTTGCATTATTGTGATAATAACGATACTTGTTTTGTAGTTATTATTACCATTATTATGTTAATCTTTATTTTTATTTTCTTGTTGACATACTTTCCGTGTTGACATACTTTCCGTAAAAATTTAGTTCGAAAAACCTTTTTTTATGACGATTTTTTACATTTCACCTGATTAGGTTTTTATTTGACACAAAAAGGATGATATTTTTAATGGTCGTTGACATGAACAGACGAAAGTAGAATCTAAAATAGAGTTTTTCTCCAGGCCCCTGCTCATTGTCAGATTGTGTTGACTATAATGGCCAATGTATTGAAGCACAAGACGGATCTGGGACTGCGCAGTGCAAGTGTCAAGCCTCTGACCAGTGTTCAAATAATGGCAGGGAGATTTGTGGAGACAATGGTAAAACGTATCGAAACATGTGCTTTTTGGAAGCGGAGTCGTGTCAACTTAGACAAAAAATTGAAGTCCAACAGGGAGGACCGTGCAGTAAGTTTAAAACAATTTTCTGACCAATTGGTTGCCATGTTGCTCGTGTTATGCAAAGTCTGTTTGTGAGTAGTTTTCCATCTGGCTTCAATTTATCAACACAGAAGCAGACATTGCCCGAAAGTTCTTATCGTTGCGCAACAAAGAGTTTTTAAAAAAGAGAGGAATCAATCGCCACGCTAAAAGTTTTTATAATTGAGGTCTAAACTTCGTGGATGAATTACGTAGAGGAAACGTGCGGAACTTATTTAGAATTGTTTCGTATCTTTCCATCAGCGCCATGTTCCAAGTCTGTTTGCGCTCAGGACCAAGAATGTGAATTGGATGCCCAAGGTAGAGCATCGTGTAAATGTCCTGAATTCTGCCCCAGCCTGGGTGAGCCTGTTTGTGGCAGCGATGGCCGAACCTACGAAAATGAGTGCAAAGCGAGGAAAGAGTCGTGCGAGAAGAAAAAAGGACTCTTCTTCAAACCTGGTGCCTGCGGTAAGTTGAACTAATAAAAACAAACCGATATCTGTTTAGTCATCTCACACCTACTTGCAATTCATCTTCTTATAAATATCGGTAGAAAATTTGTTTTGATATGAAGCTAACACCCTTTTGCTGTTAACTTTCTCATTTCTCATCACCTGTTTTATGTATAAATATCGAAAGTAGAAATTGCTTGTTAACTACTTCTGGGTGTTATTTGGAGGTGGGGAACAAATTTCTAGTTTAAAACAAATTTAGGCTTTTATTTTTTGCGAGCAAACGGGTTTGTCTCAGAAGGCTTGTCACGCAAGATTTGTAACGTTATAGACCAGACTGAGAGAATCACAGGAAATGAATGATGTTTTAGTTACATTCTCAAAGATAACAGTAAAGCGCTTGATTTCCAATTCGTGTTTATTGTAGTAATTGCTTGTCTCTGCTTTCAGGATTGGTGGTCGTTCCCTGCTCACTGAAGAGTTGCATAAATCACGCCCAATGCGTGTTCTCGTCTGGTACAGTGGAATGCCGCTGTCCAGATAAAAACGAATGTTCCAATGTTACGAGCGTGGTTTGTGGCAGTGATGGAGAAACTTACACAGTTTACGACAACGAGTGCCTTATGAGAGTTGATTCCTGTAAAAAGGGCAAAAGAATTGTTCCAGTTACTCCTAACAAATGTGGTGAGTTTTTTTTGTCAGGTAGTCACCTCTTGTTTCTATTGACTCAGATTATTTACTTTATCTATTTACCTATTTATTTTCTATAACTGATTAATGACAATTTTCAATGGCTTCCACAGCTCCTTGTGATTTGGCCAGCTGTCACAGCTTTGCTACTTGTGAAATGAGGAACAACAAAGCAACGTGCGTTTGTCCGTCAGAACGTGACTGTCCATGGAAAGTTGACCTGATCTGTGGTTCTGATGATCAGAGTTACCTTAACGAGTGTGTTATGAAGGCTAGGGCTTGTAAGGCAGGGAAGAAGGTCACTGTCAAAAGAAAGGGCTATTGTGGTGAGTGGTCACGTGACAATACTATGCTTCCATGACTTGCATCTCGATTGACAAGATGACTGACTGACTGGCTGGCTGACTGGCTGAATGACTGACAGACTGACTGACTGACTGACTAACTTACTGGTTGACGGACTAAATTGAAATTTTCACGCACATTTGTTAAAGGAAACGAAAAAAGGGGAAGGAAAACTCCAAAGTTCTCGAAAACATGGGTCCTTTAATTTAGGGTATTCTGTTCGTTTACCATTTGGATTTGAGTTTATAAAACACGAACTCATGCCGAATGAATAAATGCTTTTGAGTCAAAAACTTTTCCTCACGAATTTATTCTTTAATGAGTCGACCTCTTACTTTCCTCTCTTTCAGTTTATTCATTTCCAAGTTGATTCACCGTTTCTTTGTTTTCGATAGGCATTTGTGATTTGGTAACATGTGCTAATAACGCTGAATGTTTCATCAAATCGAACGGTCTCCACGAGTGTCGCTGCCCAAGAGAAGATGATTGTCCGTCGACATTGGAGAAAGTTTGCGGAAGTGATGGCAAAACCTATGACAATGAATGCAAACTGAAAGTACAATCGTGTTCTGGGGATGGTAGTCTTGTGGTCATGAAACAAGGACGCTGCGGTAAGGAAGTTGTTTTGCCCCCCTCCGGTATAAATGTAGATTCTGCTGGCCCGAACACAATGGTCACGCGTTGGGAATACGCAACAGGATCAATTCTGATCGGCCACACACATATTTCCCACGCAAAACACAATGAACAACGTATGGGAAAGTAAATAGAAATTTTCACTCAAATTTGTTGAAGGAAACAAAAGTAAGGAAAGGAAAAGTCAAAAGTTCTCGAAAACATAGGTCAGATTTTGATTTGAGCTTCATCAGAAACGTCACACATTTTAAAAACACCATGACATTCTAGCTTGTTTGGTTGTGTAGAGCTCCTGTAAGACATCATGGTTCTGACAGCATGAGAGCACACTACTTAACCTTTGCAATGTTTACACGCTGGTCTGTTGCAGTAGATTGTTAAGTAGCCTTATAAACGGCTAATTTTTCGAAGTCTCTCTCTTCTTTTTTCAGATGATTGCACGGGAATGAAGTGCCAACCGAGCCAAGTTTGTAAAGTAATTCAGAGCTTAGCCACCTGTCAGTGCCCTAACATACGCGACTGCAGTTATGTCCCAGCGCCGGTCTGCGGCTCAGACGGCGTTGAGTATCCTAACGAATGTCATCTCAAGGTCAAGTCCTGTTCCGCTGGTGGTGCATTGGTCGTAGTAAACAAAGGCCCGTGTGGTAAGTCTGGTGGCCGGCACTTGCGTCTTGTCGAGCAGCACGTGTCTGATCCCTAGCAGCGACACCTCTTATCCAGAACACGTGCCTCGTGTTAAGTTGTTACGCAAGTGAATTTTCGGTATTCTTAGATGTTTAAGAACAGGGCTTGTGTTGACTTTTGAATTCTTACGAAGGATCGAAATTTGTTTAGTAATTTCAAGATCTGGAATGAGTATCGAAAGGAAAGATTAAGTAATTAACAAATGAACAGAATTATGTAGTTTGTGCCGTGCTGCAAAATGTGTACAGACTCATATGTGTACATATCGATCACATAAAATACGCTGATTAAAACGGTGTATTACCGCGTTTTACTGCAAACTAATACAGCCGCCATTTTGTTATGGCCATACGATTTCAATCATGACCTCGGGTCTGAAAAGTGCGGACAATTGATTTGAAAGAGTCTCGAAGAGCGTTCAGAAAATGTGTAGGAACCCGTTAGACGTTTCAGGTCAATTAAAACTTGAAAAGTGATTTGTTGATTGAATTTTCTCCCACTTTCCCCAGTGGGTGGCTGTCGCCGCCTAAAGTGTCCAATGTACGCAGTTTGTCACAACGCTCCAGATGGGTCACGCACTTGTGTGTGTCCCAGGAAAAAGGACTGTCTACCAGTAATTAAGACAGTGTGTGGCACAGACGGTAAAACATACATCAACGAGTGTCTTATGAAAGCTATCGCCTGTGAGAAGAAACAAAACACTGAGAAGAAGAACGATGGATTGTGTGGTAAGAATATAAGTTAGGAATATAAGCTTCTGTACAGAATAGTTGAATATTCAGGGACGCCTTCTCCCTTGTAAACCATCGTAAATTTTGAGATGCAGGGGATGACGAGAGTCGCGATTCATGGTAATTGGAGGGAATCAAGTCCGCGCCTGGGGGAGAGGCCCTACGTTCACAATGGCAGGGGTGGTATTAATCAAAAGGAACATTTAATTGTGCATGGGTCTGCGCTTCGTTCAAAATTTAAACAACTCTCCGTACTAAGCCCACCTGTTTATTTTTTATATTCGTGGTACATTTAATGAAATATTCTGTCTTTCATACAAGAACAATCTCTGAATGTTATTAAACTGAATGTGACAAATCTCAACGTTATACGAGCGTTCACTGCTGCTCACATTTTTTGCAGACGCATGTAAGTTTGTAGCCTGCCAAAAGCACAACAAATGTGAGGTGCGAGCGGAAGGCTCAACTCAGTGCGTGTGCCAGTCACGGGATGAATGCCCGATCGGAGGAGATTCCGTGTGCGGAAGCAACGGTACTACTTATGAGAACGAATGTGACTTCAAGGCCGCTGCCTGTGGAACTGACTTGGAAATGAAGAAAGGAAAATGCGGTAAGAAAGAGCTACTATTTTGTCTTTGTCAGGGATTGGAACTTTTCAGATACATTGCGACTGTTAGAGAAAACCAATTAAACCCTCTGATCTATGTTTTAAAGTATCCAACGAAAACTAGCTGATTTATTTTGGTGAAAACGTTGATAATCGTCTATTGCCAGCTTCACTGTGAATGGGATCGCTAAATCTATGACCAAAACACGACGAAATAATGAGGATTACGTGCGGCAGAACAAAGAGTGCTGGGCAATTGGAATGGTCGCGTAAACTGATGTATATATCGTATTTACCCCTGGTCGCTTATCTACCGAGTATCGACCGACCATTGATCGACTTATCCATGGATAATCGATCGTTATAGGTAACAGGGGTGACAGACATCACACATAATCCGGTAAGCTCAGGCGATTTGGGGTCGTGCGGAAATTGTGCGAAAACGCGAATCTTGTCGTTTTATTGTTGTTATCTAGATGCATGCTCCTTCCATCAGTGTAAGCCATATCAAGACTGTGTTGTGGTTGACAACACAGCGAAGTGTCGGTGTCCTAGAGGATGTCCGTCCGACGAGGATCGAGTGTGTGCTAACAATGGGAAATCGTACACAAACGAGTGTCTGATGCGGGTAAAGGCGTGCAAGGCTAGAAAGCAGCTAATTGTGGTCAAGAAAGGGGAATGCGGTAAGAGATTATCTTTTTCTAAATCTCTACTTCCCTCTTCAGAGACATACTGAGTTCGAGGCCCGTATTGTACGTTAAGGATCAGGTTTTTTCCGCTCGGTTTTACGGCCCAAGGGTAAACCGCGGGTCATAAATCCGAGCGGAAAAAAACTAGGCTCTGAAACTAACGGTACGGAGCGAGAAACCGCGATTAGTAAGATTTTTAAGATATCTCTGGGTTCAAATAGAGGAGGAAAATAGTGCACCTACTTATTGAGAGATATAATAAACCTCGTTGTTATATGACATGATAGTCCTAATGTAAACCTGAGCGTTCTGATTGGCTCTTACTCGGTCGGTATTCTGCCTACGGACTGTTTCCATGGAAACGGTCATAAGCCATAAACCATTGCTGTATTTTTGCTCGCGAAAGCCAGCAAATACAAAATAAACAAGTTTGGTTCGAGCGACATATGATAAACTACTTACTAACCTCAGTTGTTCGAGCTGCACTGGGAAATACTACCACGCCCTTCAGTGCGGCCATCACGCTCAGTTAGTAAAGTAAGTAGTAAAGTAAAGCCTTTATACGGGCCCAGGTGGCCCATGGGGCCGGTGCTTAACTCCAGTTTTCTTAACATGAAGCGGCTAGGAGTATTGCTACTCCCCCTGGATGGGATGCTGGTCCATCGCAGGGGGGAGTCCAGCACATTTGCTGGTACCCATTTGTACACCTGGGTGAAGAGAAGCACTGTGAGGGTAAAGTGTCTTGCCTAAGAACACAACACAGTGACCTCGAGCGCACTAACCATGAAGCCACCGCGCCTCTACACTCAGTTCGTAAGAAGTTATTATTTTTGGGTCTTGGAATATTTTTATCCTCCAGTCTTTAAATACAGGGTTCTTATAAGGAATTCTAGCTTCCAAATTTTGCACGGAACAGGGTTTCTATTAAAGTGTATAATGTGTGGATTATCTATGTTTTTAATAGATGCGTGCGCCCTGAAGAGATGTGATTTATACCAACGATGTGTCCTTAATAGCAACAACCAAGCAAGATGTGTTTGTCCTTCTCCCCTCGAGTGCCTGCGCAGTCAAGCAGCCTCGCCTGTGTGTGGTAGTGACGGTATAACGTACGCAAGTGAGTGTGCGCTGAGGGCAGCGAACTGCCCGAAACGATCGAAGGCTCGCCTGCTGTTCAGGGGAGAGTGTGGTAAGTATTTCAAAGGTATCTAAAGTACGAGAACATCGCTTTAGAACTCCAAAGACTGGCATATTACTTGAAGTATTTTGCATTATTTTACTACCATTATTGGGAGAACCGTTTAAAAAGTAAGCTTATGAGATTCTTCGTTTGCTTCAAGCTGTCGCTTAAATGAAAATTACGAGTAATTTTGTTTAGTTTTTCGGCTCATTTATGTTAAAAATTTGCATCGATTGGGGATAATTGCTTTTTGTTAATGATTAGAACAAATATAAGGAAGTTCTCCAACTGTAATTGGACGTTATTTTTGGAACAGTTTTATAATTTCCTACAAAAATAATTTCTTTTTTTTCAGGATGAATTTTAATTACTTCAATTTACTTAAACCACAGGTTTGGTCGTTCTACCCTGTACCAGTACTTATTGTAGGTATGGCGCGAGGTGTGGCTTTTCAAGGGGTTACCCAGAGTGCATCTGTCCCGTGGAAATTGATTGTCCGTTAGAAGACAACCCCGTGTGTGGTAGTGACGGAAGGAGATATCGCAATCCATGTGTCATGGAGGCTAGAGCTTGCCAGATGAGAAAGGATGTTACAATCGTAGAATTCGGTGACAAATGCGGTACGAAGAAAATTTTACCCACTAAAATGACGTTAGTAGTAGTATCAGGTGTTGCTTTCGATGCCGTGTTTTGAAACTTCGCACTTTTTGCTGCGATCACTGTTTTTTGTTTCTGTATTTGTTTTTTGTTTTCTTTTGCGCAAACAGTGAGCTCTTGTCAAGCCCCACTCTACCTAAGAGATAAAACAGCTACTTGTGAATTACTTTAGATTTTGACTCACAATGGATCGGCGCGTCTTCCAAGAGAGTTCTTAAATTAGAGATTGTAACGATCTGAATGTTTCATTGAAAAAGTTTAGACTCATCTTTTTAGGAAAGCTTTTCTAGAGAATTTGATATTTTACTATTTTTTAGACATTTTACTTGATGGACAATATACCTTTAAGCTAATAAGTTAAGAAAATCATAATAATCGTCTGATAATAATAATAATAATAGCTTTTAGCGTTTGTAACAGAACTAGATATATTATTTCATTTCGACATATTACCTATTGTCTGCAAATGAATTTTTTCCGGCATGTTATAAAGCTTAAGTGAGCCTATTTACTATTCGCCATGAAGTGCGTTTGGACATCACTGGAAATTGTGCTATAGAAACAAAGTATTATTATTGCTGTTGTTATTAGTATAATAACTATTATTATTATTATTATTATTATTATTATTATTATTATTATCATTGAAGATGTTTTGTTAGGGGATACAATGTTCTCCTCGTTTAGCAGGGGGGGTGCTTGCATCTCAGGGACCATTACATAGTAACTCAGTCTTGCGTGTTGAACAAACAAGAAAGAGATCAGGGCCTAGTTGTTCAAAGACCGATTAGCACTAACCCAGGGTTAAATTTTAATCAATGTTTCTTTATTTCTTTATTTAAGAGCCTTTTATAGGATAATTTTCCCCATTCTTTTAGACCATCTAATCATCAAATTGTGGACAAAAAGAAATAAATTAAATTCTCTTTTAAATTATCAGATTTGAAATCAAATTTAACATTACCCCTGGGTTAACTTAACCAAGCTTTGAATAACCCGGCCCAGAAGTGAAACTTCGTCAATTCTTCAGATGGGAGAGAATAGTATTAACCATGAGCGTGCTATCCCTCAATATGGCGGTTTCACGGAAGGTTAGAATTCTTCCATCATTTGTTGACATTTTATTGTTAATTCTCCAGGAGCATGTCGGCAAGCAAATTGCGAGAAATTCTTTGCCACATGTCGGTTCACTAACACTGGGGTGGCAACTTGTATTTGTCCTGAGGAGGATCAGTGTCCTGTGGAAGTTGATGAAGTGTGCGCCAATGATTCCAACGTGTATTCTACAGAATGTCACATGAGGGCGAAGGCCTGCAAGTCAAAGGTTCCTCTGGGTGTTGTCAAGAAAGGACCCTGTGGTACGTGTTACTCTACAGATAATTAACTCATAGCGGAAATTATTTGAAAATGCATTTTCAGGCCTAAATTACGAAAAGAATAATTTCTCATAAGGTCATGCACACGCTGTCGCCATCATAACATTAAGACGACTGAAGACCACCACAGAGCAGTCGAGACGTTACAATCCCACGACGGATACGATTACTTTGTAAAACAAAATACAAGACGTGGTTATAGATGTAACTGACCAACAAGTAAAGTAAATAACAGTGCGGAAAGTTTATATCGGGTGCAAAGAGTTTAAAACGAATGCTTAAAAGTGATATCTACACTTTAACCCCCTAAGAGTGATGAGTATCTAATTTCTCCCTGTTGTATCACTCCTGAATCCCTCATTTTGGTTACTAGAATAGAGATGATCACCAACGAAAGAAGCTCTTGATTGTTAAACAAATTCTCCTTGTCACCATCTCAGGAAGTGTATAGAGAACAGTATGGAGAATATGCATGCTGATGCTAGGTTTTTAAAGGCCGGGTTAAGGGTATATAGTTACCAAACAATCAAGTAATTTTGAGTGTAATTTGGAATAGATGATCACTCGTTAGTTTTTTCAAAGACTTCAAATTACACTTGCTTTCGAGCACCTGCAATGTTCTTTAATCTCTAAGCAACTCACCCTTGCGAAATCGTTTGAAAATTCGACCACACCTTAAAGAACAGTCTTCTCAGTTTTCATTTTTTGTTGTTAAACAGAAACTTGCGCAGATGTCAAGTGTGAATTCCACGCCAAATGTGACACCATTGATAGAAAACCCAAATGTCAGTGTCCCAAAGAGGAGGATTGTTCTTCTTTGAAATCAAATCAAATTGTATGTGGATCCGATGGCCTGCAATACGACAATGATTGTTATATGAAGGTGAAATCATGCAAGGAAAAAAGGTCGATTACAGTCAAGAACAAAGGAGTCTGTGGTATGTGCAATGTTGTACAAAGATAAACGAAGAATGGTTACAATTACCGGGATTGGTGTTAGATTTTAACTATCCTGAATAATGCTTTTACCACTCTTGATCAATCAACAGTCACTTTCACATTTAGTCTTTTGCATGAGCTTTTTTTTATAGGCCGTTTAATTTGAAAAGTTAAGCTAAATGTTTTACGTTTTTTGTAAATATTATCACGTTCGTTTTTGATTTCAACTTAATTCGCAAATGGGTTTTAAATCTTTTTTCGGGAATGTAGGTTCTGACTTTTCAAATAATAAGTTTCATTGTATGTTTTCATCCTTTGATTGTTTTTATTCTAACCAATGTTTCTTTCGTGTTCTTTTTTTCACGACTCTCACGGATTTCTTTCCGACACTGTTCAGAACGAGGTAAGTTGAACAAATAGAGAATATGATAACTATTCATGTTTTCAGCATTCCAGCAGCAACTACAACGAAAGAAAAGGATTATGCGATTTAAACGTGTTTTTCTGGAGCGCAGTCAGGGCTCCTAAGTTATAGATCATAAGGTGATCGTTTGGATGAGGTACGTCCTGAAGAGTTTGTGACAGTGGACATGAGCAGAACACGTCATAAGAGTCTAGTAAGGACGACTGCGTCAGTCGACTGTTTTTAGGTCAGAAAAGCTGTGTTTCTGTTGGCTTGAAGACACAAGTGACCTTGGTGAGCTGTGTTTGGTCAGTTTAGTTCGTTCGACAAAGTTAGTTCGATTTGTTCAATTCGTTTGTTTATAACGGTTTCTTCTGAACATAGAAGGACTTGGAAGTTGTAACCACTCAACGGCGACAAGAGAAAAGAGTGCTTCTTTTTCCTATGCAGTTGTATTCTTATCAAATTTATCTAAAGGCTGGTATGATTTTCAAACGTCTTAAACTAGATTTAGACATAAGAATGTCCAGTGATAACACATCCTGAGAACTTGATCCACGCCTTGCGTGCCTATCTGTTGAATTGCTACTGAAACCTCAATCTATCTCTTTGATTCTTTGTGTTTCGATGTATTGTGCGGGAATATTTTTCTGTAGTTTGCTTTTAAGGCTCTTTTAATATTCCTTTTTCTCTCCGAGCTTAACATGTTAATTTGCGTCACGGATTTTCTATCCTTCCCTCACAGACAATCCATGCTCTACAAAACAGTGTCCACCATACACTGAGTGTACACTTGACAGTAACAGAGAAGCGCAGTGCTCATGCGTAAAGCGGTGCTCTCTCATGTTTGATCCCGTATGTGCCAGTGATGGCAAGACATATTTGAATGAATGCGTGTTCAAAATATCAGCTTGTGCATTGAAGAGAAACACAACCATGCTACACCAAGGCCAATGTAGTGAGTTTTTATGTCTTCTGTGATTTCCTTCTTTGTAAATCGAGCTAATGATATCTTTGCTAATATTTCTGAGATTTCGTTTAAGGTACCTTAGAACAATCCCAAGAATGATCTTCTTACAGTCAATCTTTTAAGCGCTCTGGCATGCCTCTTGCCATAATATGTGTTTATTGATTTGATCTAGTCTCTTGTTATTTCCATTTGTCCCTCATACAATCTTCCATCAACTGAACGATGTCTACCAACAAATGACGTCTCGAACTCTCCTCAAGACAAGACAAGATCTTCATGATTTTAGAGAGCACTTTTAGATCTTCGCACCTTCGGCTGCCAAGCCTTTTAGTTTCATCTTTTAACAATTTGCCTGTTTCCCTCCCACTTTATATTCAGTCAATTCTCTATATTTTCCTCTTTACTTTTTCGTTACACTCTCTCAGCGCCATGTTCTACGGTCACGTGTCAGCGCTATGCAAAGTGTGTGTCCACTAATGATACCACCCTCGGAGTGTGTGTCTGTCCACATGACTGTTCCTATGAGCCACGCCCTGTATGTGGCAGTGATGGAGAAACTTACATCAACGAGTGTCAGTTGAAAGTTACTTCATGTAACCGAAAAGCGAACGTGTCCGTTTTTCGCGCGGGGAATTGCAGTAAGTTGCACATTTACTCTGACTGTGTCTGTTCTTTCAATCTTAATTCTTTTAGCTTAAAATTGCCTAGCACTAAGAGAAACTTTCACTTTATTTGAATGTACTAAGAAGTCTATTCTTGACCAAACACATTATTTTTAACCAGCTTTGCACGCAAGTACAACACTTCCTTTCCATTTTCAGTCATTTCATCAGGGTGTAGTTTTCATAGTCTCAACCAGTTCTTGTTCTTCTCTGCTGAAATATTTTTCTGTTATTCTCGCTCTTTGCTTCCTTAATTTCATTGTTAATTCTCAGATCCTTGTTACTCCAAGACATGTCCGCCATATGCTAAGTGTGTTTCTCAGTCCGGGACCTCCGCCGTCTGCGTATGTCCCGGTAAATGCCCACTGGTTTATGAGCCACTTTGTGGCACGGATCGCAAGAGTTATTTCAACCTGTGTGCTCTCCAACTGGAAGCTTGTCAATCAAATACAAACATTACAGCAGCTTACAAGGGAACGTGTGGTATGAGACCATCACTTGTCATTTTCACCCTCACTGCGACATTCAATTCATAAGATAGCTTATTTTTTTCTTGTATCTTTTCCAAACATTTCACGTCAGTTATGGTTAATCTCTTTTCGACGCAACGCTGTGACTTCAGCGGTCAGAACTTTGGAGTCTTGATCGACAGATATCCAGTTTAATCTTGGGTTGTGTCATTGTGCTATGTTTTCTTGGATGACATTTCTCTCTCCACGCCCCTCTCCACCAGGGAGAATGAATGGATACCAGTAAACTGTTGGATGCATCCAATCCAGGGGGAAATAGAAATAATAGTAGCCATTTCATGCCACTAAAATTGGTGATAGGTACGGGTATCCTATAAGACTTAATTTCATTTCCATCGTGTGGTGAAATAGGATAAGTCTGTATTCGAGCCAAGGGTTGCATTCTGTCACCCAACTTATCCCGGTTAAATAGCATGAAGTGACTAGGAGTATTACCACTCTCCCCTGAATGGGACGCCAGTCTATCGAAGATAACCCTCCCTCCACTTCCCCCCGCCCCCTTCATCAGGCTTCCCCGGCAGTTCGCCTGTACCTATTTTATACTCCTGGGGTGGAGAGGGGCATGGTTAGAGTAAAGTGTCTTTCCCAAGAACACACAACACGATGACCTGGCCAGGTCTCGAACCTGAACCTCTGGACGCAGGGGTCTGGAGCACTGACTGTAAGACCGGTGCGTCTCCTTTTATGAATTTAAAACGAATAATTGATGATCTCTTTTTTTTCCAACCTCTCCTCCTACTTTTGGGTTTTTCTTCTTTTGACTCGCTTTTCCTTTTTCTCTCTCGCATCATCGCTCTTTCTTCTTTGGGGTTGTAGACAGTCCCCAGAATCCTTGCGCTCTCAGGACCTGTCCGCCACACGCGAAGTGCGTTATTGCGGCTAATGGTACAGCAGACTGTGCATGTCCAAGGTCTTGTCCTACGTCCTTGAATTTTGTGTGCGGGAGTAATGGAAAAAGCTACCGTAACACTTGTGAATTGGAGAGAGACTCTTGTAAAAGGAACAAAGTTATTAGAGTCTCCCACAAGGGCTACTGCGAAAGTAAGTAAAGATTCCCTTGTTGCCTCAATTTCCTTCTATAGCTCATTGTTTAATGTCACACAGTTCTGGTAGGACTGTTTAAATCTGATTTGCAGATCGCTTCACCATAACTGTGTCTATTGAATTATTTGACCAACCAACCCGCCAGCTAATCAAAGCTCTAAGCTAATGTCCAACAGACTTACTTACTTACTTTCAGAAATGTTGTCGTTTCGCCTACGGGTTGTTTCGCTAATGACCAGTCCGTTAACGACTTAGCTTGAGTCGTTTCCCCAATCTTTCAGGTCGGTTCGCTAACATCTCATAGGTCGTTTCGCTGACGTTCCAGGTCACTGCACTAACCACCTAATTATAGCAATACGTGGGAGAAATTATTGTTTATTGAAGCACTTAACAAGTTTTCATACATAGAAATACTACCCAACAAACGAAGAACATTTTATGAAAACATTTGCGTAAAAATTGATGAGTAGAAATTTGACGAATGTCATGTTAATCTACTAACCTCTTTAATCTGTTCTAATCTTCGAAGTCCCTTGTCATGAAGGCAAATGCAAATACGGTGGATATTGCGAGCTTGTTAACAACACCGCAACCCGCTGTCGATGCCCAAGGTGTCACTTTAGATACAAGCCGGTCTGTGGTACTGACAAAATGTCTTACATAAACCACTGCCTTCTTAAGCAGCATGCCTGTCTTTCCCAGACTCATATTTCCGTGGCGCAGCACGGTCGTTGTTGTAAGTGCCGTAATGTTCTTCGGTCAATAATTATGGTAATTTTAAAAAATTATTTTTAGGAATTCTTTGCATTGCTTTTAAAGTTTACTGTGAGCTGAACAGTGTTTACTAAACCTTTTATCACCAGTATAAATAATTTTACCGTAATCGTGCAACCGCTCATTTGAAAATATTTCATGTTTGAGTCACCTTAAAAACGTCTTCTATTTTTTCATAGTGACAATTAAAAGAAATTAGTTATTCATCAAATATTCTTAATGACTTTTTGTCTCTTTTGTCTTCACCTGTGCCCCTTTTCTCTGTCCTTTGTAATTCGCTTATTTCGCTACGCAATAAAACGCAAGTGAATGTTTTTCCGCGTTCATTTAGGGGTCTTACCATCCTCCAATCTTCTGTTATAATGTTCCAATTATTACTACCTCTTCCCAGCGTGCAATAGCTCCCGCTGCCAACACGGCGCCAAATGTCTTCTTCTGGAGGATGGGTCCGAATCGTGCCAGTGCCCTCTCGGCTGCTCGTTGTCTTACAAACCCGTATGTGGTACCAATAAGAAGACTTATGCTAACCGCTGTGCTCTGGATCTAGACACGTGTCTAACAAATGGAACAGTGATGCTCGCACGTGAAGGAAGATGTTGTAAGAGAACTTGACGTCCTCCTATTTTCTCAACTCTTCTTTTACGCTTTTGTTATGGCTCAGTCTTTTCAAACTTTAAGTTTAAGAGCTGCAAACTTTACCAAAATATTTTCTTATTGTCCTAATATTTCTTGCATTCATTTCCCTGCTGTTACCTTTACTTCTCCTAGTCGTGGGTTGCGCTGATATCAAGTGCAACTTCTATTCCACGTGCGTGGAGAGGCCTGACGGACAGGCAGCTTGTGTGTGCAATGAACGATGTGATCTGAAATTAGATCTTGTCTGTGGAAGCAACGGTAAAACATACATCAACGAATGTCTTCTTCGGGCGGACGCCTGCAAACAGCGAAAGAGCTTTGTTGTGTTGCAGAAAGGAGCTTGTAGTAAGTTGCGTGAGGCATGCATGTAAAGCAGAATCTTTTCTATTTCCCCAGCACCTTGAGAACGATGTGAAGTCTTGATCTTTTGTCACACTTTAGTAGAGCACTTCCTTTATTTTTTGCGTTTGTTTCTTCACTCTGGTTACTTTTAACCGTACAGCTTTGTCGTTTACGAAGTATTAAGGATCTTTAGCATACACAGTTTCACTCATAAACTTTTTTATGCTGTTTGATACTTCTTTCTTATACGAATATATTTTTAAAAACTTGGTTTTGCACTTCTACTCAAGTTACTTTCTTAAGTTTGGACTTTTCTTTCAAGAAGTGCTTCTTTCCTCTCCTTTGCTCGTTGGAACGTAATGGACAGAATACTGCTCCATAATATGTACAAGAAATAACGATCTCTATTTTCCTCTTTACTTCCTCTTCTTACCCAGCTCCTTGTGCTCTCCTGAAATGTGACTTCTATGCTGAGTGCAAAGCGCAGCTTGACGGCTCTCTGGAGTGTGTCTGTCCTAGACAGTGCCCGCTGTCTTTCGATCCTGTGTGTGGTTCCAACAGACAGACTTATCTTAATAAGTGCACACTTCAAGTAGAATCTTGTAGAACTCAAACTCGCATCACTGTGGCCAGACGGGGACAGTGTGGTACGTAGTTACCAGCATCTGGAAATTTTGTTTTCCCAACTGGGAAAGAGTTTGTTTTCCTGGAGCAGATCCAGCCTTTTTTTGAAGAAGGGTTTCACCACTAAGGAGTGACGTCACTGAAGTTTGACCTAACGAACAGACTGGCTTATGCTCGAAATTTCATTGCCAAACTACCATTTGTACAGGGTTTCACATAAATTCTTTAACCTTGTGTCATGTTTTACTTCAACACTAATAAACCACATCTAATTTTTAAAATTTTCTTTTGCACAGTACTAGTTATATAAAAAAAACCCGGAATTTATTGGGGGGTGGGGATGCACACCCCCTGCACCCCTCTCCTAGATCCGTATTTGTGTGACATTCAAGAGCACACCTCTCTTTTGTGAATATGCCCTGAAACAGTAATATAGAAGCTTTTTTCCTTACTTAAACGCCCCTTTGCATTTTTCTCGATGTATGATAGATGGCTTAAAGAAAATCTATCTCTCTTGCTTTTTTTACACTCGAGTCTTGAAAGTAATTTCCTTTAGTTCATTGCCACCCTACTTTTGTCCCCGTGTTTTATCTATGGTGTTATACTTAGTTTGCGTCGGTGGGAACTGTCCGCGTCCTGCTAGGAGGTCTGTACGATCGCCAACCAAACGCGCAGTCGCCGAACAGTTCGTTTCCAGGTCTCTAACTCCCCGTAAGTTTTCTATTTCTTTCCTAATGGTCTGAATTGGTCTTCTTGGTGTTTTCTGACTTTTAGTCTTTGCTTGATTAGACTACAACCTTTTCCTACCATTTCGTAAGGTTCTATTCTTTTGTTTTCCTCTGCCATTGTGTTTGGAGGTGTGATGTTTCTCAAGGGTGACAATATGATAGAACTGCTAAGGTAACCTTGCTTGTTTTCTCCGGTAAATATTTCTTATATGGCGTCCAAGAAACAATATTTGATGTACTGTAGGTTCCAGTGGCTGAGGAAGATTACTCTCCGAACAACACTGACACTCTGTTGTCTTCCAAGAAAAAAAAAAAAAAGGAAAAAAGTTAACTGTGAAGTTTAATTTCGTGTCATGTATCCACGATTTTACCATTGAACAGGAGAAAATAACGTTCTTTAGACAATTTCAATGAACGTTGATCGAACCAAAGCGGTGGGATTCCAATTTCTGTTCAAGCTGGGATGAACGTAAAGTTATGGTGGAGAACAAGCTTCCAAAAATGCCTAGAGGGCGGAACGAATCGTCGTCGTATTTTGCCATTTGCTTCAGTATGACGATTGTGGCGAATTTACTACATTAATAATGTACCTGAAAAACTACGCGCGTTTGATTTGCTGAAAATAAGTTCATTCTCATGTAACAATAGTGCAAAACTGTAACACGAATGCAAATTACAGATTGGACGCGCAAGCTTTCAAATTTCTCTGATATTGTTTTATAAACATCATTGACAAGTAATAACATGATTTCTCATGCAATTTAGTGTTATAAGCACTTATAAAATTTTCAAAGACTACAAATTGCACTCGCCCTTCGGATTCGTGCAATCTTGTTTTATTTTAAAAATTTAATCGTGCTTATTAACACCAAATTGTAAGAGAAATCATGTTAATGCCTATAATTAGTTTTTTTCATGAATTGTAGTGGAAGACGGCCCACTAGTTTGTAGGCGGAACTCCAGAAACATGTGCTTTTCTCTTCCTTGTGAGAACATTTGGACAACTTGGTGTCATATATATATATATACATACATCCCTATTTCAAAAACGTTGCAAATTTTAAAATATTTATTAAGTATATATATTCCTTTCCTTTCAAAGAGACACTGACGATGAAAGAAAAGAGATATATACATATTTAAAATATATTTCAAAGTTGCAACGTTTTTGAAACTCCCACCAGTTGATTAATTTGTTTATTCTCATCAATTTTTTGAGATTGCGTATACTTGCATTATAATCACAAACGAGAGCGCAAGGCTTAAATATTGCTGCCACTTCTTGTTAGGTCAATCGGTTGGCTTCAGAGGTGACGGTTACTTGGAATACAGACCTTTGTCAGGTGTCAAAAAAGAAACAGATATTGAAATGGAATTCCGACCAATCAGTCGCACTGGTATCATACTGAATAACCAAGACTCGGGTAGAGATTTTATCTTCATCATCTTGAAACGCGGGCGGGTGATCTTCAGGTATGTAATCAAGGGAACGCTATTAGTTTTACGTTTCCCAAGAGCCTAGGTTTTATTGGCAGTCAACTTTTCTAAGAGCAGAGAAAAGATCTGGAATTGTGTAAGTAAGCGCTGTGAAATCGCCCGTTTTATTGCAATTTAATTTAATAGTAGAATTGTATTATTCACAAAACGGTGGACTTCCCGACCGTATAAATGTACCTCAGGCAGAGACGACGAGAAAACAACTTCGGACGAAAGTCCTTAGGTGTCCTTATGGTCGACCCTGATGAAGGTGCTGATTTATACAGCTGACGTGTAACCTTCTGTCTCATTTAAATTTCAACTGAAGCAAACGCTTTCCGTCTTGCAGATGATAATTTCCTTTTTGTATTTTTAGCGCGCATGACGTGTCTAAAAATTTTCTCATATCCTTCCAGTTATAACTTGGGCAAAGGACCGGCTGTTATCGTAAGCAGGAAAGTTGTGAACTTAAATGCATGGAACCAGCTGCGTGTGTACAGGAAAGGTATGAATGGCTACTTAGTGCTGAATGGGGAACGTGTCGACGGTACCTCTCCTCCAGGCCTCAGCCAACTTGATATCAGACTAAAGATGTACCTTGGAGGAATCGTAACCAAACAAGGGAGGTAAGGAAATGGCTGCGTCAAAAGCAAGAATTTTCTTTGTGCTTTCCTATGTTCATCTGTGTTCTCGTAAGTCACCCCCCTACGAACTAGTAGGATTACAGTATAGCATTCTAACAAAGATATTTTGGCTCGATGTCCGTTTCTGAGCTACTGCCCACCTACCCCTCCCCTAGCCTGATAACAGTTGACTGAGAACAAGTTAGGGTTAATGTTGGGTTAGGGGAGGGGTAGGTGCAAAGATACTCACATACTGACATTGATTCGAAATTTTCAAACCGGTAAAATAGTCAATTTACCTGTTGAATTTTTCATGAATGCCAGGTGACTTAAGGCAGTGATTAAAATGAATGCATGTGGAGAATCTTATCGCTTACCGCCTGAAAAGGAAAACACTTCTAGTAATTCTTGTTTGTTCGATGAAAATATGTTGACTGTTTTTGTTTGTTCGCTTGATAGTTGTTTTCTTTTGACATAGCGACCAGCGAGAGATCGAGTTTTCCCGCCCTTCCGCCCACTTCCGTCACAGTCCGTTTTCTTTTTTAATTGCTTAATTATTTGTTCTCTTGAAGTGTTATTAATAAGGACCTTAACACTTTAACCCCCAAGATCTGATTGTTACTTCTCCCCTCTAGCTGCTACACATATCCTTGTAAATTAGTTAAGAGAATTTGGTGTAAGATCAAAATAACAACTTCTACATGATAAGTTTGAATATTCTCATTTCCTGTTTGCTGGGTAATGTATGGATATTATAGGGAGAAGTTTCATGCTGATCACTTCTGGGAGTTAAAGGGTTAAGTAAATCCCGACGGAGACGGCAACGAGGAAGTGGCCAAACAAAAGATCTAAGGGACAGAAAAATAGCGTAACAAGTGTGTTTTGAAGCCTCGTGCACTTCTAGGCCGTGCTCTGCACAGAAACAACTTGAAATCACAAAAATTTGCGTGGCCAGAGAATGGAAATCCAAACGGCAAATTATTCAAGTTTTCATTTGAAACTCAACGCTGCTCACATGCATTTTACTGAAGTTGAGGTGTGCCGCTGTAAGAGACGGCAAACACATCCAGCCATTCGCAAGATTCTAGATAAAAGTACAAATTCATTTTTTCATCGACATTTTCTTCGGCGTTCAACATGTCACTTCCGGGTTCATGCCCCAACCGAGCCGGGCAAAGTTCATATTTTCATATTCTCCCACCCCCCCCCCCCCCCCTGCCTCTTGGAGCATGGACCATAGTGGATTACGGACCACTAGTGGATTAAACTTGAGACATCTTACTTCTGCGTTGTTTCATATACAGATAAGGAAAAGTCGTTCGCTTTTACAAAATTCTGAAATCAATATTATGTTTTGCATTAGCACTGGACTACAAGGAGTAACAGCTGGCTTCTATGGATTGATTAGAAAACTTACCATCAATGGTGAGAATTATAACTTGGTATTATCTGACCAAGGAACGGGCCAACCTTCGAGCGGTCTGAACACCGTCAACATGATAAGAGGCGCGGAAGACATGTGCTTCATGAGTCCGTGTGAACATGGCGGCATCTGTTCTATTCTGGACAACCAAATCAGGTGTGACTGCCCGAAAGGATTTTTGGGTGATCGTTGTCAACTGCGAGGTATGTCTCATCAACCTTTTCATTCTCAATATTTGAATGTATCTTCTCCTTACTGTCTGCCATACGTTTCCTTTGATTTTAACCCTGGAAATTTGGCGTTTAATCAGTGGATATCCTGTCATCGGTATTTTATTCTCATCAGCTTTATGCCTGATAGTGGATTGATAATGTAAGGATAAATTACCCATAAATCACCGGGTTTGAAATAGTTAAAGGAAATATCCCCTGCTAGAGAAAATCATTGTTAGTTATTTGGAAATATATGGAAGACTTTGAGTGTTTTTAAAAAAAAATGGGAAGCAAACGTTAAGTGTGGAAAGTATAGAAGTGAGTATCGGCTATTTGTGTACTTGGTTGAAAGATTTACTCTTCGATAAAAAAAAATACTCTTTTTCTCTTCGGGTCAAGGGGCCTGTTTCTCGAAAGTCCCGGTAACTTAACGGGCCCAAAGCCATATTATGAAATTTAAATTTAAAGATTAGAGAAGTAGGTTCTAGCTTTCTAACCAGCCCATTTTGTTTCTTTAGCTGACAGTTTTATTGCATAATTTTCAAAACTTTTGAAAATCCCATCTTGGAAGCAAGCAGAACAGTTTTCCGGGTCCTTTTAATTACTGGAACCTTCGAGAATCAGTCCCCAGGCCCCCTCATTTGGAGCAACATTTGCCTCACACTGCGAAATGCACTTACTCTTCTCAACCACAAACAAAAGAAGGGATTATTTACTAGCTTTATGAACTCATACAATTTGATTCAGTGACAGCTTAACTCAAGCTTTTTTCCGTTTAAACCCTTTTCTCTATTTTGTGATCGATTTGATCAGTTCGCATGCAATAGCTCTCCACTGTTTGTTAATTTGCTCTCTTATATTAGTTTGCATCTATTAACATAGCTTGTTTATTTATTAAGGCTATCACTTTATTAGTTCTGGGTGGACTTTGTTATTGGAATCCATCCTTTTTTTACGTTTAATTTACTCTGCTTTAAATAATTGTGGTAATAGTTATGCATGGATTAACTACCTTGGGTAAACACCTTATCTTTCGCTTGACCTATGCTTTTAGCCACCGGCTTTGCACCTATCAATACAAAATCAAACAGAAACCGTGTTTACTTATCATGCGATAAAATAAGATAAAAATCTCAAATCTAAAATAAGGCTCCCCTCTAAGTTGGAGTCCATTAGCCTGCTTGAAAATTGATTTACATTTCAAGTACCGTTCCAACCACATGCTCTTGTTTTCAGTTCAAGAATCCTCTACAGCAGATCTTGAGTTGTTTTTTTTTTCATTGTTTTTTTCAGCTAATGTGCCCTACTTCCGAGGCGGAGCTATCACCAGTGCCTTCATGGAATGGCGTTGGAATTTTATGTTTTCGACGAGGGTAGACGTTTTCGGTGCTGTCTTCGGTATTCGACCTGAGCAAAATAATGGCCTTATCATGTACTCTGGATCTGCGAACGCTTTCATTTCGTTAGCCATGATTGATGGCGTGATACAATTCAGGTATGGTTGAAGAGCGTTACTCGTTTTTTTTAACGGAAGGGTTGGGAATGTAAATCTTTGACATGGGCAAGACCTAAAGGGTAATAAATAACCCGACTCACCAGACTTAACCGACTGACTCACTGACCGACTGAGTGTCTGTCTGGTCAATAAAGGTGTTGAGTTTGTAATGAAACTCTAGTGTTGCGTTGGTGGGGAGGGGGAGTATAAACAGATAATTTGGTTTTATCAACTAAGTTGATCATGTAAATTGGTCTCAGTCGATAGTTTCTAAAGCTGACTTTTCAAACGTTAGCCCTTCGTGAGAGCATGTCTGCCTGCCTTTCAACTGGTTAACAGTTTGACTGATTGACTCGTTGTCTGACTGACTGACTGACTGACTGACTGACTGTCTGTCTGACTGACTGTCTGTCTGTCTGACTGACTGACTGTCTGATTGGCTGAGTAACTGACTGACCGATTTCCTGACTGAGGGTTTGACTGACTTACTAACAAGTTGCCAAGTTTTACTTCTTGATTTGCTCTCTTAACTAACCGACTAAATGATTTACTGTATTGACAGATTGGCTAACTGACCAACTCTCTGACTAATTGATTGACTATCTTGACTGGTTGATAGACTGTGTGGTTCATCGTCGTAACTGACAAACCGAATTGGCTATCGACTAATCGTCTGACTGACTGACCGACCACCAACTGACTGAATAAATGACCAATTTACTGAATGGGTGGCTGACTTACCGTCCGACTAGCTGACTGACCGACCAACCAACTGACCCACCAGTGGAATAGCTTATTTATTCCGACATTTATTGACTGACTGACGGATTGATTGATAGATTAGTTTATTAAGTTATCTATTTCCTGTTGAAATATAGGTTCAAACTAAGCCAAGGGGGAGGTTTCGCGATAATCGAGACGAATTTCGCCCTAAAACTGAACGATTGGCACAATATCGAGGCGTATATTGATATCGTGGGCAGAGGCGAGGCCTTAGGGACTTTGATAGTTAACGGCATCAACATCTTCACGCTCAGAGCAACAGGCGTCTCGACAAACCTATATTCCAATTTACTACAGGAAAGTGTGTATATTGGTGGAGGGTCTTCAGCTGATGCTATAATCATGTAAGTGACACTAGAGCGATTTGGAAGAACAAACAGTCATCCTTGGCTACTGCCCTGAGTTGGCGTAACCAGCTCGTTTCCAACAATCACGAAAAGAATATTTACTACCCTAGTGGATGTCTTTCGTTTGAATATTGTTCCCTAGATTTACCAAATTTAAGTTATGACCACGCTTGATAAGTTCGCGTTGTAGAGCGCTGGACTGCCGTGCAGGAGGTCGAGGTGCAAGCCCTCGACCGGACCAAAACTCAGGGTCTTAAAATTACAGAGGAGAATGTGCTGAATGTGCTGCCTTTGCTATCACATCTGGAAATGACCAAACATTCTAGTCTTCTTGGATAAGGACGTTAGACCCTAGGTCCCGTCTTCTGCATCTCCTCTGTACTGGTTAGCAGGGGACTTTAAAGAACCCACGCTCTTCTCTCAAAGAGTAGGGAACGTAGCTCCCGGTGTTGTGGCCTGGCCTTGTCATTGTTTAGACAGGCCCCCATTTAAACCAGCTTCGAGTAGAACTAGGCCAGCTTGTCTTAATATCGCAAACAAATACATACGTACGAACATGATTAGTACTAGTGGACATCGATACAACTTCCTGATGATGTAACAAGGACGTGCTCGCTCAAAAGGGGAGTAAGTGAGTACGATTTTGTGTTCTTGGCAAACACTCAATTGTAAAAACGTTGACACCTAAAAAGCATGATCTATGAAAGGTGAGAACCAATGGCAGTGAACAATAAAATCAGATGGTCTATTAAGTAAATATTTTTTCCTTATAACCTTCAACAACAAATGTTTTCCTTTTTCTTTCAGTTTCCAAAGGACTGGGGTGAGAGCTGGTTTTAAAGGCTGCATCCGGGACTTCGAATCCGAAGACGAAAATTTGCGCGAGAGACCGCTGGACATATCAGTCGATTTTGCGCAACGGGAAGACCAAAATCCCGCTCGATTATTCGTCAATGTAATGAAGTGCGGATGTAAAGACAAGTCCTGCCAAAATGACGGAATATGCGCACAGAGAGAGAGGGACTTCCGTTGTGACTGCAAATTAGGATTTACCGGCCCACATTGCGAAATCAAAAGTAAGATCTTCAGGGTACCTCTATTTCGTTGTTGTTGTTGTTGTTTTTTTTTTTTCCGTTATCCCCTTGCGGGAAATCTTCGACATCTCTCGGTATAGTCAATTTAAGGTACGGTCAGCCGTAATTTCTTACTAACCGTGGCTGAGGGCCGTACTGGGAAATGTTGGACCGAGGTCGTGGTAGTGCGAACCGAGTGCTCCAAGGGGGCCACAACATAAAAACCGAGGATCGACTCTTTGGGGAGTGTCTTTGCAAAGAATAAGCACACTTGCAGGTTTCCTTTTCGAAGCTTTAGTTGTAAGTATTGAATTTGCCGGCTTTTGAGAACAAAAATTTACGGCTTACGACCGTTTCAACGGTCTGTGCGGTGAAATCCCGACCGAGAAAGAAACAATCAGAACAATCGGATTTAATCCAAGACTCCCTTGCCACATAGTAAACGGGATTAATGTTGTTTTCTATCTTGTTAGGTTGCGGTAGAAATGTCAAGTTTGACGTAGGATTCGCAATAGATGGCTCAAATTCAATCGACGACAACGAATACCGTCAGACCAAAGATTTTGTCAAAGATGTCATCAAGGCTTTTTCCATCGCCGAGGATGGAACCCATGTGGCTTTGCTGCAGTACGCGACTATAGGAATTATCAAATTGTACTTTGACGACGATTATTTCAATCCAAAAGATCTTCTAGATAAGGTAGAACAAATAGAGAATACCAATGGTGGCTCGACTAATATCGGAAAGGGTCTGGTGAAGACGTTGGAGATGTTCTCAACCAGAACTGGAATGAGAGGCGATGATGTAAGTATTAGATTTATCAACAATTCTTCGGTCTCGTCAGTCGATTACACAGAAGAAAAATTAAATGATGATGGACAGTCCTAAAGGAAGTAATAATTCCGTTTCTGAAAAATAACTTTAGTGGAATGAACAGTTCCCGATATTTCTTTTTATCTTACTTTTTTCCTTGCAAATTTATGGCAACGTTATGTATTTTCGCTTGAGATCAGGAAAGCTGCAGAGAGTACGAAAGTTGACCGAAACAGACAAAACTTGCAAACAAATGTTGTAAAAATTTACAATAGGTGTATACTTTTAGTAAGTAGGAAGACGCAGAAATCCATTGGTTAGTGCTCTGGCTTGGGTAAGCAGAGGGCTGGGTCGAACCCCTGGCTGGGACCCAGGTGGCTATCTATGGACTATCATCCCGAGCACCATTCTTTTGGCATTGCATGGTCAGATAAGATTACTATAACACTTGTTCCACGCTTTCAGTTGTAAAACGGAGCGAGATAGATGCGGCAGAGTGGACCAAAACCTTCATAGTTTTTTTTTCGTTCCTCTGTGACGACGAGCCGTTTACATTCGTGTTCCGTTTAACTTCCTGAACGCCTGGAACAGGCTAGTTGGTACTTTGCTCAACTTGCGATAGACAAACAACCAATCTAGGGAGGGGGGGCTGGAGGAATGCGATACCCCTAATCACTTTATTCCACTGAAGCCGGGATGAACTCCTGTGGTACGTCTGGCTACTTTACTTCGCAATCTCTAACCTATGATGAATTATTTCCTTTTTCTCAGGTGAAAAAGCTGTTTATATTTTTCACGGACGGCAAAAATACAAACCCTGGGGAGGATTTAAGTGTATACTCGAACCGAATCAAGAACATCCCGGGGATGACGTCGATTGCCGTTGGAGTGGGGAATGCAGTAAGTCGCGGCGAACTGCTGACAATCGCTTCCAGTCCGAACGAGGTTTTCGAAATAGAGGAATTCGAGGAGCTGAAACTGCTCATAGACAAACTGAGTCCCAGGGAGTGCAAGGAAGATGATTTTCCATAACGTCCAACGGTATAAGGTGAGGTGACACGGGGTTTTGCTTAGGGTGCAGGGTGAATGTGATCCCACCCTCTTGCGTCCCTTCTGGTTTGATAAATGTTGGAGCAGTTATGGCACTTTGGTGAGAGCGCTGTCCTCCTTGTAAATGAAGACAATATGTATCGCGTTAGACCCTTAATGCACATATTAAAATATTATTCTCGGGCACTCCGCCCCTACTAAAAACACTCTCAACGACCTCAGGGTGATAGGAATGGAAGGGAAGGGAGCGGGAATGACAGAACTATGGAAGAACTTCTAGAATGCTGACAAAGTCTTGGAGGGTGAAAAACAGGTGTTCCTCGTTTTACAGTTCACATGCCTTTTTTTTCTCACTCTTAAGAAATGTTAAAAAAATACAATGCGGTATCTTTGCACAAAAAAAAATAGTGTGACAGCAGTAACGCGACGACTGTTGTGACCCTTGTCACGTAATGTCCAAAATGAATTTTCAGTCATCGTGATCGGCTTAGAATTCCATGATCATACTGAAATGCAAACTTTACAGACAAAATATAACTTAGCTCATCGAGAAGACGTAATAGGGATGAATACATTTTAATTGCTAAATTTTACCTTTATTTTTTTTTTTTTTTCAGCATTACTAAGATACTGCTATCTTTTTGTTTTGCAGGCCAAATGTTTCCCTTCTTAAAATAGAAAATTGCTCCATTGCTATAACCCAAATAGAAGATTGGGTTTTTTTTTTAAGAAGAAAAGCTATGCTACAACTATATTCTAAGCTTAGGACGTTAAAGCTTGTAGAAAAGAACGTATTTTAATTATTTGATTTAGGAAGAAGTTACTTTTTTATACTTGTAAGCAACACATACTCAAAGAGAAACCAATTGGGATAGATGCAACTTTCATACATTATTTTAGTTTAGCTTTAGTTTCTGCTGTTCTGAATTGTATAACTACTTTAAAGTCTGGAATGTTTGAAACAATAAAACAGGGCAAATAATTCTCTTGTGTGGTTTTTTTTTACCATCGAAAGAAAGATATCACCGAGTGTGTTTTCAATCCTTTACACCGTAACATCAGCATTCATATTCTCCATACTGTTCTCTGTACATTTACTAAGGTGCTGACAAGGAGAATTTGTCTCACAATCAGCGAGTTTTTTAGTTAGTGATCATTTCCTTTATTCTCATGACCTCAATGTGTAATTCAGTGGTGATATTGTATGAAGAAATTAGATCCTAGTCACCCTTAGGGGTTAAAGGGTTCATGAACAAGAACCAGACGAGCTGAGGGAACTTTGTTAAGATAAATGGTCCCTTAAGATTTCTTAGAGTTCTAAGATGGTGGTACGCGGTGTTCACTGTTAGATTTATTTTCAATAATATGATTTCTACGCGATTGATGAGTGCAAACACTTTGAGCCAAACTTGTCACGAGTCCATGCCCATTTAGTTTTTCAGTAAAATGTGAAAGAAGACTGGGGAGGAATGACACAATGACAAAAAGATTCCGACTTACTGGTATGCAATAGGTTTTCGTCAAATCCTGCTCAAGACAGACTAAAAGTGTTTCGTTTTAGTATCACCATACACAGCTTTCCTGAGGCTACATGCCTTTGCGCGGTTGTGATCGCTAGTCTCTGCGAATAATGACGATTAATCGCAGGCCCCGTCTCTTGCATCTTCCCTGCACTGGTGAGCAGGAGACGTTAAAGAATCCACGCACCTCTCGCAAAGTGATCCTGGTGCCTTAGTCTGGCCTTGCTTCGAAAATTCGGAACATATTAAAAATTTCAGATAAAAAAAATTTTACTGCTCAATACAGTCGGGGCAAAGGCCTCAGAAAAGTGTTGTGAAGCGCAATAGAGCATTACATGTATGGAGAATGCGCAACATAAATGCCACGTGCCCCTCCTCTTCTTCCACCTAAGTATTCTTTTCTGAAACCTAAGCAGTTTTCAAATGTAATAAAGGGGGTAAGTTTCTAAAGAAACTGTGATGCTACGTCAGTAAGGGATTATTACAAGATAATTTTGTTTTATCAACTAAGCCGATCTGACGAAGGGCTAACGCTCGAAATGTCAGCTTTGAAACTCTTTGTGGCCAATTTACATTATCAACTTAGTTGAAAAAATAAAAGTTATCTAGTTTTCTATACAATTTCAATTTTTGGTTGCATTGGATCGACTTGTCACCAACACTAATCAGAAGAGTTTCTTGTTTTGGCAGCGTATATCATTGAACTAGCATATGGGTGAAATAAGTTTTTGCCTCTCTGTTAAGTCAAAGCGTGCAACAACAACTATGGAGTTTTCGTATTCCTTACCGTCGACATTGTAACGGACTGTAATGTAGTGAGTTGGTTACATTTACAAACCTGGTACATCTTATTTAGGAGAGCAGAGTTCTTCACAAGGAATATGCGTGACATTGCACTTTGGACAACGAGTTCCTGGACGCCTATATTTTGTTTTTAATGGTCCCGGTAAAAAAAAAACAAGCACCATGTTTGCTCGTCTAGCACGGACCAGGAGACTTGGCATTCGGCCCTAAATAAGCTTAAGAACTGACTGTAAATTACGGTGATATTCAAATTCTGCTTGGGTCAAAAATGAGTCACTTTCAGGAAGGAAATTAATGCGAGCAACTAATCGGTTTTCGTTGAAATGAACGTTACATGTGGGTAATTCACCATTTTTTTCCGCTTTCATTATGTTCGTAAAAGGGTCAGTTAAGCGCATTGACAATCTTCGAAATCTGCATTTTTAAACAGATAAGGTAGATTTACCTTAAAAGTTTTTACTCTCGTTATGTCTGTAAGAGTGCTTGTCAAGTAAATAAACTTCTTTGAAAGATGCATTATTAAGCAGATACGTTCAGGCAAGGTAGTTTTGTTTCCGTTTATCGCGCGAAGTCCATCATCTCTACGTGGCCGTCATCTGAGTCCATATGTCAAACATTGTTGAGAGACTTGCCGTCTTCAAAATCTTTTTTGTTTGTTGTTTTGTCTTTCCAAGATATAATGTTTATTGTCTCCCTGAGATAGCGCATCATGTGGGCATGTAAGCTTCTTCACTTGTGCCGGACTAATACATGGTCCAAGTCTCCTCACCACACAGGAGTTTGCGAAGCACGACAGCTCGGTATACCTTATATTGACAAGTTGATTTCTTTACAGTCTTTTCCTGCAGTTTCCCATACGCAGCACTAGCGATACTAATTCTCAGAGTGATTTTCTGGTCGAGTCTTTTGGTTTCCGAGTCTGTACTACCGAGACAGATGAAGTTCTTACACATAGAAATTTGGATTATTGAGTATAAATTTTGACGTTTAGAAAAAGAAGCGATAATATTCATCCCAAGACACCTCCCTACACGCTAAATGGAAATTCTCGGGTCAGGATAAAGGGGGTGCATGTAGTAGATAAGAAGAATTGAAGGAGAATTGTATTAGGTTTCCTTCAAATAGCTTTCAATAGTTATTCAACCTGTGACGTCTGAGCAAGCGTAGAAATCGATGATCTGCCTCTTTGGACGATACTCTGCATGCAATGTGGCCGGAAGGACGAAACAACTTTTCCAGAAGACATCGTCCTATTGTCAAACAAACGAGTGATGAGAATCTCCATCATGGAATTGAAGTTTTCAAGAGCGCCGAGTTCTACACACAATAGATTGACTTGCTTAGCTTAGCTAAAGGATGGGGGTGATCAGTAAGTTTTGCGGAACTACAGTAACAAGTCCCCACTCGATTGTTCGTCAATGTAACGAGGTGCAGATGTAAATATCAGCCTTGCCAAAATGATGGTCCGTGCGTAATGAGAGAGAGGAACTTTCCGTTGGGACTGCAAATCAGGAGATACCAGCACACAGTACTTAATTCCAAGTAAGATTGTAACAATAATTTTTTTCATTTGTTACCTTATGGCAAATCTTTAACATTTTTCTTTACACTTAGGAACTGGTCATTATTTATGGGGGGGGGGGGAGGGAGGAGATTTGCCGGTCTTTGGTAGTGTCACCATGAATTTGATCTGATTCCCCCATAAGGTTCTTTAATATTCTTATTCCCCCCCCCCCTCAGTGGCAGTTAATTGGCAGTCAATTTTCTACAGTCCTCCCTCCATAGTATGTTGATATCGACTGATACCCTCTCCGTTCTCCCTGAAAGCCATGTGATCCCCTCCCCCCCAAAAACACAAAGTTCTTAAAACGCCTACCCCCGACGATAGATAATGAGTGGTCCCTTAATTTAAAGTTCGATCAATCAACGCGATTATTTGTGTTTTGTAACATGTCAAGTTGCAGTAGATATGTCAAGTTTGACGTAGGATTCGCAATAGATGGCTCAGTTTAATCGACGACAGTGAATACCGTCAGACCAAAGATTTTGTCAAAGATTTCATCAAGGCCTTTTCTATCTCATGAGATGGAACCCACGTAGCTTTGCTGCAGTACACGACTAAAGAAAGTATCAAAATCTACTTTGACGAGTGGCTCGATTCAGACAAGCTTCTAGACGAGTTGAAAAGATTAGAGAATACCAGGGGTGGCTGGACTGATATTAGAGATGGTCTGGTGAAGACGTTGGATTTGTTCTCTACCCGTGATGGAATGAGAGGCGATGATGTAAGTAGTGTACTTTCTAACTCTTTTTTTTTTGGTCTAGTTATGCGACAACACGTTGAGTAGACGAGATAAAAAAATTGAATGATGGACAGCCTTAGAGGAAATAATCATTCAATTTGTGGAGGTCTAGAGAAACAGACTTCCGCTTCCGTTTGCAGTGGAAGAAACAGATGCCGGCCGACGCTCTGATTTTCCCCAGTCCCCTTCTGTATTCCCATTTTCTCTTTCTCAAATGGAAAGAAACTTTAAAAAAATTAATTTTCATCAGTTTGATTGTTTGTTTGTTACTTTTAGAAAGCTTTTCTTCTGTGCCTTGAGGAAAGAAACTTTAGAGTGATTCTTAGTGTAACAGTAGTCACGTGGCACTATGATCCTTGCTACGCAATGAGAATTTTCAGTTGTCGTGACTGACTCAAACGTCTCGTCAAATGTATGGATTATTGAATTATTTAGCAATCCTTAATGTTGAGATATTTTTGAAAATTACTTATATGTGTTTTGTCTCTTTTGTTTTCCAGCCCAAATTCCCCCGGCTGTTAAATAGGAAATTTGTTACATCGCTGTAAAGATTCTACGTGTGATGAACTGTTTCTTTAAAAAAATGTTAACTTAGGTGTAAAGCATTTGAGAAAACAAAGATTTTCACTGTCTTAAAATATGGTGGAAAATATTGGTTTTTTTCAATTTTTTAAAAATTGTTTACATTATTAAAAATAAAACGAACAGGGTAGCAACAACCGTTACTTCTCTACTTTTTTCAGGCAATTTTGTAAGGCATGAATTGTAATTAAGTGGTGGCAAAGCGCAGACAAAGCTCTTGCGTGGTTTTTTTTTTATGTTAACCCTTTACAACCTAACATCAGTGCGTATATTCTCCATACTGTTCTCTTTACATTTCCTAAGGTGCTGACAAGGAGAATTTGTTTAACAATCAAGAGCCTCTTTAGTTGATGATCATTTCCTTTTTCCCGTGACCTAAATGTCACATTTATGGTGGTCTTGTTTTCGCCGTGTTTTTGTTTTTTGTGGGTGCATCTGTTTGTTTTTATTTTGTTTTGTTTTTTATTTTTTGAACTGACAGAATTACTCTGCATTTGAGGTTCGACCGGCCAAGCTGAGCAAAACAGTGAAATAGTGTTGTTGTACTTTTAATTTTTTCCTCAAAACACAGGGAGTGTCTCTACCTGCTCAAAGGTACTGAGACCTTCTCTTCCCCCTTTTTTCATAGCATAATTTTAAAAACTGATGGTGAGGCCCCAGCAATGTTGATTTGCATTACAAATATTTATTGTTTATTTCAGTTATGAAAGGATGTCTTGACATTTTAAGTGTGCATACAACCTCGAGTAGGACAATTTTCA